GCAAATCGCCTCCTGCGCGTCTGTGCGCGTGTGACAGACGCACAAAAGCACTCGGGGACGCTCCCCTGTGTGAGAGGAGCTGCATAAATGCAAGTTGTTGTTGTCCGTGTGCGCGCATGTGTCTGTTATCTGTGTGTGTGTGTCTTTGCGTGCGTGCGTGCGTGCGTGTGAGTGTGTTTGAACAGTTCTGCAGTCTGACTGACTGACAAACCTGCTGTGCGTGTAAGTGTGTGTGCGCATGTGTGTGTGTGTGTATAACAGCTCTGCTGACTGACTGATGTCATGTGTGTTGCAGCACCGGGCGGTGGGGCGGCCGAAGGGGAAGCTGGGAGCCTCGGCGGCTGTGAAACTCGCCGCTAACCGTGCCACGGCCGGTGCTCGCCGGCGCAGGACCCGATGCCGGAAATGCGAGGCCTGTCTGCGCACCGAGTGTGGCGAGTGCCACTTCTGCCGGGACATGAAGAAGTTCGGGGGGCCGGGCCGCATGAAGCAGTCGTGCATCATGCGCCAGTGCATAGCGGTGAGTAACCCGGCCAAGGTGTTGCCATGACGCGCTGCGTTGCTGGGAGTGATGCAGCCAGAACCTTGGGGGAAACGGACAATCGTGGAGGTGGCCTCTCCTGTCTGTGTGGTTCCTAATGGAGGCAGCGACTCAAGACAGCTGTCAGTGTAGAGAGTAAAGGATGGCCCGTTCGCAAGAGAGAGAGAGAGAGGCCTGTGATAGAGAGAGAGAGGCCTGGGATAGAGAGAGAGAGGCCTGGGATAGAGAGAGAGAGAGAGAGAGAGTGGATGAGTCTCTGGAAAGACCAGGGCTTTTGAGGTTTGCGACTGAGGCCCTCCTGATTGGGTCGCGTCAGCCCCTCCGCACCTCAGGCGCCGACACCATCAGCATCCAAGGCTGCACTCTCCACCTCTCAAAGCCATCAGGAACCTCGGGGTTCTTTTCGACCCTGAGCTGTCCTTTCTCCCTCATATCCGCACCACAACCAGCACCACCTTCCATCACCTCTGGAACATCGCCAGACTACGGCACTACCTCACCCCTCACGCGGCTGAAACTCTGGTCCACGCCTTTATCACCTCAAGGCTGGACTATGGGAACTCTCTCCTCGCCGGCCTTCCCGGCCCTCCCTCCACACTGCAGGTCATTCAGAACTCTGCAGCTCGTGTACTGTCCCGCACCAGGCTTCGGGACCACATCACTCCCACCCTCGCCCTCACCCTCGCTCGCCTCCACTGGCTCCCCATCCCCCAGAGGATCGAATTCAAGATCCTCATCCTCACCTACAAGGCCATTCACGGCCTCTCTGACCTACTATCCCCCTACTTACCTGCCCGTACCCTCCGTTCCTCTGGCTCCGGTCTGCTCCACATCCCCCGCCCCAACCGCCCTACCATCGGTGACCGGGCCTTCAGCCTCTCAGCCCCGAGGCTCTGGAACTCCATCCCCGAGTGCCTTCGCCGCCTCCTCCCTTTCCTCCTTCAAGGCTGATCTCAAGACCTTTCGCTTCAGCCGAGCCTTCAGCTCCCCTCTCGACTCTCTACCCCCTCCTCGCTCCCTCCCTTCCCTTCCCTCACCCTGACCATTTCCCCCCCCCAATGCTTGGGTCCCGACCCAACTGTCCATCGCCTTGGGACGTCCTCCTGACGTGAAAGGCGCTCTGTAAATGAAATGTTGTTGTTGTTGTTGTTGATGAGAACCGAGAGTGAGTTTGACTGCAATGGATCTTGGGGAACGTGTTCTGATAGCTCTGTGCTCTCTGTCTCCCCCCCCCACCCACCACACACCCACCTCCACACACACACCAACGTCCCACACACACGACCCCACCTACGTACACCCACACACACACACCACACACACACACACACACACACACACACCCACACACACACACACACACAGCCGGTCTTGCCACACACGGCCGTCTGCCTGATCTGCGGGGAGGCCGGGAAGGAGGACACCGTGGAGGAGGAGGAGAAGTTCAACTTCATGCTGATGGAATGCTCCATTTGTAACGAAATCGTGCACCCCAGCTGCTTAAAGGTAACGCACATCCGGGAGTCGGGGTAACATTACCTCCGGGTGGTGGGGGGAGCGGGAGGGGGCGGTTGGACAATGGTACAATGGTGGGGGGGGTAGAAGGTAGGACAACAGGTGTGTGTGCACTCGCGCGCAAGTTGTGTGTGCTGTGCGTGTATGGTAGTGTGCATGGTATACGCGCTTGTGAGTGCGTGTGATGTATGTGTGTGCGCGTGATGTGTGTGTGCGCGTGATGTGTGTGTGCGCGTGATGTGTGTGTCCCGGTGCCTCTCTTCACACTGTTGTGGCCTCTGGGTTTGTCACAAGGTGCAGGATGCTGAGGGAGTTGTGAACGAGGAGCTCCCCAATTGCTGGGAATGTCCCAAGTGTAACCACGAGGGCAAAACCGGGAAAGTAAGTATCACTAAAGTTTCCTGACGATTCCTGAATTCCAGCCCCCTCCGCGCTGTCTCCCTTCTCCTTCCTTCACCTTTAAAGCCCTCCACCATCTTGTTCCTCCCTACCTCTACTACTGACACCTTACTGATCTGTCCGCTCCCTCTGCTCTGCAGGAACTGGCCTGCTCCGCGTCCCCTGCCCAGCCCGTCCCACCAGCAGTCGACAGCTTTTCTGCCCCCATTCTCTGGAACTCCGTCCCGGAGTCCCTTTGCCTCGCTCCCTCTCTCCTTGTGGGCCCGTCTGAAGACCTTCCTCTTTGACCGTGCCTTGGTGGGTTCAAGATTTAAACCGAGGTCCCGTCTGCCTGTTCAGGGTTAGGGTTAGGGTTATCCCATGGCACTATTCGAAAAGAGAAGGGAGTTTCTTTCTCCCGGTGTCCTGGCCAACAAATAATCCCCCAAGTAAATTTGGTCACTCGTCTCATGACTGTTTGTGGGACACTGCTGTGCGCAATTGGCTGCCGAGTTTGCCCACAAACTACACAGTCACTCCACTTTACAGTGTGTCCAGTGAAGCTCTTTGAGATGTCTCAACGACGTGATAAGGCGTTGTATCAAATGCAAGGATTATTATTATTATTATGATAACACTTGTACATTAATAATAATACTTGCATTTGGTACAGCGCCTCATCACGCCATCAAGACGTCTCAAAGCGCTTCACAGGATACACTGTAAAGTGGAGTGACTGTGTGTTTTGTGGGCGAAACGAAACATGATAATAAAGACTCGTAGTTGGCTGTCTGTGACCTACAGCGATGCCAGGGGACACGGGGTATAAAGTTGTCTCTGTTTTTTCACCCTCCTGGTCTACAAGCAAAAGCGAGGCCCTGGGTTCAAATACGCCTCTAACTTACCGGGGTCTTTGCTGAAGGAGCAGCGGCTGAACCGGGATCTGAAGGATTCCCCGGAGACCCCCGGGAAGAAGGGAGAGCGGGAGGAGAACCCCAAGCGCAGGTCGGAGGAGCATCCCAGGAAAGGCGACGGCATTCCAAGGAGGAAGTCCGAGGAGGGGCCGGGTGTGAGGAAACGCCGGGATGTGGACAGGCTCTCTGAGCCCATCGTTAGGAAAAAGGTGACTTGTTGCCGTCTCTAAATCGGGGGCTGGGTTTACAACATGGTCTGTTTCTCGAGCGAGGCTGAATTATATCTTTTCGCCCACAAAATACACAGTCAATTCACTTTACCGTATATTCTGTGAAGCCCTCTGAGACTCTACAAAATGTGATAAGGAGCTGTATTGAATGCAAGGATTATTATTATTATTATTAATAATTGTTATTCCGGCTTGGAGACATGCTCTGCCATTGTCAAGCAAAGGATGTGGATTTTAAGGTGCTTCCTTTCTATCTCTATCTCTCTCGATCTTGTGAACGTACAATTGGAATAATCTCTATGGGTTAATGGTAACCTAGAACCTGTTTCTTTTCCCCGCAGCTCAAGATTGGGAAGGAGGAGAAACTCATGAGGAAAAAGGTATTCGTTTTTACTTAACAATAATCTTTATTTTTTTCCCCTTCAAAAAAATCTTACTGTTTTACCCCCGGGGCGTATTATTAGTTGTGTGAAGCACTTTGAGGCATCCTCCCATCGTGAAAGCTGCTGTATGAACGCAAATCCTTCCATTTAGTTTAGCGCCTTTCACGTCCGGAGGACGTCTCAAAGCATTTCACAGGATTTGCTGCAAAGTGTATTTCGCCCACAAAATTATTATTATTATTATATTCGGCGAAGTGCTTTGTGACGTCTCAATGACCTGATAAGGTGCCTTATCGAATGCAAGGATTGTTATTATTATCATTATTATCAATGTACGAACGTAGCAGCCAATTTGCACACAGCGACATCCCTCAGAACGGCCAGGAAGTGAGTGACCCCAATTTATTTTGTTGGAGGATTTTGTCGGTCAGGACAGAAACTGGGGTGAAAAGTTGTTGTTGTTGTAAATTCTTTTTCGTTTGTCCCCACTCGAATAGAAACGGTCTTTACTCCCGAACGAAGACCACTGCACCCCCATCAAGTCGCTGCGTAACATCAAGCAGGAGCCTGAGGACGATCCCCAGCTCGGCTCAGTACCTCTCACTCCGCAACGAGCCAAGGAGAGCGACCAATCTCGCTCCAGCTCCCCTCGAGCCGGTCCCAGCTCCGAGACCGACCCGTCCAAGGACAAGGAGAGGGACAAGGAGAGGGACAAGGAGAAGGACAGGGAGAAGGACAGGGAGAGGAGCGAGCGGCAGAGAGAGAAGAGGAAGAAACGCCTTCACAACAAGGAGCTGAGTAAAGAGTTGAGCAAAGAGCTCAACCTGGAGATCCACAAGACGGAGAGCAGCCTGGCCAACGAGAACCAACAGCCCATCAAGACCGAAGGGGACGTGGAGAAAGCGGAGAAGCCCAAGCGCCAGCCGGCCAGCGGTGACAAACTGCACCGGCTCGGCAAAGGGCTGAACGGGGCAGCCAGGCTACGGCACCCGCTGGGCGGGGGGGGAGGGGGTGGCTTACGCCGAGCTCCCAGGGTCATCGCCCGCCCCCCACCCTCCATCTCGCCCACCAAGTTCATCCCCATGGAGCGTCACGTCATCAGGCCCCCGCCCGTCAGCCCGCCCCCGGACTCGCTCCCCCTGGTGGACGGGGAGGACCACGTGATTCAGAGGGAGGTGTGGATGGCTGTCTTCGGCTCCCTCAGCCGCAGGGACCTGTGCGTCTGTATGAGGGTCTGCAAAACCTGGAACAGATGGTGGGTGTTCAATGGAGTCTCTCTCTCTCACCCCCCCCCCCCTCCCCCAGTAGTGGCAGGGAGATGTGAAGCTGTGTGTCTGCCTTGTGTTCCTCTCGTCTGTCCTTATTAATAATAATCATAATAATGATGTTGACGACGATGATGATGATGTTGACAATAATTATATATAAGCGCTAATATTTATTTATGATGATATTTTTAGCGCTCCAGGGGCGCTACCCCACTTGAAGGACACTATATAAATGCAAGGTGTTGTGTGTGTGTATATATAATAATACTAATCGTTGGATTTGGTATAGCTCTTTATCACGTCCTTGAGACGTCTCCGAAAGCGCTTCACAGAATATACTGTAAAGTGCAGTGACTGTGAATTTTGCTGGTGAAAAGCGGCAGCCAGTTTGCGCCCTGCACTGTCCCAGAAACACCACAAAATTGACACCTACACTTGCAACTACAGCAACCTCACCCGTGCTCTTACACCCACAAAATCCACCCCATTCACTTGTTAAAGCGTAGTAGTAAGCCTCTTTGCTCTCGTCCTAACAGACCGCTGCTACTACGCTCGTGAAGAGCTTTTGAGATGTCATTTCCTATTAGCAGCCCATATCAAATGCAAGGATTTGTTATAATTGGAGCGTGTAGGAGGTGTGTGCAACAATTGAAACCAATTGAGGAGTTGAGTCATCCCCTGAGTAGCTGAAGAGTATTGTTGGTGACCGCTCCCTTCCAGCTGCCTCCACATTGCACTGATGACCCCTGAGAGAAAGGTTGTCTCTCCGTGTTGTCCCTGGTAGGTGTGAGTAATGCTGCACCTTACAACAGGGAGAAAATAACATGGTGGAAGCTTTCTCCTCCCCAATGGCCCGGTGGGTAACATCACGGCCTAGGGCAGCTTTAGGCCAGGGAGTCGCAGGTTGCAATCCCATAGCGTAGTGGTTAGCGTGCTCGCCTCGCAGGCAAGAGGACCTGGATTCAATTCCTGGGCAGGGCGAAACCTTAGGCAAATTTCCTTACTCCACACACACACACCTCTGTTTACCCAACAGTAAGTAAGAACCCAGTTGTTCGTGGATTGGGGGATCGCTTTTCGGGGGTAATAATCCCTCAAAATAAAATGTCACTCAATCCACGACTCTGTGGGACACTGCTGTGTGCAATTGACTGCCACAAAATACACAGCCAATTCACTTTACAGTAGCGCTTTGAGACGTCTCAGTGACGTGATAAGCCGCAAATCAAACGTAAGGATTATTATTACTAAGTCTAAGGATGTGAGGGAGGCCTGAGGTTAATCACTACTCTTACACAAAGGGAGATCTAGGTGTTACGAAGTGTTTGCTTAATAATTGCACGTTGGCTTCCCAGGTGCTGTGACAAGAGGTTGTGGACGAATATCGATTTGAATCGCTGTAAATCGATTACACCCCTCATGCTGAGTGGCATTATCAGGAGGCAACCCGTCACCCTGGACCTGAGCTGGACAAACATCTCGAAAAAACAGCTCACCTGGCTCATCAACCGGCTGCCAGGTAAGTGTTATTGGGAATGGAGGTTGGTGGTGTTGCCACTACAAGGTATTGCTACTGCTTTTACAACAAGACATTGTATTTATATAGCTCTGAGACTCTGCCCTGTGTGAGTGGCGCTATATAAATTCTTTCATGTCGTCCTTGATATTGTCATACGAGGGCGTCCCAAGGCCCTGGACATTAAAGGGTTTGCACCCGAGCTGCCGGTTGGAATCAGAGAGGGGTGGAGGGCATGGGGAAGGGGATGGTGGTGGGAAAGTAACCAATGGCACTGTTGAAGAGGAGATTCTTGAGACGGGCCTTGAAGGAGGCAAGGGAGAGGCTCTGGAATGGGGTTCCAGAGGGAGATTGAAAAAGGCTAAAGGCCCAACCTCCTATAGTGGTTTTTGGGCAGTCTCCACTTGGCCATTGGTTACTCACATTCACAATCTCTTTCATCTCCTTCCTTTAGGTCTGAAGGACTTGGTTGTCTCAGGCTGTTCCTGGGCAGCGATCTCTGCCCTCTGTAGTTCCAGTTGCCCTTTGCTCAGGATCCTCGACCTCAGATGGGTGGAAGGACTGAAAGACGCTCAGATGAGAGATTTGCTCTCCCCTCCAACTGACAACAGACCAGGTAAGAAACTGCTGTGGACGTCCACCTGCAGGGTTAGACCCAGGAATGGCGCCGGGCAATCTGGGTCCATTTTGCAAGGCTTCCTGAACTGATGTTTAATGAAGAATCAACCTGTGGTCTTTCATTGGAGATTAGCTATAACTTTATGGGCGCACTGGCACTAGCAAGTACAAATAAGGAAACATTAAGGTTGACGGAACCCAAGTGAATCTTGAAGGGGGTGGGGGAATGTGGAGAGTTTGGGTTGGGGTTTTTATGAGAATAGACGGGCGCAAGGAATCCTTTTGGAGGTTGATTGGATGGGTTGGTAGATGGAAATATCAGTCTTATTGCTGCCTGAAACTGTTGCCCGTCTCGACTATGAAGGCCAGATCGACAATCGTAGCAAGCTACGTAACGTGATGGACCTGCGCCTGGGCGGGCTGGATGTCACGGACTCGACACTCCGGCTTATAATCCGCCACATGCCGCTGCTCGCCAAACTGGATCTCAGTTACTGCAATCACCTAACCGACCAGTCGATGAACTTGCTCACCGCGGTGGGCAGCAGCACCAGGGATTCCTTGACGGAGATCAACCTATCAGGTCAGAAACGCGCGCTAGGATCAAACCATTCCTATTGGAACGCACGGAGGTTAGCGGAGTTAAAACCGCCTTGCATGCTAGCAATGTGATTACAGTCCATTTGAGATGATATCCTGTTAAAAACGACTCCTGTGGATATTGTTCTGTTCTGTCCCACTTAATATCTGTCCAGTTATTTCTGTAGTCTCCAAATTCAAGTCAATGGCCATTACCAATGACCCAGCCTGTCCTTCCCCCCACCCCCCACCCGGGCATGAAATTGAGGAATAATAAGTCATTACATTTGAGAAGAGTGGCTATTGCATCAATGTCTCAAAGAACCTGAGTTTTCTGACTATTTGGAAATGTTGGGGGGGGGCGGGGAATGCACCTGAACAAGCAAAAGGGATCTCAGTGTAATGCCTCCTCAGACACCCAGACTGAAACCTCAAAAGTGCACATCGGGAACTGGCTTGAACCCACATTCTGACTCCGAAGCAAAAGTGCTACCGACACCTGAGAACGAATGAGCCTGTTTAAATTTGGCAATGAGTGGGATCAGGGGGCTATTTGACTGCATGGTTGGTGGGAAGGAGAGAGGGGAGAGGAGAGAGCGCAACAAGTTTATATCAGTGTGAACGGCTGAAGTGTAATTTCAGTGCAAAAGGTTACGCACAGCGACTGAAAATGTCCCTTTTTCTCCAGTTTGCAATCGAGTCACTGACCAATGCCTGGCCTACTTCAAACGTTGTGGCAACGTCTGTCGGATAGACCTCCGCTATTGCAAGCAGATAAGTAAAGAAGGCTGTGAAAAGTTCATAGCAGAGATGTCTGTCAGTGTTCAGTTCAGCCTGTCAGAGGAGAGACTATTACAGAAACTTAGTTAACTGCAGGAAACCCAGTTGAAGGGACACTTGGAGACTTGTGTCCGTGAAGGAGGGACATCGGACGTTCTGCTCCCTGTCATTTAATTACTCCCAGCTTCCGCTTCAAACACAGGAAAAGCCTGGATTGGGCTGGTGGAGCGGAGAGATTGAAAACACTGTTCAGCAACAGAAGCTGCTTACTTTGAACCAGAAACTTTTCTACTGGCTTAAAAACATCACTCCGAAGTACAAAACTTTATGTTTTAAATGTGTGTGTGTGTCTGTATATATATATTATATATATATATATATATATAAAATGAAGAAACCCACACCCATTCACGAGCGTTTGACCGAACACGGAGGGAAAAGCGAGAGGGAGAAGAAAATAACAGATTGAACGCAACATTTCCATGCACGAATTACAATTAGGGGCATGTACATTGTAAATTTTTATTTTTTGTTCCTTTTTAAAACCGGCCGCAGTCTTAAAAACGAAAAAAAAAATTGTGGACATATCCGACCGTATATTGGGAGTCATTTCAACCTGGTTATAAATAATGTTCTGTTTTGCTACACTCTTAACCATCGTACATTATCCAGAAATATTTTTGTACAGAAATTACTTTATTGAGAGTACAGTACTGTGAAAAAAAATCAATATTTCCAAATTCTCCCATTCTTACAATATCAGATTCCTTCCCTTCCCATCAGTCGTTCGCTCGCTGGTGGTTTAATCTCTGTACAATTACACATGTTTCAATGACCATGTGGGTTGATCTGTGTGATGTTTGTATGTGCCATCATTGCATGCCTCTCAAAACAAGGGGCATTGAAGCAGCCACAATACTGTTAGGTGACTGATGTTGGTTTACCACTTAATTGCTGTTGCCATTTTGTCATTGCTGACTTTGTATAAAACTTTTGTCTTCAGCGATGCGTGCCCTCTTATTTTTACATCTAATGGGAGAGTGTTATTCGAAATGAAAGAACTGCCATTTTGATAGCACCTTATTGCCTCGCAACGAGTCAAAAGCACTTCACAGGTACTGAGAGCGAAGCTTAGTGGTTCGATAGACATTTGAGGCACTGATGGGCAGAGCACTGGGAGAAACTCTTCTCTTTTTGCAGTAGGGTCTTTACTATGCGTAGAGGGGTTGGCAGGTAGGTGTTGGAAGTTCTCTAAAGGTATTGAGTGAACAGGTTACAGTTTCTGTCCAATTACAGATGTGTATCATTAAGAAAAGGCAAACATTTACTTGCTTTAAAGAAATGGAAGGAAAATTATAAAAATGATTTTGCTGAATTGAGTTTCTTGACGAGACCCATGTTCTGCTGGCACAGGCTATACTGGGTCCATTCTGAATAGGCTCCATTGATACCCAGACCAGCATGAGTCTGATTTTTTGATTTGTAAAGCCTCTTCTTATAATAAAAATAATCCTTGCATTTGAATATAGCACCTTATCACATCTTCGAGATGTCTCAAAGCACTGCACAGAATATACTGTAAAGTGAATTGAGTTTATATTTTGCTGGCAAACGTGGCAGCCAATTGCGCACAGCAGTGTCCCACAAACAGTCGTAGATTGAAGTGACCAATTTTTTATTATTATTATTATTCCTTCCCACTTATTGTATGTATAACCTTCCATCAATACCTGGGTCCAAATTAAAAGTGAAAGGTACAAAGTGAATTAAAACCAGTAAACAATTGGGAAGGGGTAAGCAGGTTGAGAACTGATTTTAGTGTCCGTCAATTCACTTTTGTTGCAAAGACTTAAGCTTCCATTTAATCCAATTCATTTATTAGTCAAATGGCAGAAATAATAAAATGAATTTCAAAACCTCCAGATATACAAAAAGGTAAGTTGGGAGCGAGGGAGTAAATTGTGATGGATACAACTGTTAGCCGAACATACTGATAACGTCTTGAAGTCACACAAACGGGGTCTCCTTTCTGTCAAAAGCTGATTTCTCTCTCACACGCACACATGTGTGCACACACACACATATACACAGCACAATGACTAAGCTACTGACCAACTTAATCCTTGAAAAGTAAAATTCCAGGAGACTTATAAAATTATACGAAAAGTTCAAAATAGAATTTTCTTCCAACTTTTTTTTGCAATGTGTCCGTTTGAGTTGCAGGTTCTAGCTGTCGATTCTAGTGGTCAAAACAGATTTAACTTGGATCGTTTTTTATGCACCTTAAGGTTAATAATGTAAGTAGCTTTGTTGTGCACTGATTTCTGTAAGGCTTCCAGTCAATAAGCAACTATGATAAATTGTTAGTAAGACTAAAAATCATTTTTTTTTCCCTGCAAAAAAAATCAAATGTCCGAATGATAAAAAAAAATTAACCGGCGTTACTGATAACATTGACTCGTTTTAATCCATGGGTTTATCAAGCATCCTGATCAGTTAAAAGCCAGATCTCTGGTAATGCGCAATGCGACCTGCTCTCGGTTCTTAAGACTTGAAGACGTGCACTGCCCGAACCACATACTGCCGGCAAATGGGGCACTCGCTCATTCTCTTGCCGCACTTGGTGCAGGTGACCATGTGTCCGCACTCCAGGAGCACGCAGTCGATCGCTGAGTCCATGCAGATCCGGCACAGGTTCTCGTCGCTGCCCAACTGCATCTTCTCTCCTTCTGAAAGGGAAATGGCTGGCTAACATCAAGCGGAGCATCAACAAGGCTCTCAATCAGACACTCCTGCAGGTAATGTCTGCGGTCTTCATTATAATCATGTGTAAACTTGTCGCCCTTTATTTTTAAGTGCATTTTAATTTAATTATAAAATAATAATAATAATCCTTGCATTCGACACAGCGCCTTATCAAGAAGTATCAGCCTAAAATGAAATGGATTTAAAATCCCTCTTAAGAATTTTGGGAAAATAAGGAACTTATATAATAATCTTTGCATTTGATATTGCGCCTTATCAGGTCTTTAAGACGTCTCAAAATGCTTAAAAGTGAACTGTCTGTCTCTTGGGGGTGAAGCAGCTTTACTCTCACTCCTACTGTAACGTGTAACAGCGCCTTGGGACGTCCTCCCAACGTGAAAGGCGCTCTATAAATGGAATCTTGTTGTTGTTGTTGTTGTAACTAACAGAAATATGGCCGGGAACTTACCAGTCGCTGCCTCTGGGTTGTTTCCGTTTTCCACTGGAAAATAAATAATTTTTTTTTTAAAAAAACAAAACGAATTAAAAAATGTACTTCTCATCATAACACATTTCAGCTTGTAAAAGCAGACTTACACGCCTTGCGGTTTTCTTCTGTCTCTTTGTATAACCTGCTTACTCGTTCCACCAATTCCCATTTTTCACAGCAACCCGAGTAGTTGACAAAATTGCGAGCCAGGATTTCCTTCAGCTGACGTACAGTCAGCTCCTCAATGTCGTTAATACTGGACAGGTCCGACAATGAGGCTCGTGTTCGTTTTGGAGGGATGTCAGGACTGGGATCGTTTACCTGCGAGAAACAAACACGATTAATAAGAAAGATTCTTCAAGCTGTGTGCATCTCTTCAGTAGCTTTCACAAACCACATCGGGTTAGTTTCCTCATTGCTGATTTGCTTCCAAATTGTGTGTGCAGTTTGAGTAGCTGAAGAGTATTGTTGGTGACCGCTCCCTTCCAGCTGCCTCCACATTGCACTGATGACCCCTGAGAGAAAGGTTTCTCTCCGTGTTGTCCCTGGTAGGTGTGAGTAATGCTGCACCTTACAACAGGGAGAAAATAACATGGTGGAAGCTTTCTCCTCCCCAATGGCCCGTGGGTAACATCACGGCCTAGGGCAGCTTAGGCCAGGGAGTCGCAGGTTGCAATCCCATAGCGTAGTGGTTAGCGTGCTCGCCTCGCAGGCAAGAGGACCTGGATTCAATTCCTGGGCAGGGCGAAACCTTAGGCAAATTTCCTTACTACACACACACACACACACCTCTGTTTACCCAACAGTAAGTAAGAACCCAGTTGTTCGTGGATTGGGGGATCGCTTTTCGGGGGTAATAATCCCTCAAAATAAAATGTCACTCAATCCACGACTCTGTGGGACACTGCTGTGTGCAATTGACTGCCACAAAATACACAGCCAATTCACTTTACAGTAGCGCTTTGAGACGTCTCAGTGACGTGATAAGCCGCAAATCAAACGTAAGGATTATTATTACTAAGTCTAAGGATGTGAGGGAGGCCTGAGGTTAATCACTACTCTTACACAAAGGGAGATCTAGGTGTTACGAAGTGTTTGCTTAATAATTGCACGTTGGCTTCCCAGGTGCTGTGACAAGAGGTTGTGGACGAATATCGATTTGAATCGCTGTAAATCGATTACACCCCTCATGCTGAGTGGCATTATCAGGAGGCAACCCGTCACCCTGGACCTGAGCTGGACAAACATCTCGAAAAAACAGCTCACCTGGCTCATCAACCGGCTGCCAGGTAAGTGTTATTGGGAATGGAGGTTGGTGGTGTTGCCAATACAAGGTATTGCTACTGCTTTTACAACAAACATTGTATTTATATAGCTCTGAGACTCTGCCCTGTGTGAGTGGCGCTATATAAATTCTTTCATGTCGTCCTTGATATTGTCATACGAGGGCGTCCCAAGGCCCTGGACATTAAAGGGTTTGCACCCGAGCTGCCGGTTGGAATCAGAGAGGGGTGGAGGGCATGGGGAAGGGGATGGTGGTGGGAAAGTAACCAATGGCACTGTTGAAGAGGAGATTCTTGAGACGGGCCTTGAAGGAGGCAAGGGAGAGGCTTGGAATGGGTTCCAGAGGGAGATTGAAAAAGGCTAAAGGCCCAACCTCCTATAGTGGTTTTTGGGCAGTCTCCACTTGGCCATTGGTTACTCACATTCACAATCTCTTTCATCTCCTTCCTTTAGGTCTGAAGGACTTGGTTGTCTCAGGCTGTTCCTGGCAGCGATCTCTGCCCTCTGTAGTTCCAGTTGCCCTTTGCTCAGGATCCTCGACCTCAGATGGGTGGAAGGACTGAAAGACGCTCAGATGAGAGATTTGCTCTCCCCTCCAACTGACAACAGACCAGGTAAGAAACTGCTGTGGACGTCCACCTGCAGGGTTAGACCCAGGAATGGCGCCGGGCAATCTGGGTCCATTTTGCAAGGCTTCCTGAACTGATGTTTAATGAAGAATCAACCTGTGGTCTTTCATTGGAGATTAGCTATAACTTTATGGGCGCACTGGCACTAGCAAGTACAAATAAGGAAACATTAAGGTTGACGGAACCCAAGTGAATCTTGAAGGGGGTGGGGGAATGTGGAGAGTTTGGGTTGGGGTTTTTATGAGAATAGACGGGCGCAAGGAATCCTTTTGGAGGTTGATTGGATGGGTTGGTAGATGGAAATATCAGTCTTATTGCTGCCTGAAACTGTTGCCCGTCTCGACTATGAAGGCCAGATCGACAATCGTAGCAAGCTACGTAACGTGATGGACCTGCGCCTGGGCGGGCTGGATGTCACGGACTCGACACTCCGGCTTATAATCCGCCACATGCCGCTGCTCGCCAAACTGGATCTCAGTTACTGCAATCACCTAACCGACCAGTCGATGAACTTGCTCACCGCGGTGGGCAGCAGCACCAGGGATTCCTTGACGGAGATCAACCTATCAGGTCAGAAACGCGCGCTAGGATCAAACCATTCCTATTGGAACGCACGGAGGTTAGCGGAGTTAAAACCGCCTTGCATGCTAGCAATGTGATTACAGTCCATTTGAGATGATATCCTGTTAAAAACGACTCCTGTGGATATTGTTCTGTTCTGTCCCACTTAATATCTGTCCAGTTATTTCTGTAGTCTCCAAATTCAAGTCAATGGCCATTACCAATGACCCAGCCTGTCCTTCCCCCCACCCCCACCCGGGCATGAAATTGAGGAATAATAAGTCATTACATTTGAGAAGAGTGGCTATTGCATCAATGTCTCAAAGAACCTGAGTTTTCTGACTATTTGGAAATGTTGGGGGGGGGCGGGGAATGCACCTGAACAAGCAAAAGGGATCTCAGTGTAATGCCTCCTCAGACACCCAGACTGAAACCTCAAAAGTGCACATCGGGAACTGGCTTGAACCCACATTCTGACTCCGAAGCAAAAGTGCTACCGACACCTGAGAACGAATGAGCCTGTTTAAATTTGGCAATGAGTGGGATCAGGGGGCTATTTGACTGCATGGTTGGTGGGAAGGAGAGAGGGGAGAGGAGAGAGCGCAACAAGTTTATATCAGTGTGAACGGCTGAAGTGTAATTTCAGTGCAAAAGGTTACGCACAGCGACTGAAAATGTCCCTTTTTCTCCAGTTTGCAATCGAGTCACTGACCAATGCCTGGCCTACTTCAAACGTTGTGGCAACGTCTGTCGGATAGACCTCCGCTATTGCAAGCAGATAAGTAAAGAAGGCTGTGAAAAGTTCATAGCAGAGATGTCTGTCAGTGTTCAGTTCAGCCTGTCAGAGGAGAGACTATTACAGAAACTTAGTTAACTGCAGGAAACCCAGTTGAAGGGACACTTGGAGACTTGTGTCCGTGAAGGAGGGACATCGGACGTTCTGCTCCCTGTCATTTAATTACTCCCAGCTTCCGCTTCAAACACAGGAAAAGCCTGGATTGGGCTGGTGGAGCGGAGAGATTGAAAACACTGTTCAGCAACAGAAGCTGCTTACTTTGAACCAGAAACTTTTCTACTGGCTTAAAAACATCACTCCGAAGTACAAAACTTTATGTTTTAAATGTGTGTGTGTGTCTGTATATATATATTATATATATATATATATATATAAAATGAAGAAACCCACACCCATTCACGAGCGTTTGACCGAACACGGAGGGAAAAGCGAGAGGGAGAAGAAAATAACAGATTGAACGCAACATTTCCATGCACGAATTACAATTAGGGGCATGTACATTGTAAATTTTTATTTTTTGTTCCTTTTTAAAACCGGCCGCAGTCTTAAAAACGAAAAAAAAAAATTGTGGACATATCCGACCGTATATTGGGAGTCATTTCAACCTGGTTATAAATAATGTTCTGTTTTGCTACACTCTTAACCATCGTACATTATCCAGAAATATTTTTGTACAGAAATTACTTTATTGAGAGTACAGTACTGTGAAAAAAAATCAATATTTCCAAATTCTCCCATTCTTACAATATCAGATTCCTTCCTTCCCATCAGTCGTTCGCTCGCTGGTGGTTTAATCTCTGTACAATTACACATGTTTCAATGACCATGTGGGTTGATCTGTGTGATGTTTGTATGTGCCATCATTGCATGCCTCTCAAAACAAGGGGCATTGAAGCAGCCACAATACTGTTAGGTGACTGATGTTGGTTTACCACTTAATTGCTGTTGCCATTTTGTCATTGCTGACTTTGTATAAAACTTTTGTCTTCAGCGATGCGTGCCCTCTTATTTTTACATCTAATGGGAGAGTGTTATTCGAAATGAAAGAACTGCCATTTTGATAGCACCTTATTGCCTCGCAACGAGTCAAAAGCACTTCACAGGTACTGAGAGCGAAGCTTAGTGGTTCGATAGACATTTGAGGCACTGATGGGCAGAGCACTGGGAGACAGGCTCTCTGAGCCCATCGTTAGGAAAAAGGTGACTTGTTGCCGTCTCTAAATCGGGGGCTGGGTTTACAACATGGTCTGTTTCTCGAGCGAGGCTGAATTATATCTTTTCGCCCACAAAATACACAGTCAATTCACTTTACCGTATATTCTGTGAAGCCCTCTGAGACTCTACAAAATGTGATAAGGAGCTGTATTGAATGCAAGGATTATTATTATTATTATTAATAATTGTTATTCCGGCTTGGAGACATGCTCTGCCATTGTCAAGCAAAGGATGTGGATTTTAAGGTGCTTCCTTTCTATCTCTATCTCTCTCGATCTTGTGAACGTACAATTGGAATAATCTCTATGGGTTAATGGTAACCTAGAACCTGTTTCTTTTCCCCGCAGCTCAAGATTGGGAAGGAGGAGAAACTCATGAGGAAAAAGGTATTCGTTTTTACTTAACAATAATCTTTATTTTTTTCCCCTTCAAAAAAAATCTTACTGTTTTACCCCCGGGGCGTATTATTAGTTGTGTGAAGCACTTTGAGGCATCCTCCCATCGTGAAAGCTGCTGTATGAACGCAAATCCTTCCATTTAGTTTAGCGCCTTTCCACGTACACGGCTGAGGACCGTCTCAAAGAGCAGTTTCAGCAAGGATTTGCATTCGCCAAAGTGTAATTTTCGCCCCACAAAACAAAAAATGGTCTTCAAAATTACAGTCAATTATACATATATTCGTGAAGCGCTTTGGACGTCTCGACGTGAAAAGGCTATATCATGCAAGGATTATTATTTTATTTTTTTGCGGTGCTTTGTGACGTCTCAATGACCTGATAAGGTGCCTTATCGAATGCAAGGATTGTTATTATTATCATTATTATCAATGTACGAACGTAGCAGCCAATTTGCACACAGCGACATCCCTCAGAACGGCCAGGAAGTGAGTGACCCCAATTTATTTTGTTGGAGGATTTTGTCGGTCAGGACAGAAACTGGGGTGAAAAGTTGTTGTTGTAAATTCTTTTTCGTTTGTCCCCACTCGAATAGAAACGGTCTTTACTCCCGAACGAAGACCACTGCACCCCCATCAAGTCGCTGCGTAACATCAAGCAGGAGCCTGAGGACGATCCCCAGCTCGGCTCAGTACCTCTCACTCCGCAACGAGCCAAGGAGAGCGACCAATCTCGCTCCAGCTCCCCTCGAGCCGGTCCCAGCTCCGAGACCGACCCGTCCAAGGACAAGGAGAGGGACAGGGAGAGGGACAGGGAGAAGGACAGGGAGAAGGACAGGGAGAAGGACAGGGAGAGGAGCGAGCGGCAGAGAGAGAAGAGGAAGAAACGCCTTCACAACAAGGAGCTGAGCAAAGAGTTGAGCAAAGAGCTCAACCTGGAGATCCACAAGACGGAGAGCAGCCTGGCCAACGAGAACCAACAGCCCATCAAGACCGAAGGGGACGTGGAGAAAGCGGAGAAGCCCAAGCGCCAGCCGGCCAGCGGTGACAAACTGCACCGGCTCGGCAAAGGGCTGAACGGGGCAGCCAGGCTACGGCACCCGCTGGGCGGGGGGGAAGGGGGTGGCTTACGCCGAGCTCCCAGGGTCATCGCCCGCCCCCCACCCTCCATCTCGCCCACCAAGTTCATCCCCATGGAGCGTCACGTCATCAGGCCCCCGCCCGTCAGCCCGCCCCCGGACTCGCTCCCCCTGGTGGACGGGGAGGACCACGTGATTCAGAGGGAGGTGTGGATGGCTGTCTTCGGCTCCCTCAGCCGCAGGGACCTGTGCGTCTGTATGAGGGTCTGCAAAACCTGGAACAGATGGTGGGTGTTCAATGGAGTCTCTCTCTCTCACCCCCCCCCCCCTCCCCCAGTAGTGGCAGGGAGATGTGAAGCTGTGTGTCTGCCTTGTGTTCCTCTCGTCTGTCCTTATTAATAATAATCATAATAATGATGTTGACGACGATGATGATGATGTTGACAATAATTATATATAAGCGCTAATATTTATTTATGATGATATTTTTAGCGCTCCAGGGGCGCTACCCCACTTGAAGGACACTATATAAATGCAAGGTGTTGTGTGTGTGTATATATAATAATACTAATCGTTGGATTTGGTATAGCTCTTTATCACGTCCTTGAGACGTCTCCGAAAGCGCTTCACAGAATATACTGTAAAGTGCAGTGACTGTGAATTTTGCTGGTGAAACGCGGCAGCCAGTTTGCGCCCTGCACTGTCCCAGAAACACCACAAAATTGACACCTACACTTACAACTACAGCAACCTCACCCGTGCTCTTACACCCACAAAATCCACCCCATTCACTTGTTAGAGCGTAGTAGTAAGCCTCTTTGCTCTCGTCCTAACAGACCGCTGCTACTACGCTCGTGAAGAGCTTTTGAGATGTCATTTCCTATTAGCAGCCCATATCAAATGCAAGGATTTGTTATAATTGGAGTGTGTAGGAGGTGTGTGCAACAATTGAAACCAATTGAGGAGTTGAGAGTCATCCCCTGAGTAGCTGAAGAGTATTGTTGGTGACCGCTCCCTTCCAGCTGCCTCCACATTGCACTGATGACCCCTGAGAGAAAGGTTCTCTCTCCGTGTTGTCCCTGGTAGGTGTGAGTAATGCTGCACCTTACAACAGGGAGAAAATAACATGGTGGAAGCTTTCTCCTCCCCAATGGCCCCGTGGGTAACATCACAGCCTAGGGCAGCTTAGGCCAGGGAGTCGCAGGTTGCAATCCCATAGCGTAGTGGTTAGCGTGCTCGCCTCGCAGGCAAGAGGACCTGGATTCAATTCCTGGGCAGGGCGAAACCTTTGGCAAATTTCCTTACTCCACACACACACACACACACCTCTGTTTACCCAACAGTAAGTAAGAACCCAGTTGTTCGTGGATTGGGGGATCGCTTTTCGGGGGTAATAATCCCTCAAAATAAAATGTCACTCAATCCACGACTCTGTGGGACACTGCTGTGTGCAATTGACTGCCACAAAATACACAGCCAATTCACTTTACAGTAGCGCTTTGAGACGTCTCAGTGACGTGATAAGCCGCAAATCAAACGTAAGGATTATTATTACTAAGTCTAAGGATGTGAGGGAGGCCTGAGGTTAATCACTACTCTTACACAAAGGGAGATCTAGGTGTTACGAAGTGTTTGCTTAATAATTGCACGTTGGCTTCCCAGGTGCTGTGACAAGAGGTTGTGGACGAATATCGATTTGAATCGCTGTAAATCGATTACACCCCTCATGCTGAGTGGCATTATCAGGAGGCAACCCGTCACCCTGGACCTGAGCTGGACAAACATCTCGAAAAAACAGCTCACCTGGCTCATCAACCGGCTGCCAGGTAAGTGTTATTGGGAATGGAGGTTGGTGGTGTTGCCAATACAAGGTATTGCTACTGCTTTTACAACAACACATTGTATTTATATAGCTCTGAGACTCTGCCCTGTGTGAGTGGCGCTATATAAATTCTTTCATGTCGTCCTTGATATTGTCATACGAGGGCGTCCCAAGGCCCTGGACATTAAAGGGTTTGCACCCGAGCTGCCGGTTGGAATCAGAGAGGGGTGGAGGGCATGGGGAAGGGGATGGTGGTGGGAAAGTAACCAATGGCACTGTTGAAGAGGAGATTCTTGAGACGGGCCTTGAAGGAGGCAAGGGAGAGGCTCTGGAATGGGTTCCAGAGGGAGATTGAAAAAGGCTAAAGGCCCAACCTCCTATAGTGGTTTTTGGGCAGTCTCCACTTGGCCATTGGTTACTCACATTCACAATCTCTTTCATCTCCTTCCTTTAGGTCTGAAGGACTTGGTTGTCTCAGGCTGTTCCTGGGCAGCGATCTCTGCCCTCTGTAGTTCCAGTTGCCCTTTGCTCAGGATCCTCGACCTCAGATGGGTGGAAGGACTGAAAGACGCTCAGATGAGAGATTTGCTCTCCCCTCCAACTGACAACAGACCAGGTAAGAAACTGCTGTGGACGTCCACCTGCAGGGTTAGACCCAGGAATGGCGCCGGGCAATCTGGGTCCATTTTGCAAGGCTTCCTGAACTAATGTTTAATGAAGAATCAACCTGTGGTCTTTCATTGGAGATTAGCTATAACTTTATGGGCACACTGGCACTAGCAAGTACAAATAAGGAAACATTAAGGTTGACAGAACCCAAGTGAATCTTGAAGGGGGTGGGGGAATGTGGAGAGTTTGGGTTGGGGTTTTTATGAGAATAGACGGGCGCAAGGAATCCTTTTGGAGGTTGATTGGATGGGTTGGTAGATGGAAATATCAGTCTTATTGCTGCCTGAAACTGTTGCCCGTCTCGACTATGAAGGCCAGATCGACAATCGTAGCAAGCTACGTAACGTGATGGACCTGCGCCTGGGCGGGCTGGATGTCACGGACTCGACACTCCGGCTTATAATCCGCCACATGCCGCTGCTCGCCAAACTGGATCTCAGTTACTGCAATCACCTAACCGACCAGTCGATGAACTTGCTCACCGCGGTGGGCAGCAGCACCAGGGATTCCTTGACGGAGATCAACCTATCAGGTCAGAAACGCGCGCTAGGATCAAACCATTCCTATTGGAACGCACGGAGGTTAGCGGAGTTAAAACCGCCTTGCATGCTAGCAATGTGATTACAGTCCATTTGAGATGATATCCTGTTAAAAACGACTCCTGTGGATATTGTTCTGTTCTGTCCCACTTAATATCTGTCCAGTTATTTCTGTAGTCTCCAAATTCAAGTCAATGGCCATTACCAATGACCCAGCCTGTCCTTCCCCCCACCCCCCACCCGGGCATGAAATTGAGGAATAATAAGTCATTACATTTGAGAAGAGTGGCTATTGCATCAATGTCTCAAAGAACCTGAGTTTTCTGACTATTTGGAAATGTTGGGGGGGGGCGGGGAATGCACCTGAACAAGCAAAAGGGATCTCAGTGTAATGCCTCCTCAGACACCCAGACTGAAACCTCAAAAGTGCACATCGGGAACTGGCTTGAACCCACATTCTGACTCCGAAGCAAAAGTGCTACCGACACCTGAGAACGAATGAGCCTGTTTAAATTTGGCAATGAGTGGGATCAGGGGGCTATTTGACTGCATGGTTGGTGGGAAGGAGAGAGGGGAGAGGAGAGAGCGCAACAAGTTTATATCAGTGTGAACGGCTGAAGTGTAATTTCAGTGCAAAAGGTTACGCACAGCGACTGAAAATGTCCCTTTTTCTCCAGTTTGCAATCGAGTCACTGACCAATGCCTGGCCTACTTCAAACGTTGTGGCAACGTCTGTCGGATAGACCTCCGCTATTGCAAGCAGATAAGTAAAGAAGCTGTGAAAAGTTCATAGCAGAGATGTCTGTCAGTGTTCAGTTCAGCCTGTCAGAGGAGAGACTATTACAGAAACTTAGTTAACTGCAGGAAACCCAGTTGAAGGGACACTTGGAGACTTGTGTCCGTGAAGGAGGGACATCGGACGTTCTGCTCCCTGTCATTTAATTACTCCCAGCTTCCGCTTCAAACACAGGAAAAGCCTGGATTGGGCTGGTGGAGCGGAGAGATTGAAAACACTGTTCAGCAACAGAAGCTGCTTACTTTGAACCAGAAACTTTTCTACTGGCTTAAAAACATCACTCCGAAGTACAAAACTTTATGTTTTAAATGTGTGTGTGTGTCTGTATATATATATTATATATATATATATATATATAAAATGAAGAAACCCACACCCATTCACGAGCGTTTGACCGAACACGGAGGGAAAAGCGAGAGGGAGAAGAAAATAACAGATTGAACGCAACATTTCCATGCACGAATTACAATTAGGGGCATGTACATTGTAAATTTTTATTTTTTGTTCCTTTTTAAAACCGGCCGCAGTCTTAAAAACGAAAAAAAAAAATTGTGGACATATCCGACCGTATATTGGGAGTCATTTCAACCTGGTTATAAATAATGTTCTGTTTTGCTACACTCTTAACCATCGTACATTATCCAGAAATATTTTTGTACAGAAATTACTTTATTGAGAGTACAGTACTGTGAAAAAAAATCAATATTTCCAAATTCTCCCATTCTTACAATATCAGATTCCTTCCCATCAGTCGTTCGCTCGCTGGTGGTTTAATCTCTGTACAATTACACATGTTTCAATGACCATGTGGGTTGATCTGTGTGATGTTTGTATGTGCCATCATTGCATGCCTCTCAAAACAAGGGGCATTGAAGCAGCCACAATACTGTTAGGTGACTGATGTTGGTTTACCACTTAATTGCTGTTGCCATTTTGTCATTGCTGACTTTGTATAAAACTTTTGTCTTCAGCGATGCGTGCCCTCTTATTTTTACATCTAATGGGAGAGTGTTATTCGAAATGAAAGAACTGCCATTTTGATAGCACCTTATTGCCTCGCAACGAGTCAAAAGCACTTCACAGGTACTGAGAGCGAAGCTTAGTGGTTCGATAGACATTTGAGGCACTGATGGGCAGAGCACTGGGAGAAACTCTTCTCTTTTTGCAGTAGGGTCTTTACTATGCGTAGAGGGGTTGGCAGGTAGGTGTTGGAAGTTCTCTAAAGGTATTGAGTGAACAGGTTACAGTTTCTGTCCAATTACAGATGTGTATCATTAAGAAAAGGCAAACATTTACTTGCTTTAAAGAAATGGAAGGAAAATTATAAAAATGATTTTGCTGAATTGAGTTTCTTGACGAGACCCATGTTCTGCTGGCACAGGCTATACTGGGTCCATTCTGAATAGGCTCCATTGATACCCAGACCAGCATGAGTCTGATTTTTTGATTTGTAAAGCCTCTTCTTATAATAAAAATAATCCTTGCATTTGAATATAGCACCTTATCAGATCTTTGAGATGTCTCAAAGCACTGCACAGAATATACTGTAAAGTGAATTGAGTTTATATTTTGCTGGCAAATGTGGCAGCCAATTGCGCACAGCAGTGTCCCACAAACAGTCGTAGATTGAAGTGACCAATTTTTTATTATTATTATTATTCCTTCCCACTTATTGTATGTATAACCTTCCATCAATACCTGGGTCCAAATTAAAAGTGAAAGGTACAAGTGAATTAAAACCAGTAAACAATTGGGAAGGGGTAAGCAGGTTGAGAACTGATTTTAGTGTCCGTCAATTCACTTTTGTTGCAAAGACTTAAGCTTCCATTTAATCCAATTCATTTATTAGTCAAATGGCAGAAATAATAAAATGAATTTCAAAACCTCCAGATATACAAAAAGGTAAGTTGGGAGCGAGGGAGTAAATTGTGATGGATACAACTGTTAGCCGAACATACTGATAACGTCTTGAAGTCACACAAACGGGGTCTCCTTTCTGTCAAAAGCTGATTTCTCTCTCACACGCACACATGTGTGCACACACACACACATATACACAGCACAATGACTAAGCTACTGACCAACTTAATCCTTGAAAAAGTAAAATTCCAGGAGACTTATAAAAATTATACGAAAAGTTCAAAATAGAATTTTCTTCCAACTTTTTTTTGCAATGTGTCCGTTTGAGTTGCAGGTTCTAGCTGTCGATTCTAGTGGTCAAAACAGATTTAACTTGGATCGTTTTTTATGCACCTTAAGGTTAATAATGTAAGTAGCTTTGTTGTGCACTGATTTCTGTAAGGCTTCCAGTCAATAAGCAACTATGATAAATTGTTAGTAAGACTAAAAATCATTTTTTTTTCCCTGCAAAAAAAATCAAATGTCCGAATGATAAAAAAAAATTAACCGGCGTTACTGATAACATTGACTCGTTTTAATCCATGGGTTTATCAAGCATCCTGATCAGTTAAAAGCCAGATCTCTGGTAATGCGCAATGCGACCTGCTCTCGGTTCTTAAGACTTGAAGACGTGCACTGCCCGAACCACATACTGCCGGCAAATGGGGCACTCGCTCATTCTCTTGCCGCACTTGGTGCAGGTGACCATGTGTCCGCACTCCAGGAGCACGCAGTCGATCGCTGAGTCCATGCAGATCCGGCACAGGTTCTCGTCGCTACCCAACTGCATCTTCTCTCCTTCTGAAAGGGAAATGGCCGGCTAACATCAAGCGGAGCATCAACAAGGCTCTCAATCAGACACTCCTCCAGGTAATGTCTGCGGTCTTCATTATAATCATGTGTAAACTTGTCGCCCTTTATTTTTAAGTGCATTTTAATTTAATTATAAAATAATAATAATCCTTGCATTCGACACAGCGCCTTATCAAGAAATATCAGCCTAAAATGAAAGGGATTTAAAATCCCTCTTAAGAATTTTGGGAAAATAAGGAACTTATAATATAATAATCTTTGCATTTGATATTGCGCCTTATCAGGTCTTTAAGACGTCTCAAAATGCTTAAAGTGAACTGTCTGTCTCTTGGGGGTGAAGCAGCTTTACTCTCACTCCTACTGTAACTTGTAACAGCGCCTTGGGACGTCCTCCCGACGTGAAAGGCGCTCTATAAATGGAATCTTGTTGTTGTTGTTGTTGTAACTAACAGCAAAATGGCCGGGAACTTACCAGTCGCTGCCTCTGGGTTGTTTCCGTTTTCCACTGGAAAATAAATAATTTTTTTTTAAAAAAACAAAAACGAATTAAAAAATGTACTTCTCATCATAACACATTTCAGCTTGTAAAAGCAGACTTACACGCCTTGCGGTTTTCTTCTGTCTCTTTGTATAACCTGCTTACTCGTTCCACCAATTCCCATTTTTCACAGCAACCCGAGTAGTTGACAAAATTGCGAGCCAGGATTTCCTTCAGCTGACGTACAGTCAGCTCCTCAATGTCGTTAATACTGGACAGGTCCGACAATGAGGCTCGTGTTCGTTTTGGAGGGATGTCAGGACTGGGATCGTTTACCTGCGAGAAACAAACACGATTAATAAGAAAGATGATTCTTCAAGCTGTGTGCATCTCTTCAGTAGCTTTCACAAACCACATCGGGTTAGTTTCCTCATTGCTGATTTGCTTCCAAATTGTGTGTGCAGTTTGACAGAAAAAAGCAAGTGTAATTGTCATTCTGAGAAAGTACATCAATAACTTGCACTTATATAGCGCTGTACATATTGGATCAATGTGAGGTGAAGAGAACTCTTCATTCAGCCCCATTTGATGATATCATTCTGGACGGAATCCCATCCATTACGGCATTGAGACAATTCTTAAAAGAGTGAAGAACTTGATGCGATTGTGGGAAAACGGCCAATTTATTAGGAGTGCTACTGATGCAGGAACACCGGATTTTGCATAGGCTTGAATGTACAATCGATTTAAGGGCTGAATAGTCAAACTCCATTTGGCTGCTGATGGTACAGTAGTATAGTTTGAAAGGCACAAAAAGGAAATTTGAATGAATTGGTACCAATTGCTTCTCAAACACCTAGTGAGCAAAATCCATTATAAAATAATAATAATAATCCTTGCATTCAACACAGCGCCTTATCAAGAAGTATCAGCCTAAAACAAAAGGGATTTAAAATCCCTCTTAAGAATTTTTGGAAAATAAGGAACTTATAATATTTGGAAATAATAATAATACTGTACCTGCTGCACTTGTGTAGTTCCTGAACTGGGCCTTCTGCTGGAGGCTGTCTCCTGAGAGGGTGGGGCTGGGGATGCTGAAGGATTGGTAGGTAATTGTGAACTCTGCGATCTCGAGGAGTCTATACTCTCAATGTCCATGCTATCCTCACCCGATCCATAATGGCCCAATACTAGATCTACCAAGTCCTCCTTTTCCCGACATGTGTCTGTGGAGATGTTCCTTAGGCTGAGATATTGACGCAGATCCTTCACCTTTAGCTTCATTAACTCGCTCCGCTGGAACGCAGTCTGTTGCAGCAGCTGACATGTGCAGCATCTTCGTAGATTCTCTTGCAGTACTGAGCAGAACGAACAGAAATTCTTCTTGCAGTCTTTACATACATACTGGCAAAGCGAGAAGAAACAGTTCTCTTTAGGCACTTGATAACGTTACTCTTCCTTTATTCTAAGTTAGCTTCAGTATATAAATGTATATCAAGTAAATATCAAGTATCCCTTAAATTCATATTACTCAGTTATTCTCGAATGCAACTAAATCATTAAAGTAATAAGCAGACAATTCCCCGCAATTCTTTTGAGTATAAAGACAGTGGAGTTTTATAAAAGTAGTTTACTAAAACAATAGTTGCTTGATTCATAGTTTTATATTCATCATAATTCAAATTTATAGTTGTAGAAAGAAAGCAAAATTGTATTTTTAGTACATTATCATGTCAAAGTGTCGCACTTTATAGCAAATTGTTAATTACAGTGACCGTTTTTAGGCAAACAGTCGCCCCAAACCAAAAACGTGGAAAACTGATTCAAATGTGGATTATTGACTAATCCATCACCCTTTGTGGAGAGGATTCAGAGCTGTGAAGTTGCTGGCATGGATTCAGAGCTGTGAAGTTGCTGGCATGGTTAAATAGGGTACAAAAGTACCTCATAATTCTCTCCAGGCTCTTTAAAATTTACTGGAATTACATTGCTGATGGTTATGCCTCATATAATGAGTGGTGTTTAACTACGGGAAAGTAATTTTTGCGTATCTGTGAAGAATAGTAATAATTTGTTTCACTTGTACATACTGTCTCTGGCTACAAAGAAGTCAGATAGAAATGAGAAATACGTGCAGAAACACAGATACAGAATTACTGGTTATTGCAGCTACAAGAACATTACTAACTGCTGGCCACTCTAGTAAAAGAGTAAAATCACTGCATTTGTCCTTGATAAACCATGTACTCCACAGTACTTCACTCCAGTCTTCATGTTAAAAATTAAACTAGAGTTAAGTTAATTGAAGCCAGGTAAGCACTTCCCCCAAATTGTTTATTTCACTTTTTCACCAATAAATATTGCTTTAAGTAACACACAGTATGTCAGCTTTCCCCTAATGTTATCACACTTCAAACAACAAATGCATTTTTTTTTAAATCACGCTCAAAGCTGACAATGCGTTCAAAACTGTAAAGTGCTTGAATTTTAGAATAACATGAATAAATCTAGTTGAGAATATCCACACAGAATTCCAACAGGTGCTTTTAGACAAAGAACTGAAAACAATTAAGTTTTTTTTCTTTTTAAAAAACATCTGGCACATCATCAATGTGCGCGTAAACCGATACCCAGTTTAGTAAACTGCTAAAATGTTTAATTACACCAGAAAGGGGAGGCGAGGGAACAAATAGAGATATTAAAAATATTTTCAGTGAAGTCTTTATATAGTCCGTATCAAGATTCACCATACCTACAGAGACAGATCCATCTATCAACTCAAGCTACTTCTTCTCTCCCCCCCCCACCCCCCGCCCCACAACTTAATGCAGAAAGACAATTTTATTTTTCAACGAGTACTTTTGTAACGATAACCAAACTCACCTTCTTTCTAAAGACGGAGAAGGCTTGCCCGCAGCTTTTGCAGACTAGATTAGGAACTCCTGGTGTTGGGGAGGGATATGAAGAATAGCCTGCGTTACGAGCGAATCTGAATGGCCCCGTTGCTCCACTGAACCCTGGCTGCTGCCCACGCACCGCTCCAGTCCCCATTACTTCATTCAGCAGACCACAACACGAAGCCCACATCGATGATGCTCCTGCCTACACAACAGATTCACATACATTTACTCAACTGTGTTCTTTGCTGCAAAAGAATGCTTCACAGTCTACCACTCGATGTTGAACGAAATGAGAAGCCATCGGTGAATTCTGTTACCTCACTGCAGCAACAAATAGAAGGAGAAGAAAAGGATAATGGTGGGAATGAAAGCACAATTCCACATTTTCCAACACAACTGGCTATTTACAATCCTACTAATCTATTCCAATTGTACTAAACTGCAGAAATAAATATTTTCAGGTCTTGCAATGCAATCTTGAAATTAAAGGAATGCAGGCATTATTGTAGGTACTTTCTTTGTCTTAGTATACACAAGTGACAAAAGAGGTCATCTGAGGTAACCAGGGAGCAAACATTTAAGGCTGTTGCACTTTCTCTGATATAAATGTACGCAAAGTAGGCCTCAGCAGAAAGCTTAAAGGGGGAAAACAAAGTTTGGAGGTACACTTTGCATTCAATGTATCCCAGGATTACACTGGAAAAATATTCAAATGTTTCAACTTGCTAAACGATTCTCAATTATTGACATCCTGCAAATGATCGGGGTTGGACATACTACTCAGCACAGTGTCATTTACTTTAGAGGAGGAGAGTGATCTCTAAAGACAGACATGAGGGCCAATCCAGCACCGACATCCCTGGGAAAGTGAAGACGATCCCTCCCAGGTGTTAGAGCATACTTATGGGCTTTGGGCCTTCACAGGGTTGAATGGCTCACAGTCAACTCTTAGACCAGACTCAAGGACCCAATTTCCTTTGAGGTAAGTGGAGTCTCGAAACATGAGCAGGTTTTACCAGCAGTCAAAACAGTTTAGTCATGTTCTTAATATAGAAAGCACTCCATTTTCCTTTAAACATTATTTAGAGAAGGGAAGTCAAATAACTTTCAACTTGTATGTTGCTTTACTTTTCATATTCAACATTGCACTGTATATCTGAGATGTAGCAAAAACAGTACAATGAAATCATAGTCATTTAAATTTAGCCAAATATCTATTTACCATCAATTATTTGATACCCACTACTGATACATCTTACATCAATATCCTAATCCTGCAAACTAAATGATTCCCAGAACAGTGGATAAGTCATTTTATAATAATAATCCCTGTATTTGATATAGCACCTTATCGCATCATCGAGACGTCTCAAAGCGCTTCACAGGATATACCGTAAAATAGATTGATTGTGTAATTTGTGTGCGAAACGTTAATGTTAATGTTGGGTATATAAATAGTAATATAATCCTTGCATTTGATATAGCGCTTTTCATGTCTTCTAGACGTCTCAAAGCGCTGCACAGAATATACTGTGATGTGAATTGACTGTATATTTGTGGACAAAACATGGCAGCCAATTGTGCACAGCAGTGTCCCACAAACAGTTGTGGATTGAAGTGACCAATTTTATTATTATTTTTCTTGAGAGATTATCATCATGTGTGTAAAAAGGAAATTTGCCCAAGATTTCGTCCTGCCAGGAATCAAACCCAGATCTCTCGCTTGCGAGGCCAGTGCTCTAACCACTGAGCTACAGGACTCCTGAAATGTATTATTACACTACCTATTATCTATCTAGCAACTGTTTACAGGTGAAGTTATTTGGGAACAATTTTACTATCTACCTTCAAAAAAAGCTAATTTGGGGATATTAGAGGAAGGGCCTGCAGCCTGAAGACTTTCTTTTAATATGAGGGGAAAGTTATCCATCAGACCTTCTAATGTAATTGCCATTACAATCCATAATTAAAAAGGAACAATAGGACAAAAAGCCAAGACTGCACCTGAGCCAAATGGAGATCAGCTTGAAATGGAAAATTTACAACCAAGACAATATTCCCTTCTTGCTGAAAGAATACACTGGGGAGCCATCAGCAGAAAGAATAACAAGTTTCCAATGATGTCTCGGCAGGTATCACATTTTTCAAGTGAGGTAATGAGCCATACAGACTAGCAGGATGCCAGGTTGCCGATCTGTGCTGAGTTGGCAGCTTGCAACTGAAGCCAGCAATAGGAGGAATTACAACTGGAGAAGCATCCCTTCATTAGGGAAGGAAAGCGGTCTGGAATGTTACTCCTGATCTCTCTCCTGTAATTCCTGTTGAGTCTCTGATCTGATACCCTCACTATCACCCCCCCCCCCCCCCCCCACCCACCCAGTCAAATAATCAGCTACTATCCCAGATGCACAATCACCAGCGGTGCAGTGTACCAGCAATCCACTGGCACTGGTAAGGGTCGGTTCCAAAGTTGGGCGATGAGCGCATCCGACACAAACACACAATCCCAAGGGGGACAGTGGGTGAGCGTCCGTGGCGAGGCGACAACGGGGCCAGGAAGGAAGCGAGCGAGAAAACGCAGATTCCGAAACCCAAAACAGTCACTCCGCTCTTAAGCATACAGTTCTGCGAACCGCTTTGAGATGCCTCAATGACGTGATAAGGCGCTATATCAAATGCGAGGATTATTATAATTCTCCTTAACAGAAAGGACTACAGCCGATGACTAACAGTGACCAGGGTAGAGGAACATTGAGGCCAGAAAATGTGAGCAAATAGATTCCCCCCCCCATTTACAAAACAAGTCACCCCACATGACAGGTGAAGGGCTTTGAGGCGTTTCCATCACAGGAGGAACTGCATCAAACGCATCGATGTCGACGAAAACGTGATCTGTTCCCTTCAGAGTGGGTGGGGGTGTGTGTGTGTGTGGGGGGTCACCCCCGAGGTCAGAGGCCGCCCTCAAGAGCTGGTCACAGCCCCAATTTCACCGCTGACGACACGGCCTCGCCAGCAACCAGACCCCGGCGCTTTGAGGCCGAGGAGGAGGAGGAGGCGGGTTGTGAAGCTGCCGCGGGAACAGGGCGTCAAACTCGGCGGCTTTATCCCCTCCCTCCCTCCCTCCCAGGCCTCGTCCCCCGGGTGCCCGGAGGCCCCACCACCCCCGGGGTGCGGTCTCTCTCCTCTCTCTCTCTCTCGCGGCTCCCACCCCTGCCCTCCGCGTTAGGCTTCTGGAAGCTTCTGGAAGCGCCTCTCTCTCCCGCCGAGCTCGCGCTCCCTTTTTTTTCCCCCCTTTCTCTCCACCCACCGACCCCCTTCTCTTTCTTTTTTTTAAAAAAAAAGTACCTTCATGACAGTCGTCCGCCGGCCGCGTCCCCAAAGCGCGCGGACATGACAGGAGCCGCCGCCGCCGGTAAGCAACGAGACTGAAAGGCTCCCCGAGCACCGGGACTCCTGTCAGATCGCGGCGCTCGCTCGCTCGCTCGCTCAGCCCGTCCCGTCCCGGCTGTCAGTCAGCGCTCAGAGGGTGGGCGGACCATGCGACGGAGCTCCCCATTGGTCAGTCTAGATGCCAATCAGCCATTAAAAGGGGGAGGGGCGTGTTCCACCACCGATTGGTCAATCGCTGTGTCAATCAGGACTAGACCCGCCGCGCCCCCCGCCCTCCCATTGGTCAGCCGCGTTATCAATCATTGTCTCAGCGCCGGCCCGAAGATGACGCTCCCCCTTGACGTGGGCGGGACGATGGGGGTCGGGGGCGGGATTTGCGCCGCACTGTGGGGGCAATGGAAGAACACAATAATAATAATAATAATAATAATAATCCTTACATTTGATATGGCGCCTTATCACATAGTTGGGACGTCTCAAAGCGTTTCACAGAATATATTGCAAAGTGGATTGACTGTATTTTGCGGGTGAAACGCAGCAGCCAATTGCGCCCAGCGGTGTCAATGTATATAATTCAAGCGAAAGAATGCTAACCCTAACCAAGCGCTTTCGCCTCGCTTCCTCCCTTTCCTCCTTCAAGGCCGGTCTCAAGACCTTTCTCTTCAACCGTGCCTTCAGCTCCCCTCTCGACTCTCTACCCCCTCCTCGCTCCCTCCCTTCCCTCCCCTTCTCGCTCCCTCCCTTCCCTCCCCTTCTCGCTCCCTCCCTTCCCTCCCCTTCTCGCTCCCTCCCTTCCCTCCCCTTCTCGCTCCCTCCCTTCCCTCCCCTTCTCGCTCCCTCCCTTCCCTCCCCTTCTCGCTCCCTCCCTTCCCTCGCCTCACCCTGACCATTTCCCCCCAATGCTCGGGTCCCGACCCAACTGTCCAGTGCCTTGGGATGTCCTCCCGACGTGAAAGGCGCTCTATAAATGCAATCTTTTTGTTGTTGTTGTTGTTATTGTTGCCTCAGCTGGCAAAGGCACTGTTTGGTACAGCACTGGACCGATCAGGCCAGAAGGTTGCAGGTTCAAATCCCTGTCTGATCCCAGTCTGCTGATCTATATTTGCCAAGGCGACTGAGGCAAACATCAGTTTTTATGGTGATCTAATTTTAAGATTTTACTGGGTATACCTAAAGTCAAATGCCAATGAATCATCTCCACCTACTCCTATGCACATCAAAATCCTAGATCTGCACAAAAATAAAAAGGGACTGCAAAACTAACCATATATTCGCTAAAGCACAGTCATGTTTTAAATTTCTCATTTTACGACAGTGCTATTAAATAACAAAATTACTCCTTAAACAAAAAGCCAGGGCACTCATAGTCTTGGCCCATACACAAAGGCCTCTCGGTTTTGTCAGTGGCGCCTCCCACCTTTCAGATGAGACAATAAAATAAAGTCTGCCTGTTTAGATGGTTGTTAAAGATACCATTGAAAAGAGAAGGGAATTTCTCCCAGTGTCTTGGCTGACAGCCCTTTAAATAATCGGTTGTACACCCTCATGACTCGTTTGTGGGACTTTGCTGCGTACAAATTGGCTGTCGGATTTGCCCACTTGACAAACGCAGTATGCAATCGAAATGCCTTGGGACGTCCTCCCAACACGAAAAGCGCCATATACGTGCGATTTGTTGTTGTTGTTGTTGTTGTCGTCGTCGTCTGTAATGAACTGTGAGCATCATTTTGCCATTGATAACGCAATCAACACCGAGCTAACTTAAAGGAGTCTCTCACTCTGAAAGGTCTACAGCAACCCATTATTGATTAAACAGGTTTGCAACCGTTCTCACTCTTAAATTCCTCTCCCTGCCATTGGTGCCGGTGGGGCGGTGCTGGCCGGACGGCGGCAGGTCCGGCGCGGGTCTCCTCCGTGTGCTGGAGAAGGGAGAAAAGACTTGGCTGTGGCTCCCCAGGTGGCAAGGGATGGGGAGGGGGGAGGCGTAACCATGGCGACTAAACAATTCCCCCCCCCCACACACCCTCTCCTCCTCCTCCCCTCCCCCACCTCTATTGGCCTGGAAACGGATGGCCGAGACGTCGTCGTCGATCGTGCTTTGAATCGATTGATCGGACTGCGCCGGTAACGTGCGTGCGTGCGGCGCGCGCGGTGCGCGGTGCGTGCGCGGTGCGTGCGTGCGTGCGTCGCTCCAGGCCGTAGAGGCGGTAAATATGGAGGCGCTTTCTTTTTCATCCTTTTGTGTGTGTGTGTGGGGGTTTTTTTTTTCTTTTAAAAAGGGGCCTATCATTCCCTTCCTCTGGTCGCCCGTCACCTCGTGGTTACGAAAGGCGGACTGAGGCGCACTCAGGCTGGAGCGGGGTCCCGCAGGTTCCCATTCAGGCCTATATTGTTGTTGTCGTCGTCGTCGTCGTTGTTAGGGGGTCTTTTGGCGCCAAAACAATAGCCCAAATCTTGTCGTGAACACTGCTCTAAAATCTTTATGGCCGTGACACGACTGTGGAGTCCCCGCAGCTCAGTGGTTAAGAGCACTGGAGTGGCGAGAGACCCCGGGGTTCAATCCCAGGCCGGTCAGGGGCCAAACCCCGGGCAGGTTCCCTTACTCCACACACACACACACACACACACACAGCCCTAATAATAACCCCCTCCCCAAAAAACACCCCCCAAAACCATAATAAATTGGTCGTTTTCAATCGGACGCCGCTGCGCGCAGTCGGCCGCCGCGTTCGCCCACAAACCCATACACAGTCGATTCACTTTACGGTGTGTTCTGCGAAGCGCTTTGGGACGACGTCCTCCCCCGACGTGAAAAGCGCTATATCAAATGCAAGGATTATTATTGTTGTTATTACTGCTGCGAGTGTATACCGTGCGCACGTTAAAATAGTGCTGTCACCGCCTCTCTCCGCACCACCCACACGTGCAGTCGTTGCTTAACTCTTTGAGCAGTTATTAAGTCGTGTCATGTGTTTTCTGGGACATGAAATTGCAGTCGATCTGTGGCGTCCTGTGGCAGCAGTGGTTTAGCGCGAGGATCTGGGTCCGATTCCCAAGCAGGGTGAAACCTCAGGCAAAGTTTCCTTACCCCTCCACCCGCACGCCTCGGTGTTTACCCGGCAGTAAGCAGGGACCCGGTTGTTAGTCGATTGGCGGATCGCTTTTCCGGGGATAATAATCCCTTCCGAAAAAAAATGATAGCAAGAATAATTTGGTGGTCACTTCAGTCCACGACTGTTTGTGGGGACACTGCTGTGCGCAATTGGCTGCCGCGTTTCGCCCACAAAATATACAATGAATCCACTTTGCAATATATTCTGTGACGCGCTTTGAGACATTTGAACGACGTGATAAGGCGCTCTATCAAATGCAGGAATTATTATCTCATGCCCTCTAACATAGAAACCTTTCAGAGAGCGAACTTTGCAGGGAATTGATGTCAAATGTAGTGACTTTTTTTTCTCCGTATGTTCAGGTCTTGTTTTTTCTGACAGTTTAATTCCGTCCCATCGCCCGCCATGGCCAGTGTTCATGAGAGCATGTTCTTTAACCCAATGATGGCCAACGGTGTGGTTCACGCCAACGTCTTTGGTATCAAGGACTGGGTGACCCCGCACAAGATCTCCATCCTGCTTTTGCTGCACGAAATGGCCACCTGCAAGAGTCAGGGGACGCCAGAGTTTGAAACCAGGCGGCTTCATATGAACAAGATGATCTTGCCCTTGCTGCAGGTGAGAGTCCATATCTCGAGGGAATCCAGAAACTCTGGAACACTCTCCCTGAATCCCTCCACCTCAACGGGATTGATGGACTGAATGGCTCCTAAATACTACTGTACTAATGCTCGATTGTTGTTAAGTTAACAAATAATTTTCTCATCAAAGTATATCTGCCAATATATTTATTTTCGTAGGGTCCCGATATGCCTCTTCTTCAGTTGCTTAAAACTATTCGAGAATGCTGCCCTAAGCTTGCAAATGATGTTACTACAAGGTAAATGTGTATATTTTATCTTTATTTCTGTCAAGTCCCATTTTACATAGAATCACAGCATGATTACAACTATTGTCTACATGCTAGTCCTCGTTTCCCATTGGAGCTGACTGCTCTAATCCCTTTCCCTGTGCCCATTGAACCCGTCCCCGGCTCGGTGTCAGGCTCCACTACTGTTAAGTGCTCTGAGACACTGCCCCGCTATATAAATGCAAGTTGTTGATTATATTTTTGTGTATATGAACTCCGCTTCAATAGCTTTATGTAGCTGGGAATTAACTTTTTATCAGTTTGTTATAAATTATTTTATTTTAGTAAAACCCAAGATCTTGTTTAAAAACAAGTTTCATGTCTGAATGATTTCACTTTGAATCTGTCTTTTTTTAGAGTCGTACTGATGGCTGAAGGAGAGTTGAAAGATATGGAAAATTTCTTCTATTCTCTGCAGGATGTTTTCAGTGGGACCGAACCAGCGGTTCACAAAACAAGTGTGATAGGTAGGAATTGTGCTATTTTGGGAATGATTATTTATCTCTTCCTGTGATTGAAATTAATTTTTAATTTAATTTTTTTTATTAACAGATAAACAATTATTTATCATTTAAAAATCATGATTTATTTTCCCCCGCAAAATACACAGTCAACTTGCTTTACAGTAAATTCTGTGAATGTACCAATGATGGGATAAGGCGCTATATCAAATGCAAGGTGTATTACTATTATTTATAGTCAAATCCTAACATGAACTGTTTTCTGCAGGTCTGTTCTTACGCCACATGATCTTGGCTTATAATAAACTGTCCTTCAGCCAGGTCTACAAACTTTACACCGCTCTGCAACAGTATTACCAGAGTTACGAAAATTTGACTTCAAGAGCCACCGAAAGAGAGGAGACAGATATGGAATTGACAACTTTAGATCTGGAAGGGAAGATGGAAAAAGAGGAGTTGGAGTTTCGACTACGGTACACTTTGTACCTTAATACCTTTACTCTCTTCACTCTCATTCAGCCTTTAGAATCCTCCCAAAAATCTACCTCTCTGACTCTGCATTGTCATACTTTCCCCTCCTTTTCCCACCTTGCTCAATCCGTCTCTGTAAAGTGCTTTGAAACAACAACAACAAATTACATTTGTATAGTGCCTTTCACGTCTGGAGAACATCCCAAGGTGCTTGACAGTCAGGGATTTGGACCCGAGAAGGGAGTTTGAGGTGGAGGGAAGGGGTAGGAGAGTGAACGAAGACCTGGTCAAAGAGTAGGGTTTTGAGGGTTTTGAGACGTGCCTTGAAGGAGATAAGGGAGGGAACAGGGTGAAGGCATTGTGGGACGGAGTTCCAAAAGGTGGGGGCAGAGAGGTTGAAGGCCTGACTGCTGATGGTGGGCCAGGCAGGACATGGTACATGGAGCCTGCAGAGCGGCTCTCACTGCTATGTGAGAACCTGTGTAAGTTGCTGTAGGTTAACTAACACCAAGATTTCTGGCTAATGGGTTAAAGGGGGGAGAAGTAGGTTTAGGTGTTTGCCATCTTCAATTTCTATTTTGTCCCCTATTGTCTATTTTCACGGTTAACATGTTGACTCTGATGTTGTTTGACAGGGATGATGAAGTCATTGACAGAGGGCCTCTATCCCAGAAACAGGCAGAATATTTTCTCGCTGAACAGGTATAGTATTGCCTCGTGTCTTCGTAAAGGGTTGTGATGTGGGCAGGCAGAGAGTGGAACATTGGGTGGGCATTGGTCAAAGTGGCACATGGATATATTTCATACGTCTCATGGTTTGGGACTCAGGGATGTCCTCCTGACGTGAAAATAACAAAGGGCTAAAGGGAATTGGTTTAGAGTAGAGGGTTCCAGTGGGGGAGCTAGAACCAGCACAAAAGACATGATGGGCTAAATGGACCTCTCTGCTGTAAACGTTCTATCCAGTCCAAAACTTGCTGAGCAGATAAGTTTTTACATCCCCTGTGATAGATACATAGATATTTGTTAGGTAAGGGTATCAAGGGGTATGGGCGGGTAATTGGAGTTGAGGTAGAGATCTGTCATGATCTTATAGAATGGCGGAACAGGCTTGAGGGGCTGAATGACCTACTCTTGTTACAAAGTTTTTATATTTCTGTGTTTCTACACTGCAAGGATTAGTCACGTATTGTTTGCTGAACGGAAATTGTGGCCGTGCAGAACTGAGATGTGGGAAGAAGTATAGAGCAGACTTGCAGTTGAGTGCCTATCTAGTCTTGGGCTACAGCTACGGTTAATAAATAGATATTAAAGCACATAAATTGGATGGATCTGTTCTGATTCTCCTTGACCCACACAGAACATATCGCAAGCTCCTGTTGCAGAGTACGGTTAATACTGTACAGTGATAATCTTGTACAAGTATAGAACAAAGCACCGCTCAGACTGGATTTAAAAGCTAAGACGAATGTCATTGTTCCATGCGCACCAGCTTGGCCCTGGACGAATGACGCATGTGTCATTCCGGGTGAGGGGTGATCTGATTGAGGTGTTTAAAATGATAAAAGGATTTAATAGGGGTAACTGCAGAGAAACTATTTCCTCTGGTGGGGGAATCCAGAACAAGGGGCCATTTAGAAGTGAAATCAGGAAGCATTTTTTCACGCATGCAAAGGATAGCGGAAATCTGTAACTCACTCTCCCAAAAGGCAATTGGAGTTGAGGTACAGATCAGCCATGATCTAATTGAATGGCAGAACAGGCTCGAGGGGCTGAATGGCCTCCTCCTATTGCTATGTACCATTGTGAATGTTAAATTTTGCAGGCCTCTCTGTTGAAAAATAATGAAAACAAAGCACTCTCACCGGCCACTCTACAGAAGGAACTCAACAACTTGCTGAAATTCAATCCAGATTTCGCAGAAGCTGTGAGTATTCAAATTCACCACACATTTGTTTTTTTTTTCTGTATAGGTACTTAAATTCCTATCATGGACCATAAATTCAAGAGTTGAAATCTTGTGTTTGTTTCAGCATTACCTGAGCTACCTGAACAGTCTGCGTGTACAGGACTATTTCAGTGCCATGCACAGCCTCCTACACTACTTCGATAGATTAATCCTTACCGGCAGCGACAGCAAAAGCAGTGGAGAGGATGGATTTGGACGAAGTCTGCGATATGCAGCACTCAATCTTGCTGCTCTGAACTGTAGATTTGGCCACCAGTAAGCATCTCAGGATCAAATATGTGTTTTACTTACCGGTACATTCTCTGGAGTGAGAATCATATGCAGCTCAGTTTAAACTGCACAGTACCCAGATTATTGTTATAGATTTGTTTCACCCACAAAATTTACAGTCAATTCACTTTACAGTATATCCTGTGAAGTGCTTTGAGACATCTCAACGACGTAATAAGGTGCTATATCAAATGCAAGGATTATTGTTATTATTGTTGCCTCAAGTTATCTAATAGAAATGTTCTTCTCTCTTCTGAAGGGAGTGACATGCTGGAGTACAGTTCTGGCTGACCCCCCCTGTACAGCTTTTTCTTGTTATACTAGTTTATTAGGAAAGTTATGTGCTTCTTATTAATTAAGAGAACATCTCTGCTCTTCTGACTGCCTTTTCTCTTATTGTTTCTGTAGTGAGCAGGCCCAGTTTGCCTTACAGGAAGCTATACGTATTGCACAGGAATCCAGTGACCATGTGTGTTTACAGCACTGCTTGGTAAGGTTGATGGGGTGACAGAGACAGACTCTTTCTCTCTTTAAGTGTGCTGTTTGAATTCATTTAGTGCTTCGTGGTTGTAGATTGCACGTAAACTGGCTGCTGCGTTTTTCCCACAAAATACAGTTAATCCACTTTACAGTGTTATCCTGTGAAACGATTTGAGACATCTCAACGATGTGGTGAGGCGCTATATTAAATGCAAGGATGATGATAATTATTCTTATTATGTGTGCTGTATCCAGCTTCATCTATTGATCTTTCATTTTTAATAGAGTTGGCTGTACATACTCGACCAGATGAAAGGATCGGATAACACAATTCTTGTTGAACACTCAGTGAAAAAAGCAGGACAACTTGGCTTACCTGTGAGTGGCTTTCTGTATTAAACTCTCAAAGCAAAATCTTCATCAAATGAGCATGTTTTAAAGAGGCAAACTTCATAAAATAGCTGTAAATTTCTACCCCTGTTTGGAAGATTTTTTTNATATACCCTTTGTTCTTTTGAACAATTTGAGCTTATCGCGTCCCATGACGTTATTTGAAAGAGAGAGGCACATCTCCAGGTGTACTCCTCAACACTCCTCCAGGTTAATTCATTCACTTGTCTCATGTGGGAAGATTGTGTGCAAATAGCAGCCGTGTTTGCCTACAAGAGTTTAGGACACTGGACAGTAATTACTTGAAGATCTCGATTTGTGATTAGCTTTTGAGACATTTTGACGTAACTAGGTGTGATAGAAATATATGCTCTTTCTCTTCTATCTGTAGTACTTAGCTTCCCTGGGCATCCAATCCCTGGTCCAACAAAGGGCCTTTTCTGGCAGGTCAGCAAACAAGCTAATGGATGCCATGAAGGACTCTGACATGTTGCATTGGAAACACGGCCTTTCAGAACTTATTGACGTTAGCATAGCACAGAAAACTGCAATTTGGAAAATGTACGGTCAAAGGTACGTATGAGTTACATTCTCGATCGTTGTTAATTCAGTGCATGTTGTGGGCTTGAGCTCATAGTTTGGCCTAACATCGCAGTACATTCCTGGGAGAGCACTGACTGATTTCCTCCAACCTTTGAAGCCAAGAGTGTTGATGCACTATTGCCTAGGGCAACGTCAGGTGGTGTCTGAGCAAACTAAGATGCAAACCTGTCCCCACCCTCTGGAACTTTATCCCCGAATCCCTCCACCGCCTTTCTCCTCCTTCAAAGCCCGTCTCAAGTCCTTGCCTGTGGCCACACTCCCACCCCCACTCTCCCTACCCTCAAGCCCTCTTGATTCCAACCCCGAGCTCAGGTGCAAACCCTTAACTGTCCAGCAGCTTGGGACGTCCTTCTGACGTGAAAGGCGCTATATAAATGTAGGAACAGGAGTAGGCTATTCAGCCCCTCTAGCCCATTCCACTCAACTCCAAATACCCACCTTTGCCCCATATCGCTCAATACCCTGACCTAACAAAAATCTATCCACCTCAGCCTTGATATTTTGAATGGATCCAGTACCAATGTAATTTGTTGTTGTTGGCGGTGGTTTGTCTGGCTCAATGCTGAATTAAATGGTACGTTTGCCCGGTGAGCCAGGGCTCATCATTCTTTACGCGTGTACACATTCAGACAGCTCACATTTAAATGTTGTGTAACTTGGCAGCACCATGGCCCTACAGCAAGCACAGCTGCTCCTGTACATGCACAGCCTGGAGTCTGTGAGCATGGACATTCATCAGAACAATACTGAGGCAATGGCTGTGGTGCTCTGTCACTTGGCTGAACTTCATGCAGAACAGGTGAGTGTTGGAGATTGTGTTTGCTGGATCATTACTATTAAACATTATTTGCTCATCTATTTTTCAAAAGAAAAAAGTAGTCAATGAGAGTTTTTATTGGAGTGTGAGAATACTTTTTATCAATTTTCCTTTTTTTTTAAAAAAGAAAATGATCTGAATGTGCCTCTTTCTACCCCTTTCTCTTTTCTGTCCCCACCCATTTCGCACATCCCACAGTCAGGGAAAAAAAGTAAAGGGGAAGAGTTAACGTTAGTCATGGTAATGTGCCATGGGGTGGCTTAAATTTCACAGAGCACAATCTCATTAGAGGTCCAGTACTGGTCGCAACCTTGCAAATGTAATGAGAGCTTTGATCAACGTTAACCTTTTATACTTTTGAGCAAATAAATAGTACGTTCTTTTTGGATGGAGAGAATGGCGCAGTTACTGAGCCCGGCCACGAGAGGGCGGCGGCGTAGCATTGTACCCCTTGTAACCTGAGCAATTTATATCTTAATATCTGGTATATACTTCATTTCCTTTCTAACTGATAAAATTGTTTCTGTTTCATTAGCTGCCCATGACAATATGCTTCACTTGCTGGTTACCGTCTACATAATCTGCACCTGACGATTTTGCTATTTACAGGGCTATTATGCTGCCGCTTCTGAAATCCTGAAACACTTGAAAGATCGTTTTCCGACACACAGCCAGTATGCAAAGGTCAGTTACTGGTAGCAGAGCAGTCAGTTGCACTGTATCTTTCAACGCTGAATTTGTAAACCAATTTGCTTAATCATTTCTGGCTCAATAGGTAGTTTCTTTTTGGTCAGCTGGGTGTCTTGACACATGTGGAAACCGATCGGGATGCTTAAGAGAATCCAAACAAAGCTGAGATTTCCATGAATCCCACTTACACATGGAAATCTCAGAGATAGATTGTTGGAATGGAATGCGCACTCTCTCTCCCTGGAGGGACCATCCTGCTTACCTAATTCCGGAAAGTATTAGGCACAGGTTGGCAGGGGCTAAGGCTAGGGGATCCTAGAGTGTTTGTTGGGGGTAACTGCTGGAGTCTAACCCGCTAAAAATATTGATATTGCTATCTGGCAAGCTTTCCCACTGCTTGTCCAGTTAGATTGTGGGTTCAAGTTGCATATCAAGACTTTAGTTTGTAGACCAAGCTCATACCTCTATGAAGTAATGGGAGAGTGGTGCATTATCAGAGCTGCCATCCTTCAAATAAAACAAACCAAGGTCCTGTCTGCCTGTTCAGGCTGACACTAAAAATACCATGACTATTCAAAAGGGAATGGGAGATTTGCCTGGTTTCCAAGCCAACCATGCTCCAGATAAATTAATCATTCACCTTTTCACTAAAGTATTTGATTATTATTCAAAAGCCACTGGTAATTATTGTAAAGCACATTGAAAGTTTTCTTTATCTGATAAGCAACTATAAAAATACATTTTCTTCTTGCTTGCTATTGAGTTAATACAAAGCACAAACAGTCTGCATGCTTCTGACCAGTTCTTTCCCTCCTTTATTATCTGAAAGCTTTGGATGCTGTTTGACCAAAAGATACAATTTAACCGAGCAATGAGCGATGGAAAATATCACATCGCTGAATCCCTCGTCCCTGGCATCGCCGCACTTAATGGGGCAGAGGGTCTGTACAGGTAGGGACAAATCCTGAAGGGCTTAACATAAAATGGCTTCAAATTGTAATCTTGCTTCAGTATACGTTTCGTCCACAAAATATACAGTCAATTCACTTTACAGTATATTCTGTGAGACGTCGCGAAGACATGCTAAGGTTCTATATCAAATGCAAGGATTATTATATTATAATTGAATACATTGCTGGATTGCAGTGAAGAATGGGACTTTGTATAAATAAATGGCATGAATGCTGCCACACGCTTGAGTGAATGTGCTCTAATTGAATCTCTATAAATGTTATAGCAGTTGATAGAAGATCATAGCGCTCCCCATCCCCACCCCCATTCACCTCTTCTCTCTTTTGTGGCCCCCCTCAAGAAAAGCGATTGTGCTGAAAGCACAGAACCAGATAACGGAAGCCTACAAACTCCTGCAGAAGCTGCTGGTCCATTGTCAGAAAAAGAAATCTACAGAATTGTTGATCAAGTAAGTTGGAATGAATGCATGCGTTATCTTTCCAGTACTGAACATTGGGTGTCATGCAGAGGGTAGTGGAAATTTGGAACTCTCTCCCTACCCAAAACACTGTAGATGCTGGATCCATTCAAATTTTGTTAGGTCAGGGTATCAAGAGATATAGAGCAAAGATGAGTAATTGGAGTTGATGTACAGATCAGCCATGGTCTAATAAAATGACAGAACAGGCTTGAGGGGCTGAATGGCCTACTCCTATGGCATGTTCCTATGTTCACACAGCTAACCATGGGAAGCAGTGTGACTCGACTTCAGTACTGGCAATTCTGCTTTCGTTTTTTTTAAACTTTGTTACAGATGAAACTAAGACAGCCTTATGTAGTTTGATGGATATAAATAGCACAAGCTTGCCAAGTGGAATCGGAACTGATTAATATTTGCTTGCTTTATCAGATGCTGATTGACCTGTGGCACATTCCCAGGGTTTTCTGGTCTTTATTTATTTCCTTTTCAGACGCCTGGGAATGGGTTTCCTGACTCACTTCAATTGGATGGAAGGGAAGAAAAACACAAGCCACTTTTCCCCTAAAAAGTTTTTTTTGTTTTTGTTCCTTTTTGTGTGAATCTATAATATTGGGGTAGAATCCCTTAGCAAAGTGGTTAGCCTGCTCGCCTGGCAAGCAAGACAACCCAGGTTCAATTCACAGGCAGGGCAAAACTTTAGGCAAGTTTCTTTACTCCGCGCACACACCTCTGCTTACCTAACAGTAAGTAGGAATCCGGTTGTTAGTCGATTGACGGATCGCTTTTCTGGGGGGAGTAATAAGTTGTTTTTTTATTTATAGAGTGCTGATTGTTGAGGCAGAGTTGTTCTGGCGTTCCTCATGTCACACAATTGCAGTTCCTCTACTCCTCAAAGCCTTGGCTCTGAGTCGTGAATATCACTTGGAGTATCTGGCTTCTGAAGCCATCTTACATTTGGCATTTTCTCAGGTGAGTTCCGGTCCATATGGCAACCTTCTAGCGCTGTACCCAAGCAAACACCAGCCTGCTTCACTTCCCGCCACCTCGGAACAAGTCTTCTGCGTTTTGCCCACATAATGCACAGTCAATCCACTTTACAGTACATCCTGTGAAGTGTCTCAATGACGTGATAAGGCACTGTATCAAATGCAAGGATTCTTATTAATATTCAGCCACTCTGCCCCAGTTCTCTGGAACTCAATCCCGGAGTCCCTCCGCCTTTCCCCCTCCATCTGCCTTCAAAACCCACCAGAAGACCCATCTCTTCAAATGAGCTTTCGGCCACATTTATCCTCCCCTCCTCAGCTTTACGAGCTCCTGGTCAACAACAACAAAAATATTTATACAATTGTATTTATATAAGCACTCCTCACGCAGGGTAGCGCTTGGTGAGCTGAAAGTGCTTTCAGACGTCCTCCCAAGATGAAAGGTGTTAGAATGTATAAACTGTTGTGCCTACCTAACATGCATGAATGATGGAAGTTGTGTTTGTAGCATTTTGATCTTTAGCAGATGTATTTCTGTAGTAAATGTGAGCAAAGTTTATTTATATTTTCCAGCTGATGCTTGGAGTTCCGGAACAGGCTTTGAGTGTGCTGCACATGGCCATAGAACCTATCCTGGCTCATGGCAATGTCTTGGACAGAGGCCGTGCTATGCTGCTGTTGGCCAAGTGTCAAGTTGCGTCTGCGGCCTCCTACTCCCCTCAACAAAAAACAGAGGGTAAGGTTTTTGAACTTTAGTCTCTGCTGTGGTCCGTGTACTTTTAATTCTACAGCAGCAAACTTATAATAATAAAAATAATATTCCTTGTATTTGATAATGCCTTATGTTGTGGAGATATCTCAAAACACTTCACAGGATATACTGTAAAGCGATTTGACTATATTTTCTGGGCGAAATGCAGCAGCTAATTGTGCACAGCAGTGTCCCACAAACAGTTGTTTATTTCTTGGGGCGATTTTTATTACCCCCGGAAAAGCAATCCGCAATTTGACTAACAACCGTGTTCCTACTTACTGCTAGGTAAAGCGAGGCGTGTGGAGTAAGGAAACTTGCCTAATGTTTCGCGCTGCCCAGGGAATCAAACCCAGGTCCTCTCGCTTGCGAGGCGAGTGCTCTAATCAATACGCTGCAGCACTCCACATTATTAAATACAGCATCCAATCTGTACAATGAATGCCACATTTTTTTAATAGTATGATGTATTTTTTTTCCTCTCGTTTTGAAGCTTTGGAATCCGCCATTCAAAACCTAAACGAAGCCAAGATCTATTTTGAGAAGGCCGACTGCAAAGAGCGAATACGGGAAGTCCTTTACATGCAGGCCAGACTGTTCAACAGCCTCAACAAGACGCAAGAGAGGAACAAGTGCGCTATGATGTTTCGGCAACTGCACCAGGAGCTGCCGACCTACGGAGTGCCCCTTCTGTCCTAGCGTCAGTGCATTGAATACAACAACCTGTACAATGTGGAATTTTCATCCAGTAAAATCAGTTGATCATCGGCAACCTTGCTGATTGAGCATCACTGACTCCTGGAAACAGCGAACACAACAGATTGATGTTTAAGTCAATCGTCGGACTTTGGTTTTATTTACACTGAGGTTAAGAGTCTAAATAAATATATACAAAGAACACACTCCCGTTTTTGCCTACCGCTGTCATTGGGAACTTGCCGAGGATGGTCCTGGGTTTCTAACCCTTTCTCGCGTCCCTTTCTGGCTTCCTTTCGGGAAGGCTCTTAAGCAATTGGGAGCTCACAAAATTACACAGTCGCACCACTTTGCTGCAATACCGCGTGCGCATACCGTGAATCGCTTTCAGGCTACCGGGCAACGGGATGAAGTGCTGTTTCACATGGAAGGATTATTCGAATGAACACCGGGTAAACAAATTTTCCCGAAGCCACTGCCTACGCTGCAGTGCCACAAGACGTGCTGCCAAACAGGCACTGCTCCACCACCTGTGGCCACGAAGACTCGGAGTGGCACTCAGACCACTTGGGCTCCAGCACACAGTGAGGGTTGGGCTCCACCAGCGACTGACTGACTGACTGACTGACTGATTGATTGATTGATTGATTGACTGACTGACTGATTGATTGATTGATTGGCACGTGCATTGACCAATGGGGAGGAGCGGCAGTGATTGCCATGACGATCCGCTCACCAATCCGCTTGCGCTCACGCCCGCTTGCGGGGTGATTGGCAGCCGGGCTAACCAATGGGTGGGCGGCTCTCGCGCGTCTCCCCCGCCCCCTGTGAGCGGTGATTGACAGGCGGGACGGGGCCGAGAGCGCGGTGTGTCCGGTGCTCGGGAGCCTCCGCCGCCTCTCGCCGCCGCCGCCTCCGCCGGCGGCTCCTGTCATGTCCGCGCGCTTTGGGGACGCGGTCGGCGAACGACTGTCATGAAGGTACTTTATATTTTTTTTTGACGGAGGAGGTGGGGGGGGGGTGTTGCGGGCGGTGCGGTGCGGGTGGGTTTTGGCGGCTTCCAGAAGCTTCCACAAGCCTCCGGGCGGGGGGGCGGCGAGGCGAGAGGGAAGCCCGCGGCCGGACAACGGCGGCTCCGGTGGGGAGGGAAAGGGGGATAAAAACCGGCGCCTCAGCCCGGGTTTGACACCCGGTTCCCGCGGCAGTTATACCGCCGCCGCCGCCTCCTCCTCCTCCTCCTCGGCCCTGAAGCGCCGGAGTCGGTTTGCAGTTGACGTCGGGGTTGCAAGCGGCGGAATGGGGGCTGTGAGCGGCTCTGAGGGCGGCCTCTGCTCTCTGACCCGAGTCTTTTTTTTCATCAATAATAATGATGTATTGGATGCAGCTTTTATATATATATATGTATATATATTATATATATAATGATACACGTTAGGAGCAAACGCCTCAAAGCTCCTGACATGGAGCTGCTGTCATGTGGAGTTGACTGTTTTGTAAACAAACCCAGATTTTTTTTTGGAGGGGAAGAAGAGAGAGAGAGAGAGAGAAAATCTGCAATTTGATCCTAATTTCCTGGTTTCAATGTTGTAATTATTATTATTATTATTATTATTATTATTACTATCACCCCCCCCCCCCCCCCCTTGGCTGGACACTCTGGACATCGGCTATAATAATAATTATAATAATCCTTGCATTTGATATAGCGCCTTGTCGCATTGTGGAGGCGTCCGAAAGCGCTTCACGGACTACCCAGTACACCGTAAGGTGGATCGGCCGTGTATTTCTGTGGGAGAAACACTGCAGCCAATTGCGCACGTAACTATAATCGTTTGTATCGGGTCAAGGGGTTGCGAGAACATTTTGGTTTAAAGCTGTACTTCAATTCCGACCATCCGGGCTGTTTTTTTCATAACCGCAATGGGGTCAGTCATTCCCAATTGATGCAGTTATCGCCCACAAATATACGGTCAATTCGCTTTGCAGTGTATTCTGTGAAAGCGCTTTGGGACGCCTAGAAAACATTTCCACAGCAAAGCTTCCAAAATAGGCTGAGAAAATAAATCCAGAACGATGCTTCAAGCTATTCCAAGGCAGTCCGTCCAAACAAGAGCATGTGGGTTCATGAAGGGCAATTTCAGGATGGAGACAGGCCAGGCTTCTGGAGTCATTTAAGAAATAAGTTGATAATATAATAGGAAGATGGCAGTGTGGGTATTCTGAGCTGAACGCATGTCTTATGATCTTGTCATTAAGCCAATGGGCTTGTGGAGTTACTGGGATGAAAATGGTCTGGTCGATGGATGCAAGCCTAAATGCTTTCTCATATGGAGCTTAGCCGTCTTGTGTCTGTGCTTGGTCCAGGTCATGTTGTGTTTGTATTTGAGCTGAGTTGTGTCTTGTCTGTACATGAACCGCTTCACGTCTCATCTGTTGTTCAGATAAGTCTCTCTCTGGCATGCAGGCCTGTCTAGATTGCTTTTGCCGCGCCGGTAGCAGCTTGCAACTTGTGAGCTGACATGAAAAGCTTGAGTAGGAGCCAAGAATTATTAGATATATGGCTACTGCTAGTTATCAGCTGAGGAAAGGGAACATATTACGAAGAACCTATTGTACACCTGGAAGGTTACATTCTTTCCTGATGATGTTAAAATTCTTCATAATTGGTTCTGAAAGTGTTGATGAATGTGATAAAATCTTAAGAGAATCGAGATGTGCTGATTGAATCTAGGAGAACATTTAGGATTCAATGGAGACAAGCAAAGAGATTAGTTGAAGGGGCATTGCCCTTTGGGGATAATAACACCACTTATGTAACTCTGCCTGTCCAATGCCTTGGGAGGTCCTCCCGACGTGAAAGGTGCAATACAAATGTAATTTTGTTGTTGTTGCTATGTGCAATACATATATATATATATATCAAGTCCTCATGTTCCCAACGCCATTTTGAGCTGTTTTTTGGTTACAGTTTAAGTTGCACTTGCCGTCTCTTCCATAATTGTCGAACCTGAACTTACACCTAACTGGATAAACTGGACTTTGGTTTAACATCTTGTCCACAGGATGGCATCTCCATCAATGGAGAATTGCTTCAGTATTGTGCCAGAGTGTTAGCCTAGACTTTGGGCTCAAATTTGGGCTTTGGAGTCTTGTAGCTCAGTGGTTAGAGCGCTTGCCTCGCAAATGGGAGACCTGGGTTCAAATCCTGGCAGGGCGAAACCTTGGGCAATTTTCTTTGCTCCACACGCCTGATAATAATCCCTGAAGTAAAAAGAACAATAATAATGTGGTCACTCGATCCCGCAACTGTTTGTGGGACACTGCTGTGCACAAATGGTTGCCGTGTTTCACCCACAAAGATACAGTCAATTCACTTTACAGTATATCCTGTGAAGCGCTTTGAGATGTCTAGAAGACATGAAAAGCGCTATATCAAATGCAAGGATTATTATTATATTTATAAATCCTGACTTGGGACTGTGTATCGAACATATGTTGGAAAGTGCTATTCTAGGTGTACGGCCAAGTTCCCAATGTGCAATGCTGTTTTGTAATTAGCTCAAACTTCCATCAGCTTCAGTGGACAAATACCAGGAGAATTTATGGATTCAACTCTTTTCAAATGCATGTTGCATTTCAGTGGTGAATTCAATTCGAGAATATTCGTTGTCACAGCAGTATTCTGTTTTGAGGTAATTTGTCAATAAAATGAATGTGATTAAAATAATAAATTAAATCTTTTTCTAACCAGTGCCTTTTTTTAAAAAAAAACATCTCCATAGGCAGTTCTTAGACACGTGAGCAATCCATTTGGATGAAGCGGTGAAAAGCACCATGTCATCATGTGTCTCAAGCAGGCCTGTTGGCAGAGAAGAACAGTGTGGCAGTGAGGACCAGAAGCAGCTAGACATTAGTTGCAGTCTGTCATCCCTGAACATGGAGTCGTTTATCATTGTAACGGAATACGATCCGATTGCTTCCGATAGTGAGCTGGGAGATAATGGACAGGCCATCCTCAAAGACGAACCTATGCAACAGGCGAATGAAGAGATCAAGCCATCCAGTCTGAGAATTTCAGGGCGCTTAGAGAGAGCTAGATCCGAAGATGTCCGAGATCACAGGGCCAGGCTTAACATGTCCAGTCGGAAGCTGTCCCTTCAAGAAAGACCTCAGTCACCTGCCAGTACCCCAGGCACGAATGGATGTTATATCTATCCCTCTTTGCTATATTCTCCGGTTATATCGCCACATTCCTCTCCTCGCTTGCCTCGCCGACCAACAGTGGAGTCTCACCGAGTATCTATCACGGATCTGCAGGTAGGTGTAGCCTTCCTACAATTTAACATGTCCGTGCAGCTGCACTGTGATACTTTATACGTGAGCCGTAGCATTGCATTCCAATTCACTTTAATCTGGTCCACAGCGCACATTAAGTAGGAGTATCTTTTAGCTTTAGGTAAGAATCTGTTTCTCAGACTCGGCATAATTTATTTATCCCTTACTTTTTATACCTATTTCATGATATGATTAATTACCTTAATAAACCAGCAAATCTGTGCTCCAATTTCTCAATGTCTACAGCTAGCTGATGACATGGTTCAGTGAATACCAGTTTGCTGATGATTAATTTAGTCGTTGAAACTAAAATAGCTTCAATCTAAAAAAATCCCCTTTTCAGCTATTTTTTGCAGTGTGTGTTTGCTTTTACAACCTTGCATTCAAACAGATGCATCAAGATAAGGCTCTACACCCAACAGTTTTTGTCGTTGCAGTATTAGCACATTTTCATTTTAAAATATTTAGTTGATGCTTTTACTGGTGAGAAACTACCCTCTCACAAAGGCTGCTGTGGTTCTATGACACCCAAAGCTATTGTTTACTCAATTAGTACCTTGCCGGATTGGTTTGCTCAATGGAATAGTTCTCAAGCGCTGTGAGATTTGTAGGAATTTGCAACTTTATAAACCTTTTTGTACATAAAAAAATTACAATTTGAATTAATTTAATGGCATTGCCAAGATGGAGATTCTCTCTGATCACATCAGTGAGAGTTTAGACTCCATTGACAGAAATGAAAATCTGTGACTAAAATGGTATGTGTTGTATTTTGAACAGACGTTTACCAAAAGTATGGCCTAATGTTGAAACCAGGGCAAGTCTCCGACAGACCCTCAGTAGATTATTGTGGGTTTGCCTTCTTCTACAAATTGCTTAAAGTATAGTCAAACTGCATTTTTTAGCCTCTCTCCTGCTTTATAGTAATGTTGATCACTGGATTTTTCTGCACCTTGTATGCATGCTTAGCAACATTTTAAGTCTGTATCAGCCTTGTGATGTGTAGAAATAGATGGCATTTTGTGAGCTTTCCTTAGGTTAGTTGTTCATTCTTTAGAAATGGGGCTCAAACTCCAGGAAAACTGTAACCTTGAACTTCACAATGAACGATTTATTTTTTGAAAGTTAACATAGAAAGGTAAAGAAACCGTGGACTTGTGCAGCACTGTACAAAGTTTTGAAGTGGATAGGACGGCTACATTTCATGCTGCACCAAGGTCATTTCATACAAAATAAACCATTGTTTTTTTGGGGTGTACAAAACACAGATTAAATTTCAGGGATACCTTTGTACTTAAGAAAGTGGAATTTAAGATGAGTCGTGCTGAAGAATTTAAATCGGTTGCATGGCTTTGACCTTGTCTTGAGGGTGGGTAACAAAACCTCACATATGCTCAGCAGTTCGGATGAAAGAAGAATCTCCATTGGGTGTTGTACCGAGAATAGAACTGCCGTCAGCCTCATGTTTGAAGGACTCTTAGAAGACAAAAAAAAGTGCGTTCACAATGGACAGTCTATCGCCTTGTCATGACTCCATGCTCCCAGATACTGATCCCCCTCTTCAGTGCTGCACCTTTTCTCCTGTGATTTCTCTCCCCATCCCTGCCCTCTTCCATTTCCTGCAGAGTGTAAACAAAGCATGAATACATTTGGCAGCAATTAAACTAATGACATTTCAAGCATACTGCTTTCTTTTGTGTTCTATTTTGCTTTTCATTATGTTTTGTCTCTGCTTCCTTTCTCTGCATTCCCCAAACTGACAAATCACCACCCAACTACCTGCATGGGGGGGGGGCGGGCTACACAATCAAAAGAAAAATTCTTGAGGCACTTGACAAAATATGCATTATTTCCCGTGAGCAATTAATGTCCATTTTAAAATTGTTTATTATGTAACTGCAAATTGCATTAAAAACAACCTTTGATAAGCAGGAATTGCAATTGTTCTGTTCGTGTATGTCATTGAATCAGGTTTCTTGCTGAATGCTTTGCGGAGGCTCAACAGCAATATAGATTCAATAGGATGGAAAGTGTTTTTATGGTGATTTGGCTCCATCACTCTTAGCTTTCTATTTCTGGAAATATGAAATGGCTGATCAGTGCACCATTTTTATCGCATCTAGTTTATTCTTACTCTATTTCCTAGAGTATTTACCGTTAAGTGTGTTCAAGAAATTCATGCAGGTCTTTTCTGAAACATTATCATTTGCATCTATCGATTGCTTCTGTGGATATATTGCCACATTTAGCGCTGTGTCTATTTTGGTAATCGTTTCAGCAGTACACAAGTTGCCCTCTTACTCATACCGAATTTCTCACACATCCACACAACCACCCACAACCAGTCTCTCCTCCTTGCCATCACTTGCCATCCAATTACTCGTTACATTAAATCTGCCTTACACCCTCGCACCTCTTATTCATACACGACCATTCAGCCAGCTTCAATCGCTTTTCTCGCCCAAGTACCAACTGTAGTGAAGAATTAAGACCCAATCTCTGCCAATGTTATGCTAAACTGGTTTCTTGGAGATGAAGAGAGAGTCCATGTCGAAACTAAAGCTCAATTGTTAATGCCGAACTTGATGTGATTTCTATGATTCTAAAGCTAAACATCTTCTCCCTCCCCAACTCCCTGTGGCCCGGATATGGGTTGGTTTTACCTGTGGTAGAGGTACAATGAGGGGTCTGTCATTGTGCGACGCGTTGCTTGGGAAATAGCATTTAGCTGCATGTGGAGAGGCATTTGGAGCTGCAATCTGTTTGGCACACCAATATACACAGTTATTCTCCCTGGAGAGCGTGAGATTTCCATTTGAAACTTAAAATATAAATTTGTATTTTTGGGTGGGAGGGAGGAGTCATCAGTTAATTGTGCTTTTTGGGGGGGCAGGAGGGGAGAGAGTTGTATTATTGATGGTAAAATACAGAATCAATGGTTCTACCATTAACTATGATAATGCCTGCAGCTCTTTCAATGTGATATTGGCTTACTTTCTGTGGACAAAATATAATACAATATGTAACCATAGAAACTCAGGCACCAGATGTCTTGGGCTACTATTCATCTCTGATAGTTAATTAATACCAATATTTAATACTTCTCCACACACCAATTGTGATATGAATTGATTTCATCACAATAAATCAGCGATTTATACCTGAGTGCCATGGTTAGCCGACCAAATACCCTAAGCATCTGTTGTGATTAGTCTTTAAGACTGTAATAACAATATCTGGGTTAGTTCTGATAAATTTTCTCGGTTACACATTCAAACAAATTTATTAAAAGGAGGAGAATAATTTGCCTTCTGAGAAATATATTCTTTACCTAAAATAAATTCAATAGAAAATTGTAATTAGATGGTAATGTTAGAATACAATACAAATTTAGATTTATATAGCTCCTTACATTTCATGAAGAAGTTATGTTCAGAGAGTTTAAAGAAAAACTGGTTGAGGGTGTGGATGGAATTTGGGTTTCAAAAATAATTTACATTTCATCTCGCATGTATACTTAGAATTTTGTTTTCACCTTTCCTCCTTCATTCAACATGGTCATATTTCATCACCTACCCTTCAACCAAGAAGACAGTGCAGTCAGTCTCCACATCGACTGCCAATTTCATTCATTTGGCTGCGGCTCAGGTATGCTTTTAGTGGTAGGGTGGCAACAGGGCAGGTAATGTTGGGTTATTCCATTTCATTCCATGTTCTGCATCACCTGTCCAGTGATCAGCTTCATGACTTGCTCAAGAATAGCCCAAACCCATCACTGGTTTAGCTTCAGAGGGTCGAACATGTAGTAGCATCATAGAAGTTACAGCATAGAGACCATTTGGCTTATCAAACCTATGCTGGAAACTTGAGTAGAACTATTCCTGTGATATGTTAATACAGTACAATGGAAGTGTATGGATTTTCTTATCCATATTCACTTGTTTTGTTTGTACTGTTTTCTCAATGTTGTAAAGTGTAAGCTGTTCTTTCCCTCCGTTATGAATTTTATTATGTCTTCATTATGTTCCGTAGCTTTTGTCACATGGTTCATTGTTGTGTTTTTAATGTTCTTTTTCATTGAGTACGCCTTCTTATACCTTTTTAATTCTCTGCTTTCATTTCTCCTGTGTTTTTATGTATCTTACTATGTTTTCTCGTGGTTTTTCCAGGTTTCCTTTCTTTACCTTCCATCTGTGGGCAGGTTCTTCAGCCACTAGGACTTTAATTGGTGAGACACTGTGACCTCATTCTCATTCCCTGGCTGAGTGGGTGGGTGGGGGGTGTGGGGGCGGTGGAGGGGTTATACAGGAAGCACTTATCCTCAGTGTCATTTTATCCACAATTAGCATGAAGGAAACATCAACCCCGGAGGCATAATTAGGTAATTGCATTTGTAGACACAGCACTAACAATGAGAGATGAAAGTAACGTGCACTTGAGAAGATTGTAACGTGATATTGCTTAGTTAAGAGAATATTTGTCAGCAACTCACTCTTGCAGATAGCTCCTTTAGAGAGATGTTGCAGTTCATATTTATAGGTGTGAGTCACATTCCTGTAAGGATGTGTCCTTATAAGTGTACAGATGCTATTCCAAAATCCATTTTTTAAGCTTATTATGACAGTTACTAGCTTTGTTATAGTTATACAGTACATGCAGAAATCTCAGTCTTATCACATAAACTGTCTATAAAACATCCAGGACTCTTAACTGAAGTTTTCTATAAACAGAAACAAAATGAAGTGCCTTAATATGCTGCAGTTCATGTGTGTCTTTAATCACGGGTGGAAAGAACCAAAAGGAACTGTCAAGGTTAATGGAATGAACAGTTTGTTTTCAATATTCCTTGCAGTTGAAAACTATTTTCTGAGGGATACAATACTGCCTCCGGTCTAAATAGAGATTGATACTGATTAAGTATTAGCTCTATGCCCCAATTTATAAAACCTACATCCCATTAGCTTTTTTCACAGCTTTGTCTATCCGTTTTCCCACTTTTTAAAGATTTATGTATGTTAACCCCAGGTCTCTGCTTCTGTATTCTTAAAATATTACCGTCTAGCATATGCTTGCTTTCCTTATTCTTCCTTCCCTCCTCACACTTTTCTGCCTCCCCAAATGTATAACCTCATCTGCTTTCTTTCTGCCGCATTTACTAATCTGGCTATGCCTTCTTGAAGTTGCTTACAATCTTTTTCACTGTTAGCGACACTCCCTACAATTGAATCTATCTGCACCTCCTTCTCTTGTAGTTTATTGCACTTTTCACAACCATCCATGTTTAGAAATCTTTTCTGATCTCACTTCTAACTGTCTCAGCTCCAATTTTAAGACTATCCTTTTGTTTTGGATTCCTCCTAGAGGAAAGAGTCATCCACTGTCCAGCTTGTCAGTTCCCTTAATTATTTTAAACACTTGCATGATACTGCGCAGAGATGTGGAATCTCAGCAATGTGAGGGACCACAGTGTAAAGCATCTCACCATGGAATCAGTCCAGCCACATGTTTCATTCTTTCATTCTATATGCTACCCCTATAAGGCCATGTTTCTAAGGACTCCCATGAGTTCAATCAAGCATTTTAATTTCTTTCCATAAATTCCGCCAGGCATGATTCATGCCACAATGACATTAAATGCTTCTGTTTTCTATGCTATATTGCTTATGCCATATCATAGATGTTACCGCACGGTTGTAATTTATCGTATATGCGATGTTTGCGCAAACCATTTCAGACTGAACATTCATTTGATGCCATGAAGCAGAAAATACGGAGTGCTGCACACATTGTCCTCCAGGTGGCGTTAGTGCACTGGCAAATGCCCTTTGTAAGGCAAGAAAGAAAAGAGATATATTTGGGTGGCGAGACTGAGAGAAAGGGAGGTGAAAAATAAAGAAGGAAGGGAAGAAGTTTGAGTGAAGTTGGATCACATGTGATGGTTGTAAAGTGCTGTAAATTGCATACTTTTCACTTACCATCAGATAAAGAGTTCTTGGAAAAGGTAATTTAGTCTCTGAATCCGTATGTTTGAAATTAAGGGTGGTTACCAATCCTTCCCAATACATTCACGCTACATGTTTTGTGTGGCGCTGTCTACCAGCTAAATTCCAGGAGGCTGCCACTTAATGGTTTGCAAGTGCTCACACGAAAATGGGCAAGAGTGATCCTGGCTGACTCCTGAAATCAGCTAAGGTGGGGCTACCTCATCCACATGGCTCAGTGCCATATTGTGTTATGTTTACCCACTGACACATTGGGGAGCTCAAACCAATATTGTTTCATTTAGTTAAATTTGGGGACGGGAACTTTTTTACTTAATGCGAGCTGCAGCTTGTCTGGGAACATTTGTTGTGAGCTCCTTTGCTTCATAGATATTCCAAGCATCTCCTGATCTCACAATAACTCACGTCATATCGACAATTTTCAGCATCAGATTTGGCTTGGAATCCCCTTTTAGTTTTTTTAGATTAAATGCATTCATCAGTTCTTGTAATCAGTATTTGGCAGTGATGAGCATCTCATACCTTGTGAGGTGCAGCAGTTGGAGATAATATACAGAATTTATTATATTGCATCAAATGAGTGAGGTGTAAAACAGTGGCTAGTAGGATTAATCCGACCACAAGACAAAGCATTTGCTAGATTCGTCATCTTATTTTTCACATAGTTGTGAAGTCATAAAATGCCCAAATGTAACCCAATTTAAGTATAAACCAAACTTTGCCTATTTCAGGGAAGTTTATGGGTATATTTGATGTAGTATTCACCCCCCTCCCCATTGTCAGTCATATAATTTTATGATGTTTGTAAAGGGAGATCCAAGCTGTCAGCACATGAGATCCTAACCAATGATATATTGTATTTGGTGCTGGGCTCTTGACCAGATGGTCTTTGAATCCGTTTCTTGAATGTCTGAAAATCCTTGCCATTAAACAGAATGAACATTGTAAGTAAGTGGGTGAATAGCATTTGCCGAGAATTTGTGAATGACTAATTGCTGAACTGTGCTTCCATCGTATGGCTGTGTTCCCCATTTGTAATTTCCTCTTTTTTGTTTTGCAAACAGGATTGCGTGCAGTTAAACCAGTACAAGCTGAAAGATGAGATTGGGAAGGTGAGAATCAACAGGACACTTGTCCCTTTGGAGATTCGGATATTTTTATTGTAACAATCAACTGAAAAAAGGTTCATTTTTCTTTCAGACTTGATTACAAAGTTATATATTCAGTTGAATGAATATATTCCTTGATTGGCTGCATTCTCTGCAGATATGCTTTAGAACATTTTTTTTGAAAACATACTGAAACAGATTCTTATAAGTATAATGCAATAAAATTACCTTCTGAAAATGTTTTGTTTTTTTGCCTAGGGTTCCTATGGAGTTGTTAAACTTGCATACAATGAAGATGACAACACCTACTATGTACGTCTGAGTACAGCACAGATTGCTCTTACTCTTGGATGTTGCAAACAGCAAGTCTGAGCTTTTCTGTTATATTCTTGTTGATCTTATTCCATAGAAACACTGGAAAGTAAACTCTAAAAGGAAACTGGAATTAAAAAATTTAATGTTTTTTTTGCCAGGCAATGAAAGTCCTTTCTAAAAAAAAGTTAATAAGACAGGCTGGATTTCCACGTAAGTAGTATCCCTTTGTTTTTCAATCGAAACACAAAATGCGATAAAGCGATTTTTATTCCCCCCACCCCACGTTCACGAAAAAGTCTTCTTTGTTCATAATACCTACATTAAATATACCCTCTATGTTTGATGTCAGGTGTGGCATACATTGTGGTGCTGGAATACAAACCAAGCAATGGGATGAGGTGGGGAGCTGGTGTGTTAGGCGGTTTTGAGGAGTTTGAATAGGCAATGAGAACACTTTCCTGCAAGGAGTCTGAGTGACAATGACCTTGCAAGGGCTTGGTGAACACTTCAAGACTGAGGCAGATGGGCCACGGGCCACCTCATTCACACCTGAAATTGGAAATAGTGCATAGGATCAATGGAGCTCATGAAGAGTGAGAAAATGCCAGTGCTGTGATTCCTCACCTCAACTGGAGAGGAATCAGACTCTGGATTATCAATTGCACAGCCTCAAATGACTGCATCCTACCTCACCCAAACTCCAGTAGCAGCTTTCTACCACTTGGAATAAAATGAGGATCAAACAAATACAACCTTCCCTGTTCATTTCCTTATCTGTCATATAGAAACACAAGTTACTTGAACCACCGCAGAGACCCAGCCCTCCAGTAAATGATCTGAGAAAGCACCACTTCTGCCCAAAATTGTTTAGACACTTCTCACACTCGTGTTCAAATTCATTCACTCACTGATATCTCCCTACCTCACCGACCTCCTCACTCCCCAATCCACCACCCGGCGCCTCTGCTCGACTGGCACCAGCCTCCTGCTCGTCCCTCGCACCCTCCGCCCCACCATCGGAAGTCGCGCTTTCAGCTACTACGCCCTTAAACTCTGGAATACTCTCCCTCAATCGCTCCGCCTTGCCCCCCTCTCTCCCCTCCTTCAGGCCCGCCTGAAAACTTTCCTCTTCGACCATGCTTACGGCCAGCTCCCCCCAGCTCGGAATCAGGCTCTACCACTGTTAAGCGCTCTGAGATGCTGTCCTGCGTGGAGGGCGCTATATAAGTATAAGTTGACGTAAGGAGTGTGTTTAGCACGCAAGGGAATAACAATGCTGTTCTATTGTTCAGGTCGCCCCCCACCCCGAGGTGCCAAAGTAGCCCCACAAACCTCGGCGCAACCCAAAGGGCCGCTGGACAGCGTGTACCAAGAAATTGCCATTTTGAAAAAGTTGGATCATCCGAACATTGTCAATCTGGTTGAAGTAGGTCCTACTCTCGCTTTCTCCACTGCTCAGCGCGTGACGAGGAGCGTTCATCATCAACAACAACAACAAATTACATTTGTGTTGCACCTTTCACGTCGGGAGGACGTTCATGTTTGTAATGGTTGGTCAGTGAACAGAACTGATCATCTCAGTCATGTAACTGGGTCTGGCACCAGTTGGAGTAGCCATAAAGAGGTTTGGGGAGGATGGGGGTGGGGCTGCTATTAAAGTCCGTACCTTTATTGGCTGGAGAAGTCCCATTCCTGATAACTACTCATTGATCCCTGCTAGAAACTGTGGCTCTTGTGGGTGGCAGATGAAAACAATGTATAACTCTGCTGAGATGTTTCACGGGTGTAATAAAATGGAGATCGGTTGTAGTTGTTGAGCAAATTGATTGTAATCTTTATTCCGAAACCTACTCGGATCTTCTGTGCTCTGTGTATTGTGATCTGTCCTACAGCACATATACTTCTCTTGGTTTATTCTCTATACATGTGTGAAAATGCAATTTTTTTAAGATTTTGGTTCTTTACTTACATCACAGGTGCTTGATGACCCCAGTGAGGACCATTTGTATATGGGTACGTTTACATATTCCTTCTGTCTTGCCCCTATTTTCCTGCACCTGGTTTATCATACAGCCTCCAAGATATTGGATCAAACCGACCACATTATGAACAAATTTCCCTATATTTGCTTACCACTTAGTGTGATTTTTCGTGGTCTATGAGTTTGACGATTCAGTTTTAATTGCCCAACATATATCGATGTGTTTGATGTTAATTTACATCACTTGCACAGGCCTGAAAAAATCATGTAGGATTACGTGTGTGTGTGTATGTATTTACATGAAGCGCTATAACTGATAGTAATTGTTTCTTTTCTTTCAGTCTTTGAGCTTATGAAGCAAGGGTACGTATTTCTTCTTGATGTATTATTTCAGCGCCTCGAGACGTCCTCTCGAGGTGAAAGGCACTATAGAAATGTAATCTTGTTGTTGTTCAGCACAAGATGATTTTTTGTTATGATGCTCATAGCACTTGTAAAATAACTATTATATTTACCAGACTGATGGGCACATGTCTGTTCATAGTTACTGCCTTGTTTCATGACCCATTGAAAATAACTCCTGGTTACTGGTTGTGTGATATTGGCCTGAAGCGCACCTTCCTAAGGCGTTTCTCTTGTTTCCATCCTCAATGCAGCCTTAAACCAGTAGCAAACTGAGTTGCTATGGAATGAGTTATCCAGTTTAAGTCTTTTCATTTTTCTGCTTCTGCTTTCCTACCTGTACAGAATGAGCCTGTGTATTGCCCATCTCCTGATTTTAGCATTGCCCAAATATGCCATCTCCAGTTTAGGTAAATGTCAACTCTGGCAGCAGTATTGAACTGCTGGATGGTGTCAGAATACTCGATTTGTTTCTGATATATTCGGTCTTGTTTCAGTCCTGTGATGGAGGTCCCAACGGATAAACCTTTGACAGAAGAACAAGCTCGATTCTACTTTCAAGGCTTGATCATGGGAATTGAATTCTGTAAGTCTTCCAATGTGCGTTCATTTTGAAGTTCAAGATTGCAAGTGGGAAGTTCAGTACAGACACCTAGAAATATATCGCGACACAGAGCATAATTAACAACTGGGTTTACCAAGAAGGCTCGTTGAGGCCAGGACGCTGGACTCATTTAAGAAACAGCTTGATGCTGTATGTAATGGGAGGACGGTAGGGTAGGTATCATGAATGCAAGTCCTCTTACTCTATGCAAGTCCATGTAAAGTACTCAGAGTGGTTTATGTTTTGCCCACAAAATACACAATGAATTCACTTTATATTGTATTCTGTGAAGTGCTTTGAGACATCTTAACGATGTGATAAGGCACTATATCAAATGCAAGGATTATTATGATTATTGTGCTGGAAATTTGACCACCCAATACATTCAAGCATCTCTGTTTGAGCTGTTGAGTAATACATTTAGTTTTAAAATACATTATCACATTGTATTCTTGTTAACATGATTCAACACCAGTCATAAATATGTACAAAACTGCTCTTAGCTGCAGGTGATGTGTGGCTTATGTGGCACGAGTTTTTTTTTAGAAAAAGTTTCAAGTTAAAATGTTGCAATTTTTCAGTGCACTATCAGAAGATCATTCATCGTGACATTAAACCATCCAATTTGCTAGTCGGAGAGGACGGGCAGATTAAAATAGCTGACTTTGGAGTCAGCAATCAATTTGAGGGAACTGATGCACTTCTGACAAGCAGCGTAGGCACTCCTGCATTTATGGCTCCAGAGACCATTTCAGAATCCAGGAAAAATTTTCATGGCAAGGTAAAAGACAAGGAACATTTATTTTCTTAACAGCACTGACTTGTGGTGCACATTCAGCCTGGAGGCATTTATTTGCCTGTAAACAATTATAGCTTTGTGAAAATAATATCCTGTTGGGTTATCCTGAACCTGAATATATTACAGTGGAAAACAGAACAAAGTACTTCTGAATGTCCTGTTAAGAACCCAGTTGTAATTTATAGTCCATTTACTTCAGTGCACATAATTTTGTTCAAGAGCTGGGTGGTGATCAGTCTGAATATGAGATTGCTACATATTTTTGGTTCAGATCTTGTACATATATATATGTTATTTCAAACAATATCATTTCTATATCTAGGCCTTGGATGTTTGGGCAATGGGCGTGACATTATACTGCTTTGTTGTGGGACGTGTAAGTATTGAACCACATTCAATCAATAGTGTATTCTTAAGTGCAATAGTTTTATAAAATGTGCAGTAGTTATCTCCCTGGTATTATATCTCTCGTATTTTAAAGCTATTCCATATAAAATGTAAATTGTTGTTGGACTGGGTAATATCCAGACATGCAGATGCTATTTATTTTGGCTTATGGCTATTTTTGCCTGTGGGATTTTGCTATTCTGTGTATTTTTATCCACTAATAACAAGAGACGAAATGTGTAACATAAAAAGTTAGTCAGGGATCTGACATGGCTGAAGAGTAAGGAATGTGAAATAGATGGATCTCTGTTTTTATTGTTAGTGCCCATTCATGGATGACCAAATACTGAGTTTACATAATAAAATTAAGAACCAATTGGTGGAATATCCAGAACAGTGAGTTGATTTATTTCTTAGTATTAATAATCCTTGTTTTAGTTCGGGTGTGACTTTGCAACTTCAAGGTTGCATTGTGTATATTGATTTCTTTTCCCCCCAGAATGTTAAATACTTTTTCTTACTTTCAGCACGAGACCAGTGCTTTCTGAAGAGTTGAAAGACCTAATTTTAAAAATGTTGGACAAAAACCCAGAAACCAGGATCACAGTTCCGCAGATCAAGGTACAGCAGAGAAACACTTTATATGTCTGAAACCTACCCTTTTTTGATTATTCTTGAAAAAAAAGACTTTCATTTATAAAGTGCCTGCTGCAGTTATTTACAAAAATAGTCACTACACTTGATTACAATGAGCTATTTTGAGACTCCTTGAGCTATTTAACAAAAAAAGCAAGTTCTTCCTCTCTTCCTGATTTTGTACGGCAAACCAAAACAGCTGATCATTACGCGTGTTTTATGGGTGAAATGTTTAAATGCTTGTGTCCTCGCTGATTGATTTGTTTTAGGCATAATCTGTTCTTTCATTCTTTTAATTGTACTTGCTAGTTGCACCCATGGGTGACCAAACACGGAGTTGAGCCACTCCCCACGGAAGATGAGAATTGCACTCTTATTGAGGTGACCGAAGAGGAGGTGGAGAATTCTGTCAAACATGTCCCTAGCCTGGCTACTGTGGTAAGAGTTGCTCATTTTACCGTCTAACTAAGGATAACAAAAACTGTATGTCAGTAATTCTCAGAAAGTAATCGTCAGCTGGTGGGGTGACTGTCTTTATCAGAAGCCTTGAAATTCCATTTCTGGTCCAATCAACTCTAGTCTTACAAGCAAGACTCAAAATTTGAGATTGTTCAGAATTGGGGAAAATTCTTAAATGCAGTGTGGTTCTTTATTAAAAACTGTGGAAAACCGGCACAAAGTGGGGTGTCAGTTGAATTGCAAGCTGCTAAAAACTGTGTCCATCACTGCTGTGGTGCTCTTTGTACTGCATGGCGTCCAGAAGGTGCCTGTTGCATAGAATATAGTAGCAGCTGTGACTCGCTGTCACACACACTGTCACTTGGAAGCCTGTGCTCAATAGGGAATTAGTTACTATATCAGCGTCAATCACAGACACAGAGAGACCAAGATGTCTGCAGGAACAACTGAAACCTTACTATTACCTCTACTTTCATTGAATAAATAACCCCATTACATTCTTATCTCTGTGTTTGATCGCTGTAACATTTATGAGTGCGTTTTGCACAAAGTCTGCCTGTACAGATGTGCATATTATTCCTGCTCTATGCCAAGGGTATTACTTTATTAGTTTAAGGCAAAACATCACAGTCAAATTAGTTAGGCATATGTACAAAGAGAAGTGCCTGAATAGCGCAAATAAATATCTTAATTTGCTCAATCAAGTTCAAAAGAATGCCAAGAAGTTGAACACACTAACATCTATAAACTGTTAACTTTTTCCCCTCTCAGATTCTAGTCAAAACAATGCTTCGAAAGCGTTCCTTTGGGAATCCCTTTGATGGAAACAAGCGGGAAGAGCGGTTTATGTCGGCTACAGGGAACCTTGTGTAAGTTGGTCCTGAGAAATTTTATTTTGCTTGCTTTTTCAGTCAATTTTGTCAATAATTGTGAAACCAGGAGTCATATTTTCCAAAACATTTTGTCTGACTTTAGATTTTCCAAACTTTAAACCCATGTTAACGCAGTTTCAAAATGGAGGAGTTTCTGTTGAACATGACCAGAGTGAAGCCCAGAAACTCTTGTTCTAAACTTAGGGCTTAATTTGATAAGATTCAACTTGAGGAATGAATTGTTTCTGTTCGTTATTTCCAGATCTCAAAGTACTGTAATTACAATGAACGGAGTAAAGCTTCAGACGACATATATACCTGCAGTTGTGGGAGAAAGAGAAGGGAGGGGTGAGGGGGAAGAAATGATCTTGATCAAGAATGTGTATGCATGTACAACCAGAAAAGTATAATGCTCACGGTCGCTATTCAAATGTAAGCTTTCCAATTTTAAGGAGTGTCGCACTCTAAAACAGAATCTTATCCCATTTATCACCCCATGAGATTTAACTGAGGACTTACACCACACAGGGACACAAACTATTCCTGCAGGTGGCGTTAAAACGCGTTTTGTCTCAACAGTCCTGCCAGACTCTAAAATGCCGCTAACATAAGGGAACAAGTGACATGCTTGGTATATGTACAACAGTTGCAATGTAATACAATCTCAATGTTTGAAAGGCTACATAAATACAATGGGCTTTGATTATGTTACAGCCTTAAAATGTATTGCACAGCAGCTGTTATTCTTCATGTATAGTGTGTCGCAGCCTGGTGTATCGGGTTTACTTCAAAGGGCAGCCCGACACTTGAGCTCTTCGTTGGATGAATTTTCATCTGTTTGCAATCAGTCCTCCGAATGAAGGATGGCATTGTATCTTGGGGCGAAGGGAAACTTCCCTGCTTGTCACCTTCAGCGTTCTGCTGATAAGTAATGTACCGAGCTCCACTGATCATTGTATAATCAGAGTAAGTTTACAGCACAGGAAGGGGTAATTCAGCCAACATGTTGGTACTGTTGCTAGCTCCCCTACAGCTTTTTCTTCACATATTTAACCAATTCCGTTTAAATGCAGTTATGTTCTTTAGTGACCTTGTTAATAAAAAAAAGTCGAAAACCATTCAGAACTTTGAAAACCTGCCATAGATTCCCCTTAACAACAATAACCAGATTACATTTGCATAGCCCCTTTCAGGTCGGGAGGACGTCCCAACCTTCTCTATCCCCAGGGAAATCAGTCCCTACTTTTCTGTGTCACTCCACAGATTCCCTTGGACTTCAACCTTGGGAAGGTCCAAATGAATCTCCTGTGGAAGCTTTCTGTCGCAGTGATTTTCTTTCTGTAAAGATGCGCTCAAATTGGGACTCAGCTTTTCATCTGTAGGCAAGAGAGGTTTGGTCATCATCTTGGCTGGAGGGAGTTACAGACTGGTGGGGAATCTGTAAAATATAACTCATTAACAAAAGTTATTTAGCGCAAACTTTGGAACAAAAGGTGCGACCTTTGCTTTTTATAACACGTCCAGCTTCTTAAGACCTTAGCTACCTGATTTACCTGCTTAACATTTTATCACTTTAATGAATAACAAGCATTTATAATTTTATTTTCTACAATGCTTTTGTTTCTGGTCTGGTACGTTCCAATGTAAGTTGAATTCTGACTATCTTTTTTATCATACTTGTTTTTTTCAAATAAATGGTGACACTCGCAACTCCCAGACTAATGTGAACAATAGGTTACAGAGCAGCAATGGGAGGGAATCCTTAGAGCAAAGAAACGGCATGTTGCACAAGAGGATATGGAAACTAGGAGAGGGTGAAAAAAGGCTTTTTGGGGCGCAAAAAAAATTCTAAAAATATTGAAACAAGATAAAATCAATGAACAAAAGTTTTGTTGATTATCTTGTTACCCAATGTAAGAAGTTATCCAGCGCCTTGCGACGGCCTCCGATGTGAAAGGCACTATACAAATCTAATTTTGTTGTTGTTATTGTCTGCCGAGTGCCTTCAAGCAGAATTGGGGCTCACAGAAATCTGGATTTGTTCAGGACAAAGTTATATTTCAAACCTTGTTTGGTCTCGTAAATTATGTCAATCTAGTCTAATATTAGATTCCCACCCTGGGAGAGGAGCACTTTGGAATGAAGTTACCCCTCAGTCGTAGAATTATCTGCTGTCAAACAAAACTTGCACTTATGTAATAACAACAACAAATTACATTTGTATGGCTCCTTTCATGTCCCAAGGCGCTGGGCAGTCAGGAATTTGGACCCGAGCAGGGGTTTGCGATCAGGAGGTTGGGATCAGGAAGGGTGGAGGGCAGGGAGGGTAGGGGTAGGAGGGTGACCAAAGGTGCGACCAAAGAGGAGGGTCTTGAGACGTGCTTTGAAGGAGGCAAGGGAGGGAGCAAAGCGAAGGGACTGTGGGATGGAGTTCCAAAAGCAACACCTTTCACATAGGAGACTGTTTCAATGTGCTTTATAAGGGTGACAGCCCAAACAAAGAGGGAAAAGGGGAGTGGGGGGGAGGTGACCGAAAGCATGGTTGAAGAGGTAGGTTTTTAGAAGAGGTTTGAGAAAGTGGGTGTGAGGTGGAGGGTATTTGGAAGAGCGCGGGGCATAGTGGCTGATAAATATTCATTCCTATGTAAACTTTCCCCTAATTTCCAGAAAAAACAAGTTATCAGGAAATGTGAAATACTACTATTTGCATAGTAGCCAAAGGTAAAGCACGTAACCCCACTGCAAGTTATTGGTTGCAACTGATGATTAATATTAATAGTACCATCTTTTTATATGATACGTAATGTGTGACTCAGGACACAAAAGGCTAAATCAACCATTCAGTAATTCAAAGCGAAGGTCCTTTTCCATTCCACTTTTTGGTTCTTGTAAAGAATTAACTTTTCCCTGTGACTAATAATCAATGGCCTGCCCAAATATAACATTATTAAGTGATTTTCTGATTCAGTAACCTGCATTAATTTTCTGTGGTCTTTCTGCTCCTAAAGCCACACACCTGGCAAAATCAGTAGCTTACAAAATCCTTGCACTTGATATAGCTCCTAATCACGTCGTCGAGACGTCGCAAAGTGCTTCACAGGATATACTGTAAAGTGAATTGACTGTACTGATGGGAGAGCCTTTTACTGCAGTGGATCACACATTATTATTGAGCTGCCAACGGTTTCTGAGGATGAATAATAAATGCACTGTGCCTGCATGATGCTTACCACTTCAGCATGAACTGCGACATGAATGTCCCCACCCAGCCTGGGCTGTGATAGCCAATATCTTGCATGTGCAAGTTTGTATTCTGCCAGTAACTATCTTCAGAAGCAGTGGTTAGAATCGGAAGCAGGGATGAGCTCGAAAGGAAACCTTAGAATGCGCTGGAGGTTTTAAAACTTTAAATGTGCACCTAAGTTAGTTACAGTATGTGGCTTTGTTCCCATCAGGGTTATATGGGTTATATATAGTGAACCCCAACGCTGTCCGTTGTATAGGATTTTTATTTTGATTGGAAAATCCTTCCAGGTGAATTCAATAAGTATTGCATACGTTGCTGAATATGCAAATTGTATGTGGGTGACTGTACATTGTTACAGATACTAGTTGGATACATGCCAGGGGTTAATAATTCCTTAAAAAGAACAATACATTGGTCACTCAATCCATGACTGTTTGTAGGACACTGCTGTGCGCAATTGGCTGCCGCGTTTCACCCACGAAATAGTGAATTCACTTTACAGTGTATTCTGTGAAGTGCTTTGAGACCACAACAAGATTTCATTTATAGAGCGCCTTTAGCGGGAGGACGTCCCGAGGCGCTGAGACGTCTCGAAGATGTGATAAGGCGCTATGTCAAAGGCAAATATCATTATTATCTACCCTGAGTCTGATTCACGTGACTTGTCAATAGCAAATACCCAGGTTACAAGTGAGACAGACTATATGATGTGTGCTTTCTGCCACCAGGAAGCAAGCCAGTGGAGATGGTCTGAAGAGTGGTGACCTGCCAGAAGTAGGGGAGGATGCTGTACTATCATGAAGCTATCTGTGGTAATGGAGTTTATGCATGTTCTTTGCACTCCCCAACAAGGCTGAATCGGCTGTGGCCATTGGCCGACCCACCAGCGATCAGGAGGTGAAGGCTTTCCGAGGCCAGGAGGGGGCAGTGGACTCGTAGCAAAGTATATGGCCTTTGTGAATTTTGCATGAAAAACGCTTTGAAACATTTCATTAATAACTGTGTTGCAGGTAACGCAGGCTTAAGGTATTGAAATATTTAACACACATCTACAAGTATTCAATCACTTTTAACATTTTAAGTATGAGAAATGCATTTTTTAACAATCTTGTGTTGTGGTGCATTTAATTGCAGTATCGGTGTCATTAGTTATAGCTGTTCTGATGTCCTGAAATATCCTCTTGGGAGACTTAGGAACATTTAGATACTTGAAAAAGTGGTTTTAATGCCATAACATCACTTAAGATGCATATTCTAAAATGTTTACAATGCTACATTACATTAAGGTCTGCTTAATCAAGGTAAAATGCTGTCTAGATTTATAATTTGATAAATAGTCTTTTAATATTTAAACAAAACAATTGCAATATCAGGAAGGAAATAATGTATTATATCAGCAGTCTGGTTTGCATAGAGTGTGTAGTTGTGTTTTGTTTATTTTGCTTGGTTTAAAAAGTATCCTTTAAGCTTTAACGTGACTAGCCAAAGTATTTGAACGCTGTACTTAGTCTTTTTGTTCTTAATAATTGCCATAAAAAGTCCACCTTTTTCTGCAAAAGTGCTAACCCTCCAAGCTATGGGTTGGAGAGCTGGATTACTTAACTACCTTTGCTTGATGCTTATAGAGCACACAATCTGCAATCTAAATATTCATTGCTGTAACCCGGATCAATATGCCGTAGTTCTTCAGGTGGTCGCATACAGACATATTAGGAGATTTTGGTTAGTCGCCTGATTTTATGGGTAAATTTCCTATATTCTATCGGGCATTCTTTTTTTTGTTACACGATAAACTGTTAGATTTGTTCACAAAATTCCAAGTGCAAAAAAAAATCTAGACATGCAAACATTTCTTAAATGAAAATGGACGATGTTTTTTCTATGAGGCAAGTAGAAACTCTAAGGTACTCACTGGGATTTAGTTTGTTAATGAGTTGCTTTTAGAACAGGACATGTCGGCCTTTTCATATGAACTCCCCTCTTCCCCCCCACCACCACCACCATGTGAATTGGATTCAGAGTACTGTACAGCATTGGTGCTAGGAATACTGATCTGTCATTAATGTAAAGTAGTCTGACAGTGACTAAAATTGGAGCCATTTGTTGAACATTTTCTACTTAGAGAAAAATGATACTTCCCTATAAGCTGTTGTGGATTCTCATATACTTGGGTATTGTACTTGCATAGGAAGTTATTAATCCTATTTAAAAAAAAGTAGTAAATGTATAACCTAGACAGAAATATTATTGCTATTGTTCAGTATTATTATTGAAATATTATTACCTATTCAGAATACATTGCTGTATAACTACGTAAAAATCTGTGTTTGGGTGTGAATTCTCTGTTCACACTTCAAAGACAAAGGTGGCCTTTTTCTTCTGGGGTGTTGGGATGGAGGGAGGGAGTGAAGGAAAGATAGACAAGTTTTCCAGTTCGTGAAATCAAAGCTGTGGATATACCAAATTTTAGACATTGCAAAATGTCATTTGGCCTGGCACTTAACTTAAAATATGCTGCTACTGACAGTTTTATAGAACAGACAAGTATTTGTCAACATTTGTACACGTGTGAAACTTGTAATTGCTATTGTTGGGATCAGTTAGTGCACAGTTAAATTGAGTGCTCCCTAACATGCACTAATCTATTTCTTGATAACGTGACCACTGTGCTTTGGATTTTTCGAGGTGAAACTTTGACCTGATCTTTCGTTACCAATCGTTTTCTATGAATGAATAGATTAAGTGAATTAAAAACATTTCATGTCTGGGATTTAGCCGATGCATTATTACCTTGAAGGTGGATGTGCTGCAGTTAAGAATATGGTCACCCTTTTAATTTAGATTGTGATAAACTTGATTTGAAAACAATGCGAAAACGTATGAGGGCCTACAAAAAAATGCAATCAAAGAATGTTTTTAAGTCATTCAAGTCTTGAGGTTTTATTGATGTGCTGAATTTACAGACACACAAGGCAATTGTAAAAAGCTATTTATATGCATTGAGCAAGATGATTTCATTAATAAACACATGAATTTATTCATGAACATCAGTGTATTTGATTTTAAATAAATTGTATAAAGTTGATATATAGCGAAGTCTGTTTATTTCTTAGAAACGGAGCCCATTTAGCCATTTGAGCCTGTTCTGCCATTTTATTAGATCTTTTACTCTCATTTATCTGCCTTATACCCCTTAACACTCCATCTAAACATCCTCCCTTTTAAACATACCCACTTGTTCTTCATCTAGTTTACGATGTTATGAAGAATGGTGAGAATATGTAATGTTATTGACTGACTTGGGACACGAATGATCTGGCAGAAATGCGGAGTATTTTGTATAGTAATAAAGTTTGATCTATTCCAGTTTTTCCTCTATTAGCATCTCACAAGTAATTACTGTTAAGTGCACTGGCTAATATTGTAGCCAGTAGGCAAATATGGCAGCTATTTGTATCAGCAAGGCCCATAAGATGAATTGATCGAATTATTGTACGTGGAGGATTGTTATCCCGGAAACTGGGAGAAATGTACTTCTCTTTTTTCCAAAAGTAGTGTTATTTATATTAAAAGTTTTCTTTGGGACTGGCCTGTTGGACTGCAGGGGTCTTTAACTGTCCTGTACATTTCTAATCAAGGACCAAATTCACTTGTTCTGGTAGATGTTAAAGATCCCACAACAGAATTAAAAAAATGAGTTTCCTGGTGAGCAATCACCCAGATGAATTGGTCATTCACCAACTGTTGTGGGACCTTCGTGATCCAAATGCCTAAAAAAAAGTCTCCACACTAGACAGTAATTACTTTAAAGAGCTTTGAAACATTTAAACATTAAGTTTCTATATTACTGCTATTGTTTTGTTAAGAAAAACAATTTGATGATTGCAGTGCAGTCAGTACAAGAAAAAAACATTCAGTTCATTCATATTCGCTGTGTGTTCAAATAATTTTTGGTCATTTAGAATTGATTTTTGTTATCCTTTAAATTTGCTACAATCCAGTCCAATCCCCTTAAATTAATTAGATTTGATTTAATCCCAATTTATTGTTGGAACAATCACCTTTATACCATCTACTACAGTAGATCTCATCCAGAGATCAACAACATTTGTTGATTCATTAAGTCACGCCTGAATGCTTATCTTTGTAGTACAGCATTTTGTTCCCTAGAACAAAGATTATATTTTCGTACCATTTTGTTTTTTTTAAAATCAAACAGAATAATGTGGTTCAAAAAAATCCTGATCACATTAAGATGCTATAGTAAATTATTATTTTTAAGACACTAATCGCTCAGTGAATATCTGAACCCTACAGATGTGACACGGTTTGAGCCTCAGTCTGTGCAGCACTGAGTGTCATGGATCACATAACATGTGATGTTACAATTGGCTTTTGTGCCCAGGTAGGGAGCTGTAAATCAGGCAGGATTCACATTTCCTCGGCATTGTTAGATGATCACCTGCCAAAGCTATGCAGGTTTTACCTATGTCGGAAAGAAAGGAAGATAAAGAGATCCATGACACTGCTACAAAAAAGGGAATGTCTCCCATTGTCCTGGCCAAAAAGCCTCCAGATTAATCAGTCGTTCAATTCACAGCAGTTACTGGCACAAATGGTTGCTGTGTTTGACTATAGAACCGTAGTACTATAGTGTGCCGAGCAGCAATTCAAGGAGCTATAAAGGTGGAACTTCTTCCACTATTATTCCTTTTGCAGTTTTGTTTTGGTAAAATAAAGAGTTCCTCTGCTTATTATCTGAAAGGCATTGTAATTGAAGTATAAGATATGCAGTTCAGTGGCTGCCAAAATTAATATATACAGGATGACAGCATTTTATAGTTATTGAGTGAGGAATTCCATTGTCCCTTAAATTCATTGTGATCAGTCATCGTCAGCATCGTCAATACCCTTAAATGAAATAGATTTGAATTAATACCAATTAATCACCAAGAACATTCATATCCTTCAAGCAACTGAAAAATGATGCAGTTTCATTAGAATCGGACAAAGACTTATGGACTCACCCGTTCATAATCTTCCACGTACTTGTATTTCTTTTCTTTGTAGTAATTCCGCTTCTTTAACAAATGCAGGATAATCATATCGCACAGCACTGTTCCCTGGAGCAGAGGTTTCAGTTACATTCACAGTCAGGAGGGGTGGAGGGCAGGGAGGGTGGGGGTAGGAGGGTGACCCAAGGTACGGTCGAAGAGGAGGTACAACTCAAAATAGTTCAAATGAAAACAAGCAAAATAAAAAATGACTTACCATTCCAAGCAAGGCTATGCCAGATCCAATGCTTATCATTGTTGGGATAATGTTAAATTTTCCAGCCTGTGCAGAAAGTATAATGAACTTCTGGAAGCAAACATTCTGCCTTCCTCCTCCTTTGTTAGGTTTGTTCAGGAAACATTTTTCATTCCTTTTTTGTCATGCTCTTCGAGCATCCAGATGTCTCCCAAAAAGAGTCAGTTTGAAACACAGACATTTTCAGCGCAGAAGGAGGCCACTCATCCTGTGCTGTCTGTGTTAGAGCTGTCTCCCTTCATTATTTAATCACACTTTCCATCTCTTTACCCATTTCCCTTGTAACTAACTGAAATAAATAATGTTTATATGCATCATGTACAGAGTTTGCACTAGTTTAACTTAAGGATTAAATGTTTTACACAAGGTCTTCCAGCGGGACATACATTTTACACATTTATATCTAGCCCTTCAAAGGTAATTGCTATCAGACATAGCGTGTCTGTTGGCAAAGTTCGCAGCCATATAACAAAGTCAACACAAACAGCCACAAAGTTAATAACCATTACTATCTAGAACACCTGGAGAAGTGTTTCCCATCTTTGTTCCAATAGTGCCACAGGATCTTTAACGTCCACTTGAACGGGCAGATTTAGATGTCTTATCCGAACAATGGCACCGTTGAAATTGGAGCGTTTCCCTAACACTGCATCAGAGTGTCAGCCCGGACTGTGAGCTCACGAGTTCCAATGTGGAGCTTGAACCCACAATCTGCTACTCCCTGAGCCAAGCTGCCCTGAATTGTGAACGCAGGCACCTTAAAACACACACTTGGCAAACATTTCACAACCATAAGGCTTTACTCACCTTTCCGAAAACTTCAACTTCAAATCGTATTCCATATGCTTTGATCAATGTTCGTGTCTCTTTTCCAGCTGAGTTCTCATAGTATTTGGCATATCTGTGTTTTTAATATGCAATAATGTAAGAATAATTAGTGAAATGCCACCATCTAATCAGAAAATCCTGTTTAATTATGCAACTTTGCGTGGTCTCTCTCAGTCAGTTTTGATCTTGGGATTCCCGCATCTACAATCTTCACCCTTAATGCAACAGTCTGCTTCCACGATCCCATCGTATAGGAGAGTGATAGCACTCCTGTGGCTGAAGGGACAAGCGAGGTTGGGAGTGGGAGGTAATTATAGAGTGTTGACCACAGTTCCCTTCCTGTCACCCTTATTCTCTTCTGCCCTCCTCACTATACTATTTCACTCTGGGGTAGGATTGGAAGCTGGCACAACCTCCCCCCACCTCGCAAATGAGTCTATTGGGGCTGCATTGGTAAGGGTGATGTTGCGGAGAGAGATGCAGAACGCTGACAACGACAACAAGTTACATTTGTACAACACCTTTCACATCAGGAGGATGTCCCAAGGTGCTGGACAGTCAGTGATCCGCACTCGAGTTGGTGGTTGGAATCAGGAGGGGTAGGGGGTAGGAGGGTGACCGAAGACAAGGTCGAAGTAGAGGGCCTTGAGACAGGTCTTGAAGGAGTCAAGAGATGGGGCGAGGTGGAGGGACTGGGATGGAGTTCCAGCGGGTGGAACACAAGGAAAGGAGGAGGTTGGCCTCCTGTGTTAGATTCACAGCTTCTGCAAGAAAGCCAACTGTGCCAGACACTACAGGGAAGAGTCAGCCTTAAGCACGAGAGAGAGAGAGAGAGAGAGAGCATGGGGTTAACCTGACCCGATGGACACTCAAGTGAGGTACAGTGATTACACTGACTGCCATAGGCCCAACAACTCACCCGGGAGGAGGGGAGGGTACTGGAGGTGACTTAAATAGATCGGAAAATCTATGAACCGGTTATCGTCCAGTGAATTTACCTAAAATTATAACCAGGAGACACCGTTTCATCAACATTCCTGTTGTCCAGTCGCTGAAATGTGTATTGTGGGACGCACTCAGATGCAGATCGGTCCAGGTTGCAGTTCCACTTGATCAGAATCCCGATCACTCCACCCTGCAAGAGAAGGAGGGAGCAAGCGGTCACTGGTCAAGGCAGAAATGGATATTTTCTGCAGAGGTGGAAATTCACCAGTTCACCTGAAAGCGGCGCCTTATTTTCCGGGTTCAGTTTCCGGCCAGGGCAACAGTTAGAGGCAGGAAGAAAACTCACCTGCCTCCTGCACTGTCTAGATCAATGGTGAACAACCTGTGGCCCTTCCAGTCCATGGGGCCATCAAGAAGCCCTCGCCCACCGACATTCACACAGTCCATGTTCGATCGGTGGTGCGTATTCGGTTTTTTTTCTTGATTGAATATTTCTTGATTCACGGCATTGATCGAGAAATATTCAATGGAACACACCTGAAGAGCCAGTTCTTGAAATTTGTCCCCCGTTTCTCTCACGATGTCCCCCAGACGGAAAATGGGGCAGTAAGGTTCCTTTGTCCGATTGAACACGCATGTTTTCAAGTAACTCGCGCTGATGTTAGGCAAGATATTTCTCCTGCAGCAAACAGAAAGAGAGGGGGAGTCGGTTTTTTTCTACTCCGCTTCGTGCAACACGGGAACACGAATGGGAAGCTTAGTAGAACTGTACTGGGGTTCTTCCACTTACTTTGAGAAATTGAACTGGGGGAACCTGATGTTGTTCTTGATCAACACCGTGAAGTTTTCAGCTCCTCCAAGAAGCGCCGGACTGAAACAAAGTGCATTTAAAATCCTTCTTGAGAATTTGGGGAAAATAAGAACTTATAATAATAATAATCATCCTTGCATTTGATATAGCACCTTATCATATCTTGGAGACATCTCAAAAGTGCTACACAGAATATATTGTTAAGTGGATGGACTATGTATTTTGTGGGTGGCAACCAATTGCGCACAGAAGTCTCCCACAAACGTTTGAGTGACCAAATTGTTAATTAATTTATTTTTTGGAGGAATTATTACCCCCGGAAAGCGATCCGCCAATGGACTAACAACCAAGTTCCTACTTAATGTTAGGTAAACAGAGGCGTGTGGAGTAAGGAAACTTGCCTAAAGTTCACCTTGTCCGGGAATCGAACCCAGGTCCTCTTGCTTGCGAGGTGAGCACGCTATCCACTACGCTCTGGGACTCCATGTTTTTTATAGTTCGCCCTTGCGTCAAAACGCTACATGGTGTTTTCCATCGAGTGTAATGTAGTGACTGTTCTCAAAGGCAAGCCCGTCAGATGAACAGGCAAACGGGACCTCGATTTAACACCTCGTCGAGGTACAGCAGCTGAGAGCAGGCTGTTCTGCCCAGTGCAGCACTGGAGTTCTAGCCTAGACTGTAGCCCCGTTTGAAATGTTGAAGCAAATTCACTGATCATTATCTTGAACGACCGGATACTTACTTGGGAAAAACTGTTTGACTCTCAAGGGGACACCAGGCAAGAACCTCACACGTTTTCACACCTTCATTAAAGGTGACACATTTTCCAGTCAATACGCCTAAAACCAAAACAAAGCATGACAAATTTCAGGTCGTCACGCGCTTAACATAATGACAGAATGTTATGTTACAGCACAGAAAGAGTTCACTCAGCCGATTGGTGTTTTTCTCCATGTGAAGCAACCTCATCACACTCTCTTGCTCGCTCCCCATATCCTTCAATCAACTATCTAAGTATATTCTGAAAGAAATGCCAAACTCAGCAACTTCTGTTTTCGTTTAAGTTTATCTTTATTGTTTCAGCCAAAAGGAACCAGCTCTGACAATGCTGGAGTTCGAATCAGTGGTTCATTGTGCACAAGGTGTAGCGTCCGCATAGCGTAGAGGTTACCGCGCTCGCCTCGCAAGCGAAAGGAACCGGGTTCTATTCTCGGGTGGAGCGAAACCCTAAGTTTCCTTACTCCACACACACACACACTTGTTTCTTGTTTACGTAGCAGTAAGTGGGCACCCAGTTGTTAGTCGATATTAATCCCTCGAAAAAATCTTGAATCCTCGACTGTTTGTGGGACAATGTTCTGCGCAATTGGCTGCTGTGTTTCTCCCACAAATTTCACAGTCACTCCACTTTACAATATGCCCTGTGAAGCCCTTTGAGATGTCTCAACAACATGAGACATGTTGTATATCAGTTCATGTGCTATCAAATGAAAGGATTATTATTATTATTATTAAAGTCCTAACAGTGATAACAAAATCAGGTGTACATACCACTGCTGTGAGGATCAATGAGTCCGGCCGTGCAGTTACTGTCTGAGGTACAATTAAACCCATTTTTTGGCAACTAGAAAGAACACAATGGGTTTTATCAAATGTTAAATAATAATAAGGTCCTGACAGTTATAACAAGGCCAAGCAGTGGTACATATGATTACCACTGTTAGGACCTTATTGATAATAATAATAATAAATCAAGATAAATAATAATAACCCAATTAGCATTTATTACAAATAGAGACAGATCAAACCGTTTGTAAGTCCTGACACTAAAGTGATCAATTATTAAACCACATCCCACCCATCTGTCGGCATATGCCCAGCGTGTATTAAAAATGCTTTCTGTAATCTTCAATAGAACCTCCTGAGAAAACTTTGAACTAACAGTGCCATAAATGTTAAGACTGGAGTTTTCTCCTCCCACCGCATCCCTGACATAGTGTGATCACTTATGTGATAACGTTAATGATTCATTTTGGTGCCTGGACAGAATCATGCGCTTGTCGTTTTATGTTCTTATTATGATTAACACGGCTTCCTACTCCACAATTTGTGCTGCCTTGTACAGTAAACTCCTGATAACTCGACCCCGACTTAACTTGTCATTGGCTCTTTAAATCATCGTGTCGTCAATATCCTGGCCGCATTCATTTGTGTATTTATACAGACTTACTTCTATTATGCATTTATGTAGACTTACCTCAGGGCAGTGACCTTGGGTCTGATTCTCAGTGCGAATTAGGTTGGTCATAACAAAGAAGGAGCTTTCTTGCTGTCGAAAGAAAGGAGAAGAAAATGGGCTAAAATTCCTAACAGCAATAATCGGCTGCTTCAGTGGATGGACTGAAACACATTGATTTCGACTTAAATTGGGTGGGAGGTGATACCCAGTCTGGTCACTGTCTTTGAGTAAATGCTTTTGAATTTAAAAAAAAAGCACACGTTTCAACAATTGTGACGATCACCATTCCTAAAAATTCAAATACTAGTTAAAATTCAAATACTTTTATTTTAAACTAAGCATAAAAGTTGCTTAGTTACCACTGAAGCTGACAAATACATTCCCAGTTCTGGTTCATTCTCTCCTACCAGCTTCCTTCTCTCTGTTCCTTACTTATCGAGAAAATATTGACATATCCAACAGGGAGTGTGGATCTGTGTGCTCTCAGCCAGAAACCAAAATGCTTTTTTATCATTGAAATCTATACCGTAGCGTTGTGGTTAGCAGGCTTGCCTCGCAAACAAGACGAACAGGTTCCATTTGTTTCCCGGACAGGGCGAATCCTTAGGCAAGTTTCCTTACTCCACACACACTGCTGTGCGCAATTGGATTATTATTTATTATATTATTTACCTCTGGAGGAATAATGTAATCGGCCGAGTCCCATAAGCGTTCTCCAAAACCTGACGAATTGACAAATGCCACACCTTTCACTTTGATGATGACCGAGCTGACGATGGAGTCAAAATCCTGATAGCCTTTTCGCCAGATGAGCACCCACCTAGGAACACAATGCAGCGGCAATCATTTAATAATAGAATTATTACATTTATTGATTTAATTATCATTGAATAATCCCCTCACAGTGGCTGATCTGTACCTCAGGCTACGCGACCACATCACTCCTACCCTCGCTCGCCTCAAATGGCTCCCCATCCCCCAGAGGATCAAATTCAAGATCCTCATCCTCACCTACGAGGCCATTCACGGCCTCGCTCCCTCCTACCTCTCCGACCTACTATTCCCCCAAGTACCTGCCTGTACCCTCTGTTCCTCTGGCTCCGGTCTGCTCCACATCCCCTGCCCTCACCGCCCTACCATAGGTGGGCGGGCCTTCAGCCTCTCAGCCCCAAGGCTCTGGAACTCTATCCCCCAGTGCCTTCGCCGCCTCCTCCCTTTTCTCCTTCAAGGCCGGTCTCAAGACCTTTCTCTTCAACCGTGCCTTCAGCTCCCCTCTCGACTCTCTACCCCCTCCTCGCTCCCTCCCTTCCCTCGCCTCACCCTGACCATTTCCCCCACCAAATGCTCGGGTCCCGACCCAACTGTCCAGCGCCTTGGGACGTCCTCCCGACGTGAAAGGCGCTCTGTAAATGCAATCTTGTTGTTGTTACCTCCCCTCCCACCCCACCCCTTGCCCCATATCGTTTAATACCCTGACCTAACAAATATCTATCTGCCTCCGTCTTGGAAATGTGAATACTTTTCGGAGTGAGAGAGAGAGAGCGCATTCCATTCCAACAATCTATCTCTGTAATTTCCACGTGTAGGTGGGATGCGTGGAATTCTTAGTTTGGTTTGGAGACTCTTTAGTCTGGTGATGTGTCAGACACCCGGCTGACCAAAAAGAAAAAAAGAATTTTGGCCAAAACCCAAACTCTTGCCGGAAAGAGGGCAACTAAAGGCAGGTCACCAGACCCTGACTGGAGCCCTTGAACTGAAACTGAAACTGAATTCATCAGCGATTGGGTCTAAGATTACATTTCACAGAGATTGTGTGAGATTTTTTTACACACAGCCCTGAAAAAACGCAAAGCTTTCCGTGATTTAAAGGAGGTTTAGCATTAAAATTTAAATTGGGTCATACATTTCACCAAATCAACTGGGAGAGGAGAGGAGAGAGAGAGAGAGAGGGGGTGGGGGAAGAGAGAGAGAGAGAGCAGAAATAGACAAGATGGCTTTTATCTTTTCAACAGCATAAAAATCTTGCTTGTTAATTTAATAAATCCATGTGTTAAAACAAATCCCATCCCTTTTCAGTCAAATGAAATGAAATGGAAGGAAGGGAGAGACAGACAGACAGACAGACAGACAGAGGCATCTCACAGTTGTCACTCACCCAATGATATAGGAAAGGATCACCAACTGTACCAGACGATTAATGAGCCCAACTTTCTTGTTTTTGATGAGCACAATCCTCGGGGTGTCGTATTCCAGAATGAAATCACAGACAGAGCAGCAGGTTTCACGAAGAGGCATCTTGTTTGCACTGAGTATGAGCTGGAGGAGTCAACGGAAAAAGAGGGGTGGAAATGCAAGTGGAAGTGGAGTTGGATGAGGGGAACCCCCTTCACCTTCTCTCCTCTCCTCTCCTCTCCCCAACGCAGATTTTCCCTTGTGGTGTGGTGTCTTCACCGCAAAATTATACGATCCACAGCAAGACTTCATTCAGCCCAGTCGTTGACCAAGCAGAAGGGAACTGGTCCACATAATCCAGGAGCTTTGTAAAGATGTGTGTGGTTTCCTTCAGCGCCTCTGCAGGTCTGGAGAACAGGAGCTGTTTGAAATAAACCCAATTTGGGAGTTTTCTTGTTCAGTTTCACTTTCTAACAGATCAAATCGTGTTCAGATTTTGCTTGTTTGGGTGGGTTTGGGTGTTTTTTTTTGGAGGGAGGGGGCTTTGCACGACCTTAATTTGTGGAGGTGCGAATGAATGAATGAATGAACGAACTTTACATTTCTGGCAAGTTTCTCTCTCTCTATATATATATAAATATATTTACGAGCAAATGATAGAGAGAAATGGGGGTTTATCTCTAGTTTTTTCTTCTTTGTGATATCATACACCAGTGATGACCAGTTTAAAATTGGGGTGAGTGTATTTATCATAAAAATAATAATCCTCGCACTTTGATATATATAGCGCCATATCGTGTCGTCGAGACGCCTCGAAGCGTTCCGCAGAACATACTGGAAAGCGACACGGACTGTATTTTGTGGGCGAAACGCGGCCGTCAAGTGCACCAGCAACGTCCCACAAAGAGTCGTGGATTGAGTGATCAAATTATTCTTTTAAAGGGATTACTACTGCCGGGAAAGTGATCCGCCAATCGACTAACAAACGGGGTTCCTACTTACTGCTGGGAAAACAGAGGCGTCGTGGTAATAACCTAAGGCTTTGCCCCGCCCGGGAATCGACCGCGGGTCCTCTCGCTCGCTCACGAGGCGAGGGCTCTAACCTCTACCCTACAGGAATCCGCAGCACAGCGGATAATATCGTATCCCGCTCAAAGAAAGTTTTCGCAACAACTCTCGCCCTGAATGCAACATTGATCAGATGGCAAGCAAAAAAAAAAGATAATAATAATAATCATCCTTGCATTTAAAAAGCGCCGGATCACGTCGTTGAGACGTCTCAGAGCGCTTCACAAAATTCCAAATAATTGATCTATTTAAGTCAGTTTATTATTACCTTTTGCAAAAAAAACAACTTTACCACTGTATTTGCAGAAACTGACCTGACGCAGGCAAGTTGTTTCAAACACACGGTCACTACACTCAGCAGCAATTACTTGTGAAGCTGCTGCGAGAGCCTAGTTTGATAGACTCGATGTTCGTGAAGACGTTGCCTGACGAGGATAAATTAGGCACAGACTACAAATTGTGCAATCAGTAGGATCCCAGTTGGCGCGTTGCAACCGACAATGTGGTCAAGCTGTTTGACCGCAGGGGGTACGTAGCACGCTGAAGCCCTCATGCTAACCTCGGACAGCATCTCCACGCGTTCAGTGGTTGCTGGGTCGCGGGTGAGGAGTACATGGCCCCTAACTATCTTCTCCCAACCACAGTGTTTCAGAGCCACTTGCCCTCGATCAGCGCCTCGGGACGTCCTCCCGACGTGAAAGCCCACATTTGTTGTTGCCCCAACTTCTGTCCTGCCCGAGGCGTCTCTCTGCCAGCGAAGGCAAGGCGCTCTGGGGCGCTATCCTGCCTGAGGAGCTCTATAGAAATGCAAGTTATTGTTGTAGTGTTGCCCCATCAGATGTCTCTTTTCGAGCCTGAAGAGACCCAATATATCCAGTTATTCTCCCTGGATTGTCCCTCAAGGATTGGAGATCGGCCTCGTTGCCCTTTTGTTTGCGTTTGGTGGGTGACAGCGCTATCGGGGGGATGGGTTCTGTTGGGTTCGGTCTCTGGCAGCTGACATCGGGGAAGCAGGTGGTCCACCCCCAGCCAGTGAGCCCCCCCCCCCCACCCCGCCAGCCAGTGAGCCCCCCCCCCCACACCCCGCCAGCCAATGAGCACCCCTCCCCCCCGACCGCCCCGGCCAGTGAGCCACCCACCTCCCCAGCCAATGAGCCCACCCCCAGCCAGAGAGCCCTCCCGCCCCCCCCCCCCCCCCCACCACCACCCATAGGATTATCGGAAACCGGAAGAGGCCATTCAGCCCCTCGAGCCCGTTCCGCCATTCTATTACATCAGGGCTGATCTGTACCTCAAATCCAATTATAAATGACACCCCCCACTCCCCCCTCCCCCTCCCCAGCCCCCCATTACCACCACCCTGAGAGACCCTCACCCCGCACCAGTGAGCCCCGCCCCCGCCCCAGCGAGCCCCGCCCACACGCGCCGGCCCCGCCCCCCGCCCCAGCGAGCCCCGCCCACACGCGGCGGCCCCGCCCCCATCGCCTCCCGTTGCCTGGTTACCAGTAGTGTTGACAGGTGTGTGACGGTGGGGGGTGTTGTCCGGTCAGTGCGGCGCTGCGCGTGAAAATAACGGCTTTCGGGCGTTTAAAATTTTGAATTTAATTTGAACCTGAGATACCGTTTCCCCCCCTCCCCACTCCCCCCCCACGGAAGAGGCTCTTCTTACCCAGTTTTGACCCTCAAATCAGTTTACTTCTGCTGCGCTCATTAATATATAGTATTCGGCTATTTCTTTTTTTTTTGGGGGGGGGGGAGTTGTGAGTTATTATTGTTCGATCGACTTTTGGGCTACAAACCGTCGTCGTATTTTCCGGCCCAAACCCTCAATTCTTTCCCCTCCCTCTCCCCTTCGGTTACCGTTTCAGGTAAAGACAAAAAAAAAAGAGAGAGCGACTTTTATGACTATTTTCCTCTATTCGCTCGACGATATCTTTCGCCCCAAACCCTTAAATATACCTTAAATATAAAGATAATGTAAGCCCCGGGAGCTGTGTGTGTGTGTGTTGGTTGGTGGTTGGGTTGACTGACTGACTGACTGACGGCGGCGGCCCTGTTGTGAAGGCCGCAAGCGCAGCCTCGGCCTCCAGTTTGGGGGTTGTTCGGGCCCTGTGTGTGGATGGGTGGGTGGGTGGTTGGGAGAAAACGACGAGCCCCCCTCGCCCCCCCTCGCCCGCCCTTCAGTGAGAAAGCACGACGTGCCGCCGCGTTCCCCCTTATTCTGTCGTTTGCGAAGGAAAAAAAAGAGCGCCTTTACCTCCGCGGGCGAACCGAGTCCGTTCCGCCGGTCGTTGCCATGGAAACGCGTTCGCCGTTAAATCGTGGGGGGGATAAGCATAACCCTCCCCCTCCCTCCCTCCCTCCCCCCCCCCCCCCCACCCCGTCCCCCCCTCGCGGCCCCTTTCACAGTTGGGTCGGGACCCGAGCATTGGGGGGGGGGGGGAAATGGTCAGGGGGAGGGGAAAGGAGGGAGGGAGGGAGGGAGCGCGGAGGGGGGGAATGGTCAAGGGGAGGGGAGGGAAGGGAGGGAGCGAGGAGGGGGGAATGGTCAGGGGGAGGGGAGGGAAGGGAGGGAGCGAGGAGGGGGGAATGGTCGGGAAGGGAGGGAGCGAGGAGGGGGGGAATGGTCAGGGGGAGGGGAGGGAAGGGAGCGAGGAGGGGGGGGAGCGAGGAGGGGGGGAATGGTCAGGGGAGGGGAGGGAAGGGAGCGAGGAGGGGGGGAATGGTCGGAGAGGGGAGGGAAGGGAGGGAGCGAGGAGGGGGGGAAATGGTCAAGGGGTGGGGAGGGAGTGAGGAGGGGGGAAATGGTCAGGGGGAGGGAAGGGAGGGAGCGAGGAGGGGATAGAGAGTCGAGAGGGGAGCTGAAGGCACGGTCGAAGAGAAAGGTCTTGAGACCAGCCTTTGAAGGAGGAAAGGGAGGAAGTAAGGCGAAGGCACTGGGGGATGGAATATACCGTGAAGCGATCTGGGGCGGCAGCCGATGGCGCGCAACTCGGGTCTTGATTTGCCCGTTAGGCAATTCATTTTTATTTGCTTTAAATTGTCTTGCCTCTCGCTCTCTTTCTCTCTCTCTCCCATCGTAATTCCTAATGTTGATTGTCGGGCTGAGAAAATGTTTCGCCATTTCCAGTTTGTGTTTAATATTATAATAATCCTTGCACTCGATATAGCACCTCGGTATAGACGTCGTTGAGACGTCTCAAAGCGCTTCACAAAATATACTGTGAAGCAAATTGATTGTGGACGAAACGCGGCAGCCAATTGCGCACAGCAGTGTCCCACAAACAGTCATGGATTGAGTGACCAAATTATTATTATTATTTTTGCTAAATTTTTGTGAGTGTTACCAAAATCTGGCTGGGTTGTTAATCTGGAGTGTTGTGCTTCATCCAAATCAGTCTTATATCACTTTGAGATGATTCTTTTTTTACGTGAATTAGTATTAAAAAGCCTTTTTTGAAACTCTGTTTTCAGAACAAAATGAGTGACCAGATCAAGTTCATTGTTGAGCAACTCAATAAGGAACCCTTTAAGAAGAGTTTCAACCTCATCACCTTTGACTCTTTGGAGCCACTACAGTTGCTGCAAGTGCTCAATGAGGTCCTGGCCGAGATTGACCCAAAGGTATGCGATGGCCTGCGCTATCATAAGATAAGTGCTAAGGTCATGGGATCTTAACAGTTTATTGATGCTAAATTGTAGTGAGTGTTAGTCACCAAAAGCTGTCTGGGTTGTTAAAAAATCTGGGCTTCATCCGAACCAAGTCTCTCAGGTAACAACTTCTGCTTGTTACATAAAAACATAGGAACAGGAGTAGGCCATTCAGCCCCTCAAGCCTGTTCCACCATTCTAGCAACAACAACAACTTGGATTTATATATAGCACCCTCCAAGCCAGACGGCATCTCAGAGCGCTTCAAAGCGCTATTCTATTACATCATGGCTGATCTGTACCTCAACTCCATTTACCCACCTTTGCCCCATATCCCTTGATACCTTGACCTAACAAACATCTATCCACCTCAGTCTTAAAAATTTGAGTGGATCCAGCATCCACAGTCTTTTGGGGGAGGGAGAGAGTTCCAGATTTCTACTACACTTTGCGTGAAAACACACTTCCTGATTTCACTCCTAAATGTCGTTGTCCCATGGAAGCTGAGTGGCGTCTTCTCTTTTTCCACAGCACAATATAGACATCCGTGAGGAGGCACCAGATCAGACGGCAAAAAGAATGTTTAGCCTCCTTGGAATCCTGAAGTACAAACCGCCCGGGAATGCATCGGACATGTATGTAACACATCAGTCCCTCAGCCCCGCTTTCCGTGTAACTTTCCAGTTTATTCCTTTTTTTTAGAATATTTTTTCTTTCCGATGCCATGCTCTGCAGTTTTTTTCACACGTGCATTCTCTCCTCTCTTATTCTCCCCTTACTCTCCCCTTCCTCCCCCCCCATCCTCCCTAGGAGTGTGTTTCGACAGGGCCTGGTCACGGGAAGTAAACCAGTAATCCACCCTATTCTCCACTGGCTGCTGCAGCGGACTGTTGAGCTGAAGAAGAGAGCATACCTGGCCCGCTTCCTGGTCAAGCTTGAGGTCCCCACTGAGTTTCTGCAGGATGATGTGGTAGCAGATACTTATCAACAGGTTCAGTAGCAACACTTTTATTACACACTTCACTCTGTTCACTTTTATTCTATCATGTACTGTGGACGATCGCTTTCAGTGTATGTGTCTAGTTAAGAATAGTTTCCTCTGGTGATAGTTTTGAGTATTTTGATATAACTAGTTGTCATATAGCCCTTGTTGTTATTAGAGCTTAGTAATAGCTTTTTTTCCAATGGGTCTGAAATCTGGTTTGTGGGAGATTTAACTCAAACCCAAATCTGCCAAGCACTGAGCTGAGCCTGATTCCAATCTCTGTTTGTAGTACGAAGAGCTGGTTGAAGGGTTCAAAAACCTACACAAGGAGTGTGAGCAGCTGAAGAACTCTGGGTTTTCCACAGCTGAAATCAGACGGGTAAGAGTGTGTCTGCTTTTGTGTGTGCATGGGTGAGTGTGTGGGTTTGGGGGGGAAGAGACAAGGGAAATCCCAAAGACACAAAGACTTGCAATTCATTTGGTGGCTTTATTACACCTACATTAGTGGAGCAGGATAAAGTTGTAGATTCCATCTAACTTGCTTACAGAAGTGCACTTTCCACAAATCTGTCTGTACTGTAAAGTTGGCTTCAGCTACAGAAGCCTTTGTGCGAAGATTGCACATGCACAATATGCGATGATCTGCAAAATGTTTTGGTCTCTTGTTTGCAGGACATCAATGCAATGGAGGAAGAGAAGGATCAGCTCATTAAGCGGGTGGAGCGTCTGAAGAAAAGGGTACAATCCATTTATAATAATAATAATCCTTGCATTTGATATAGTGCTTTTCACGTCTTCTAGACGTCTCAATGCGCTTCACAGAATAGACTGTAAAGTGAATTAACTGTATATTTATGCGCGAAATGGGGCAACCAATTGCACACAGCAGTGTCCCACAAACAGTCGTGATTGAAGTGACCAATTTATTATTGTTTATTTTCTTGAGGGATTATTATCAGGCGTGTGGAGTAAGGAAACTTGCCCAAGGTTTGCCCTGCCGGGAATCAAACCCAGGTCTCTCGCTTGCAAAGTGAGTGCTCTAAGCACTGCGCTACAGAACTCCACTTGTGTTATACAGACAAGTTTCCAGTCTCCAAACGCCTAGTCGTAATGCATATAGTTTAGGGGAGGCATGTGGTTTGCTTAAGAAAGGGATTAAGTAACACATTTGAGTAAAAGGAGACGTGCTAGGAGAGATGCCAACACCTACAAGGAGTTACTCACACCACATGTGTGTATGTTGGATGTATCTGGTATGAATTCCATGGTGTCATCTGCAGATAATCATTGATGGGAAAAGGAAGTGTTCTTTGACTTGTGTGAAATACGAGCTTGGGGAGATTTCCTTGAGACGCTCTGATTGTAAATAGCTGGTATAACATGTTTGCACTAGGTCGACACGGTATCAAATCACCAGCGAATGCTGGAGATGGCAAGACAGCTCCGTGTGGAGAAGGAGAGAGAAGAATCTTTAGCACAGCAAAAGCAGGAGCAGAAGAATCAGGTACTGTATTGCCAGTTTCATCCTCTGCACCCTGTATGGGGGCAGTTTATGTGGGTGGATGGTTTTGTATGGAAGAGTATACATTTTATTGCCAATATTCACCACTCAAGTGCAGAGTTTTACTAAAGTCAGCTACACAGACAGCTGCTGTTTTTCCATATTCCATTCTTCGGTTGAAAGTCCAGGCAGTGATTGACTTTTAGATATCCCAAGATACAGGACAAGTAGGCACAGGTTTGTAGCTGCGACTTCCATTATAGCGTACTTCCCTATGCCTGCCCTAAAGAGAAAGTTTAGGGCAGGAACAGGGAAGGATGTTTTTTTGACAACCACAGCAAACAACGACAAATTACATTTGTATAGTGCCTTTCACATTGGAGAATGTCCCAAGGGGCTGGACAGTCAGAATTTGGACTCAAGCTGGGGTTTGGGATCAGGAGGGGTGGAGAGCAGGGAGGCTAGGTTTTTTTTCCACAAAGGAAGGTAGGAAGATGGCAGGATACTGGGACTTGTTTAAGAAACAGACAGATGCTGCAAAGGGAGCGCTGAATGGGTGGTCGTTGTGGGAAGATGAGATCAGATTAGGTTGTAGCCTTCTTTATCTTGTCTCTCTTGAGATTCTTTTCATTCTTTGACTACAACCCAACTTCCTACCTTGGCATACACCAACTCACTCTTGTTACCAAGCCAAGTCCCGTGAGAGACCCTGCGCTCGGCACAGCGTTGAGCCGGCAATGGCAGCAAGGTGGCCTGGTCTTTAGTGGTTGAAACAGTGAGGAGCGTTTCAGCAGTGATTCCTTGTGTTTCCTGTTTCTCCATAGTTATTCCATGCGGAGCAAAGGCTACAGAGAGCTCAGCAGCAGCTGAAGGACCTTCGGCAGGCTTCAGCAGACGCCAAACCTGAGAGTGAGTGTTGTGCAAAGCTTCGAAGTCGGAGATAGCAGAGATTTGTGTATGTGGTGGGGGCAGCAATTGTGCCAGAATGGTGAATGGTGAAAAAGTGCGATTCTGAGATGCATACCCAAAATGGTTTAAAAATGCCGATCATTAAACTATTTTCCAACACTTTGAGCTATTTGCGGGCAGCTACCTGTGTGTGTGTTCCTCTGCCGCCTCGTGTTTTACGAGCGAACCCTTGTGCCTTCTTGTTCCTGGCCCCAAGTAGCAAACGCAGGTATGCTGGGCCTGATGGTTTCCACAGTTGTGGGCTGCCAGAGAACGCTGTGTAATGTGGATGATTTAATTTCTGCTGTGTTTGTGCGCACCCCAGTCTAAACAGGACTCTGTTAATAACCCTGGAGTAGCTTGTGTCCATGCCAACTGTAGAAAGGTCTTGAGTATCACGATTATAACTATAATTTATCTGTTTGCCTTTCTAAAGCAATAAAACTGTTTTGCGCCACATTCTTGAAACCATTTTACCCTCATTTGTTTTTTTGTCTTGCTGAAGGCAGTGACATCTAAAGTTTGTCCAGCCGTTTGTAAGGTCAACATGTTCAGTAGAGCCGGCAATGGCAGCAAGGTGTATTCATGCTGTTCATTTATAGTATAGAAGATGCAAAATCATGAATTCTGGCATCTAATTAAAGGGCAAGGCATTGTTCCAGCCTGTGGCCATTTTGGTTTGTTTCACAATATTATTCTTCAGGGTTTGTGTAAAAGAATCGGCAACCAAGATATTGGAATTTTCCATGACAACGAAATATTTACTGGGATGTATACAAATGCTCTATATATCTCATGAATGCTTGACTAATCCAGAGGGGCGGATAGATTTATTGATACTGGTGTATTAGTGAACAGAATGGCAAGGTCGATGAGGTACTTTACTTTTATCCCATGTCCTCAAGGGTAGCCCAGATCAAGGGCAGAGACCTATGTAGAGGTGGGGGAATGTGATTAGAGAGATAAAGAGCTGCCGTGTACAGAGGCTTCTCCAGCATGAGTCGTAGTAGACTGGACTGAATTTATTTATTAAATACCCTTGTATTCAAGTCCCTGCACTCCTCTGCACCCCCCTACCTCTCTGACCTCCTCTCTCCTCAAAACAGTACTCGTTGCCTTCGTTCCTCCGGGTCTGGCCTCCTCGTCCCCTGGGTACTCCGCTCCACCCTCGGCAGCCGTGCCTTCAGCCACTATGGTCACCTTCCTCCCCATCCCCCTGGCTCGGTCTCGGGATCCGTTACTGTGAAGTGCTCTGAGACGCCGTCCAGCGTGGAGGACTCTATATAAATCCAAGTTGTTGTTGTTATATCAAATGCTATTATTATTATTAATGTTTCTCGTCTTGCTCCATCACATCACTATTGCTATGGATGTGATTCCTCTAAGTTCTGTTCTCTTGTATGAGCTGGTTGTTTGAGATTGGATGGATAAGATACAAATACCATAGGAAGCAAGTAAAACCCATAAGAATGGGAGTGTGATTGAAACTTAGCCACACTGTTGTAGTTGGAAGTCGTAAATAACTTTTAAGATCGTGTTCTCCAGATGTGTTGCTCTGTAAATCACACCAGCCAGCTCCTGGTTACGTTTCAGTAATCTAAAAAATGAATTACAATCCAGTTTTAATAATACGGTAATCCTTGCATTTAATATAACTCAAACCAATTTACAGGGAATTGCTGTGAAATGTGACATTTATTGGCAGACGTGGCAGCCATTTTGCAAACAGCCAGGTCCCAAATATGCATATCCCATACATGCATGATCCCACTGATATCCTAGGTATCCACTGATACTGCTCTCCACTGATATCCTAGGGTCATGTACCTTCGCAGCCTATGTGTCATATTCTGCAAGAATGCCCGACAAGCTTACATATCATTTCAACAGGACATTAGAGTGAATAAGGACAGAAGCTGAACTGTAACGATGGGTAAATTTACTGGTTGAAATATGTTTTGCCAGAAAGATTCTACTGAACATTAAAAAATCAGTTTACTAAGTGCCAGATTCCTGGCTCACTGTCTCTCCCAAGTACTGTTCAGTGTTATTCTCTCCTAACATTTCTGCCCGGTGGCAAAACATCTTGACAGTATAATTAACAGAATCTCAAAGTGTAATGGAAAGTTAATTGTTCCCAGAATGGAGCCGAGGACATAAAAAAAACTCATCTGGTTAACTTTATCTGAGAAAATCCCTCCCTTTTTTGTATAACTATGTACTGTTTTGTTTTGGACAGTGAAGTATGCTGTTCTGGAAGAGGAATTGAGAGGTGGAGGGAATAGTGGCAAGCTATGCTTTTTATCTCTGATCTTGGTTCCACTGAAGTGCCGAGCACCAGCTCTTAAAAATACTTGTGACATGAGATTGGGTAGAGTCAACCTATTTATTTTAGCCACAAAATACACAGTCAATTCACTTTACAGTATATTCCGTGAAGCCCTTTGAGATGTCTCGAAGACATGATAAGGCACTACATCAAATGCAAGGATTATTATTACATATTGTGTGGGTGTAGATGGGTTCAGGGCACAAAGCTGGCTATCGAGATGTGGGAGGTTACCTGGTAGGCGAAACTGAATGCCTTGCTGGTACTGTGGGAGGGATGTTGAGAGGTTGGGGGCAGAGCTGGAGCAATGAATGTTTCTCAGTGTTTTACTATGTGATGCTAATGCTGAAATAGGAAGGGAGCAGGTGAAGAGGTGTTTGTTAGTTTTGATGGGGAGCGGGGGGGAGGAACAGTTCAAAATTAGAATGTTTAATCCATCTTGTGCACTTGTGCATATATGACCTTTTGACCATCTGAGCTGCTATTTTAAGACTGTTGGGTTTCTTTCTTGTCACATCAAGCCGAGCCAAGCTTGATTGCTTAGCGACATTGCTTACAGTAAGTAAGCCATTGTGTGATGCTGAAGTAATGAACTGCAATTCTCTTCATACCATTTGTTTGACTCCTTGCACGTTTATTCTTTTAGCTTTTTGGTTTATAAACCCCCTCATCTTACCCCACCACTCTCCCTCCCAGCCCCCAGCCCGGGAATGTACATGGTCAGAAAAGACCATTGCAGTCCATCTGGCCATAGCCAAGTTGATAAGTCTTGCATTCGTCTATCTCCCGTGTCCCTCGATTCGTTTCATTGCTACATAACAATCTAATTCCCTTTTACATTTGCTGCCAGAATCAGGTGTAAAATCTGATAGTCTCGTGAAATAAAAAGCGCCATAGAAAGTTCACAGTCTATAATTGATTATTTTCTCTTGAGTTCCTGCCGCACATAATAACACTTTCTATTTATAAGCTAATCACTGTTCTCCCCTTCCCTCTTCTTGTCCTGTTTGTTTGCCCTCTCGCCTCCAAACAGATACAGAGATCCCAGTTTGCTATCAATACAGCAGCTCCTCACGTCAGTGATGCTCTGTGCTTAGCCAGCAGAAGGCACACTTGCTTCATGGTGAGCGAGGGAGTTCAATCACCTCCGTTTTGTTCTTTCACACACTGAGGTGACCTACCTAGGAGCCTGATTGAGAATTATTAACCTCTTTCCACATGCCTGGTAGATTTAAATATAGTCAGTGTCCCACGAGCAGCCGGTCAAGATTTCAACTCCGCAACCCCTCACAACACTGAGCAGAAGTTTAGTATATATAAGGTTATGTTTATTGTTTAAAGTTCTGTCTTGTTTGAGATGGAAATGTATTTGGTTCTCAGCGGTGTTACTGATTGTCTTTCAGGTTTGGTGAAGAGACTGGAAGAGGAGATCAAGTTCAACACCTACATGGTGACGGACAAACTTCCTAAGGAGCTGGAGAGTAAGAAGAAAAATGTACAGTACTTACAGAAAGTGGTGGCGGAGCCCGCGATGGGACATTCTGACCTGAACGAACTTGAAACCAAGGTACAGTGGCAAAACAATGGTATATACTGCATTCAGAATAAAGATTTATGCAAACGCGCAAGGGAGCGCAGGAAACGTATAAACAGTTGATTAAAATATTGCCGTACAAGGGATCAGGTGAAGAGGTGTTTGTTAGACTCCCGTTTGGTAATCATTGGGATATTTTCCCATTGGTACCAATGTGACAATTGAAGCTCATGGATTGAGGTGTTCGTAGTTTTTTTTGGGTATTGCTGGTCATGTTCTCGCGAAAATCGGCAAAATCTTCACCAGTAAATCAGGTGAGGACCACCATTAGCCCCTAGAAATAAGAGGCTATTTGACCCATTGTATGGGTTCTTGCCCAGCACAAGGTGAACCACCCCCACCTCCCTGGTTCTTACTAAACAGACTCAAAGCAATGAGGCTTCTGAAGAGCTGCACTATGTGCATGTTGTTATTAGTTGGAGCCAGTGCAAAACACAGATTGTAGCCTTGGTTGAACTGGCATACTTCAGTAGGAGGAAATACTGAGATGGTACAATTCACGTCGAAGAGGACTATCAGATGAAACCCAAGTTGAGACACACGTTAATTCAGCTGAAGGCACAGTCTGGTTATGTCCCACGATGGGCAATATATCAAATACAAAGATTATTATTCTTGCTTGTGTTTACAGAAATACGAATACACCATTTGTGTTCTCTCAACCGCATACATGGTGAAAGAATGGTAGAGAGAATCTTGGGTGGAGGTTCTTGTATGGATGCAGTGATTTGTTTCTGCAGAATTAGTGCCTGGAGTACAACATGTTATTATCAGACATCCTACAGTCCTGTCGTTGAACCGTTTGTAAGAAAGTTACCACTTACCCTGACAGATAAACCAAAACTCACTGCATCAAATTGGTACAATAGCCCATGAAATAGGCCAGCTCCCTCATGGCCTTGCACAAACCAGATGAAAGAGACTGCGTGCAGATTGATCCACATTACCTGAACCAGGCAATGCCCAGGGAATACACTGCAACAAACCTGCTTGAGAAGTTTGCTAGAAGTAAAACTTTCGCCAAATTAGATGCATCCAATGCACTTTTGCTGCTGAAGACCTTCTTCTTTGATCGTGCTCACGGTAACCTCCCCCTTCCCTCCAGCTCTGCCACTGTCAAGCGCTCTGAGACGCTACCCTGTGTGAGGGGCGTGATATAAATGCAAGTTGTTATTGTTGCAACATCTTACTGCTCAGTCTTTAAGCTGATTATTCCATGGTTGGCCTCATTTTTTGAGCATATCAGTCCATTGAGGCCAGTGTTATTGTTCGGGGGGTGGGGGGAGGACTTGGCCCAGTAGCAGTATGAAATGCCAATTGAGGCAAAAGGCCGAAAACAGACGAGAATAGCATGAAATTAAACCAAGGCAAGGTAATGAATTGTTTCCACAATGACCTGGATGGCACTTAACCAGACAGCAAGAATGCTGAGGCTGTAATTAGCATGTACAGACTCGCCACAAAGAAACAGGCACAGTTTTTCGGTATGGCAAATTCTTTCTTTGGGAAAAGATAAAGCTTGCACTTTTGTAGTGCCTTATCAAATCGGAACATCTCTGGACACTTCAAAGGTAATTGGAGTCACGTGGAGTGACGGTGCGATGTTTTTCCAGCCGAAAGCAACAACATTTGCTCCAACAGGCATCGGGCGGACCTGCACCTTCGAGAATGTTGCAAGGAAACTATAATATCTATTTGACAGATCAATGTCAGCCTGGCTCAGTGGTAGCAGAAGGTTGTGGGTTCCTCTTGAAGGGGGAGTCCCCTAACAAGTTGATCCTAACATTGTTTTCATCCAATTGCTCGTCAATTGGATGATTCCTCTTTGTTTTAAAACTTGTTGGCGCTGCAGTGTTCCTTTTTTAAAAAAACTACTTGTTGCCATTTTGTTTTCAGATCCAGGAGATCAATGCTCAGATTAACCAGTTGATTGAGAAAAGAATGATGAGGACAGATCCCATGGACGACAAGCTTTTCTTGTTTCGCCAGCAGGTAAGAGGAGTGGAAATGACGCCATGGGCAGGAACTCAATTAATGTAGAGAAGTCAGACCGAGTGGCTTCGGTGCACACCGTACATATATAAACGCGGTTGCACCATGGGCTCTGCCCTGTACCAAAAAAGCGGTAATCTTTCAACTATCATGTGACCTGGTGAAGGTTCAGAGCAGCCATTGTGCCAAGGAGTGAATAGGTATCACAGCAGGTTTCCCGAACTCAGCCAAAGCAATCTAGGGCAAATAGGGCGAGTACAGGCTCACGTACTAAAAGGCTAGTGCTTTAACTGAACCAGGAGAGACCTGACTCCACTGCAAAATGTGTTTGAAGGAATCTAGGCTGTGTCTTCTTTCACTGACTCACTCTTGGAGTGAAATTGCCATGTGAGCTGTATTTAAATTTGCATTTCTGTAATTACTAAACAATACTAAACAGTATTGTATTTTTTAACTCAGAAATCGATTGAACATTTTAAAATTCATCTTTCATTCAATTTAACGCCCACTTTGCAGAGATTTATGTTTCCATACACAATGCTTGATTTGTTCAGAATTAAACGATTGTTGGGCAGAACTCTTTGCGCTGATCCTGTGCGTTTGTCAGACAATCCTTTCAATTTGGAAAGAATTTCAGTCTTTGGTGTGCTTTTCTATTCCCCTCCCTCTCCTCCACTGATGTATTTGAAAATGCTGGGCTCTAACGGGAAATGACCTTGTAGAAATTCAGCAACACACATCGTGGTAGATAGAGACTGAGATCTTTAGTTTTTTTTCCAGTATTGTTTAAAATATAAAATCATGTGAAGTTCGAATGCGAAGATGGAAATGAGTGCACCCAAATTTGGAGTAGAACAGGTTAGAACTTTGTGCCCCTTTAGAGGGAGTGTTTGTTCTTTAGTTTTCAGATGCCTCGTATTGACCTAGTTGTCATGATCTTGATGAACTACTATAGTGCTCTGCACTCACGTCATCGTTGCAGTTTTAACCAAGTGGCAATGTTGTGAATCTCTGCATTACCAGAAATAACACCGAAGCCTGGATTCAGCCAGGTGCTTGTGTGGCTCTGTCTCTTCCTCTTCATTTGCTCTTTATTCGATCCTTCCTTGGTCACAGAGTGTGTTGTGTGTGTGCCGAACTTCTGCCAGTGAATCCATCTGGGCTCAAACATCTTAAAAGTGTGGATGGAATCTCCGGCCTGTTCCTCCCCATTCATTGGAGACACTGCAGAAACGTTGTGAGGCGTTTTGAGACTTTCTTGAGGTTATAGACAATCTATCACAAATAAAGATTTATTTTATAATAATCCTTGGATTTGATACAGCACTTTATCACATCATTGAGACATCTCAAAGCGCTTCACAGACTATAACCATAAAATGAATCGACTGTATAATTTGTGTGTGAGATCACTGCAGCAGCAGTCTTGTACTTTGGCTTCGCACTGGCCCAACTCAGAAACAAAGAAGTTTATATCACTTGAACCCATATCAAGTGTGGATGCACAGAGTAAGCATCTGTATTGTATGTAAGATAATGAATTCCTTTGTGGTTCACCCATCGTCCAAATCCTGTCTATGTGGTTTCACACCACATTTATTGTCAACCTTCAAGTCCACAGTTTATGTGCACATATGACCTTTGTTTCTCTCATAGAGCAGAGGCTGAATCGTTAAATTTCAATGAGTACAATGGAAATCCTAATTTTTTTTCACTTCTACAAAGACCAGGTGATGGAGTGGGGGGTTAGCACCTCTCACACGCTGGAGAGAATATAACAAAGGATTCTTCTTCTCCTCTGATCCCCAGTTTCCTTCTCTCAGGCATGCACGCAACAGTACGTCTTTAGTTTCTCAATGCTGTTCCCTGCTTGTTCTGAACATGCTTCACTCGTCCTCCCAAGGTTCAAACATACCATCCTTTATACTTAATCCAACCTGCATGATCTTAACAGCAAGACTCATTGAACTATCTCCTATTCTTCCCTAATATTTGAAGACTGTGGAGCTCCTTGGGTCTTTCAGTCTTCCGCTTCTCCTGCAATCTACAGGCCTTTAAATCCCCACCCCAAGTTCGTTATTGACCAGCTTTTTATTTTGTTTTTCTCTCTGTCAAATCAACACTGCATTTTGTTTTGTAAACTAGGCCCTTTTTACTGTGCGGCCCCAACGATGACCGTATATATTTTGCACACAGGCCTCCATCATTTCCCGTAAGAAAGAAGCCAAAGCGGAGGAGCTGCAGGAATCGAGAGAGGAGCTGTTAAACATGGAGAAAGAGTTGGCACAGAAATCGAACCAAGCCCGTGATTTCGATGGGACAGAGGTTCTCAAAGGTGACGAGGTAAACTGGCTAGGAAGCCTCAACTCTATACACTACTAATGATGCCTGTAGCAAGTGCTTATTGAGTTGTTTAATCTTTATAGATCTTTTTTTCTCAGTCATCCAGGTGCAGAAACCCATGCTTAAGAGTATCCAAAACAAACTAAGAATTCCATGCATTGATGTGGATTTTGATTTTTTTAATATAACTTCCACAGGCTGAAATTTCCCTCAGTTTCAGTCTCTGCTGCCTGTTCTGTGACGAATGAACTGGCTCCTGTATGGTGTCCTACAGCTGTTATATTTTCTGCTGATACCCAATTGTCCTAAACTGTTAAGGAAAACAATTCAGGGGGGTGGAAGGGAGGAAGGTACAACATGATACAATGATCAAGAAACTGGCTTGGAGATCTACCATCTGTTGACACCGCTGAGCCTCTGAAGTCCCATCAGTGTGACATTACCTTGGAGGGGTATATTCTATGCTGCTATGAGATACGAGTGCAAAGTTTACACTGCTAACTTCATCCTGGATTATTGTTGGTGCCAAACCCATCTCAGTGCCAATGTAAATAGGACATGAGCAGTCACAGGAGCAGACGAAAAATCATAGCTTTGGGGGCAGCACAACCTCAGAACAGACAGTGAGTGAGGCATGAACACTAATTAGTGTGGTATCAGCCGCCTTGTTTGAATTCAGCAACTCCAGGTTCCCCGAGGAACGGTTGCTTGGATGTTGACCCGAGATGGAACCAACTCAGAAGTCAGAATCCCCTAATGGATATGCAGGTTCAGCTGTCGGAAGCCAAGCGTTTAAAACCATGGCTGATGCCTCCCCTGACAAATCGTGCCCTCATTGCAAGGCGACCCCATCATAAAACACCTCATTAGAGGGCCAGTTCAGACCCTCGGATAACAGGAGGGAGTCAAGTTGGGGATGAGGTGGAGATTTCACCGAGCTAGAGTGTTACACGGAGTAATACGACATGGAATCAGGCTACAGGTTCCATGTGAGCCTCCACCCCTTCTTTTCCCCTGGTCTAATATAGTTACACATGGTGGAGGTAGCAACACATTGGGGTGAGGTGTAGGCTGCATATTGCAAGTGCCACCTCTGTGTTGGCCCAGGGTTGGGGTGGGGGGCTATGGGAGGGTAGTTTGCTTATAAGTAGCTAAGTACGTAGTGTCCCAGCTCTGGTTACCAAACTATGATTATCATTTGCGGCTTGCCACAAAACAGGTGGCTGTGACCTCTGACAAATACAACACACGTTTTACATTCTTCGCACAATTTTTGAATCTGATCCACAAATGGCAACAAAGCCTTGTGTGGATCAAAGTCTGAGTGGCGCGCAGGATTCAGCGATTGTGTGGCTCAGCGCTGCACAATAAGTGCACTGTATCAGAGTTAAATGTACACTTAACCTTACGAGTGCGACATTTTTCTGCTGTCTGTCAAAACCAGCACGAAGAAGATGAACCTAATACTCCAGCACAGAGATCGAAAGTGGGTTCTTCCACTTAGTTTGCGTGTTTCCTTTTGTTTAATAATAATAATAATAATCCTTGCATTTGATAAAGCGCTTTTCACGTCTTCTAGACATTTGTGACGTAATTGGATTTTGCAGATACAAAAAGAAAATGAAAACTGTTCTTAACGTTTTTTGGAATTCACTAATGAAAGTAAGATTAATTTCGTTCAATATGAGATCATTGGAGTTGAGGTACAGATCAGCCATGACCTAATAGAATGGCGGGACAGGCTCGAGGGGCTGAATGGCCTACTCCTGTTTCTAATATCGGGAGTCAGAAAATCAAAGAAAAGTTTAATGGCAACCGAGCGTCTCAGCAGAATGCGGGTACGTTTCGGGTTTGGACCTCTCTTGAGAGCTGTCAATTGATCTTTCACCAATCTCTTGGCCTTGTAGCTTGGTTTGTAGCCGCCAGCAACTTATGGATTCTTATTCATATTGTTCAGGAACATCAGTGGTGAGCAATCCACCGAAAAACATGCCTGACATCTGCACCCCCAGCTCAGGCTCAGCTTGTCCGTTTATCTCTGGCTTTTGCCAAGCTGAAAAATTCCTGTCTCCCTGCCCTTTGCTCCCATGCATGTGATTGTGCTTAATGTGCTATTAGGCCCAGGCAATCAGAATTGATACCAGCTCATATTTCTCTCAGGCTAAAGCGTAAGGCTTAGTAACGGTGTTTTATATTTTTTAGATGAATTTTGCATATATGTAGAGCATTTTTTTTCCTCTGCCATAACTAGTCCACTAACCCCTCTCACCCCTAATCCAAAACTTAAAAGGCCCTTCAAACTTAGTATGTGTGAATGCATTTCTACTCCATCCCTTGATTTGACAACCTATTAGCACCTTATCTTGGCCTGTCTTGTATTCCTGCCATGTTACTCAGTGTTTTTTGTTTGTTCAACTACAGGCTGGTACCAGGGAAACAAGCCATGGTACGCAGTTTTTCGGCTTTGTAATAATATACACGACCTGAGAATGTCTTTGCGATTCAGTTGACATTCATCAAACACATTCTCTTAATCTTGAAAGGGATTCTTTATTTCATTTACTCGTCTCCTATTAGTAAGTCGGGGTATAAACTACTCACATTGCAGTGAATGAAATGATTTGCATCTTTCTGAATGATTTCTAAATCATTCTCACCTCCCTTTCACATCACCCAAAAGCATTGGCACAGAGGAGGAATGTGCGCAAGAAGGAGGCGTGTGGTGGTGGATATTACACAAGAGTAGAGTTCTTGAGTAACTTTTTGATATTTCTTCTATTATTGTCAGCAGAGAATCGCCTTCTCTTGCTATTCAGCCACAGTATAAAACATGAATGAATGAAATCTAAATTTTCGGGATAAGTTTCAAGACTGTTAACTTTGCTTTAGTGAAACCAGAATTTCGCAGTCTGCAGTTGAATGATTTATTACTTTCCGGTCTATGATATTTTGCTTTTGACTTGAGATGGGCGAAGACCGCAGTTATTCTTACCAGTTGACGTGTACAGCAACGATAAGCGACCAGGGAATGGTTTACCATTTACTCTACTATTCGTATGTATAGTCAGCAAACGAGCACTTGGACAGCAAACAGTTGCAAATTGATGCATCACAATCCATTTGGTCTCTGAGTTGATGTGGATTTGGGGAGGACTGGCGGGATTGAAGCATGTGCGTTCTGACACTCTGCCCTACATGACGGGCGTTGTGGTGTTCTTACCAGCGAATTAGAGAAGCTTTTCATTTGACCTTCAGAGTTTTGCAGAGGGCTCCATGAACAGCTGACACATAGATGGGGCTCTGGAGCTACATGTATCACCAAATTCAAACATCTTCCAGTACTGAGACTTGAACCAGTTTGGGTGTGAAGTAATCAACATAATCATCATTCCACCCCAAGTTAGACAATAGGATCCTGCGACTGAGAGCAACTTCAGTTTTCCAACTTTTCATCTGTTTTTTTACTGGAACAGACAGAACATTACATGGAGACAGTGAAAAGTCTCTCGCTTTCAAACTCTTCATAGTAATGTTCTGCAGAAGCAATGTGCGCAAACAATCTAGGGTTTAAACGATGCGGGACAAACGTAAAATGAGCGTGTCATGGTTATCAGCGCTTGGGTTTAAATCTCTTTGCCCACCTCGTGGATAGAACTGTGGACCGAGCGTTTATAATGTAAGCCTACAGAGGCAGGTGTAACTAGCAAGTGGGTTGAACAAGGAGGAATGAGGATGGCTAAACACCACAGCAGGGGAGATGCAACAACAACAAGAAGATGCAGGTTGATCCATCAACTGGTCCTGCTGTGGGGAAGCCCTGAGTTGATGCCAGGTATATCCTCATGATTCTATGTGTGTGGGGGGGGGGGGGAATTGGGGGGAGGAGAATAGGAATCCATAAACACCTGTTGTATGGCCTCTAACTGCTGGTAATACATTTATCACTCTTCCCCACCCCCCACCCTCCCCACACATACTTTTGAACGCTCACACTACTCACAGACTTTGTTGCAGCCTGAGTCCTACTTTACAATAAGAATTTAATTACTCAGAGGAACTGATCAATTAAAACAAAACGCTGTTTCTGTGTGTTCCTCATTAACAAGTGGTCACCTTTGATCCCTAACTGGAGCCTGAGTCAAAGTTCCAACCATCTCTGATTTGGAGGCAACTGGTGCCACGTTCACAGACATCGGAGCTTTCCTAATCCTGTTCGGCATTCAGGGAGTGCAGATGGCGACTGGGGTAACCAAGGAACCACACTGCAATCTTCCTGTCTGCAAACAGCCGGGGCTGAACAGAGACACACTCCAGCCGGGGAGCAGACACATATTTATATCCCTTTGTGTCATGACTGTCAAAGATCTCGCCAGAAGCACTAAGTTTTTACACCAGAGTGGGTGGGGTGGGGGGGGGGGTTGTAGGGGGAGAGGGAGCAGGTTGGAATTCACAACAATTTACTGTAGAGTTTGCTCTGATATGAAGCTACTTGTTTAAAGTGTGTGTCGGGAAGAGCCCTGTTCAGCACCTTAAAAGAGACGCCAGGCCACCTTTTTGTTCCTCGCTCAGCCCGGGCCTCAATGTGCTTGTTGCCTGCCTGTTTCTTAGAAAGATATAATTGTCATTCTCTTTGGATCAGAGCCACGTGACGCTTCCCAGCACAGAAAGATAGCCAAATTATGGCCTGGTGAAACTTGAGAGTGTTGCACTTAATGTGACAAGATGTTGTGTGTGCTACTCTTAGTGTGGATAGAGAATCACCATATTAGGAAGTGTATTGTCTGATAATGAAGCCTGCTGAAAAAAGCCAAGTCAAAGTCGTTCTTTTCACTCTGAATTGTTGTTTAATCTTTTACTGATCTCGACGAGAGACAAACCGAATGGCTAATTGTTTTTTCATTCTGTCATGTAACACACCGCTCGTGAAGGTCTTTTTTTTTGCGGTTGCCAAAAACGTGGCAGAACGTCAACACTACATGTACTTCTGCTCAGCACTCTTCAAATATGTTATCAGTCTTGTTCACAGGTCAGTGTTATTCTCTGGTTCCACTACATTCAACAACAGTCAGCCTTGAAATATTCGCTTTATTGGTCAGCTCAGTCCAGTTTTGAACAATAATTTACTCCCTCTATCATTCCTTCTCCCTATGCTCCCTCTCCCCCCCACCACCCCCAAAGTTGTCTACTGGGCGTAAAACTGAGCTACACAGAAATTAGAAGGTCTAGGGTAAGGTTTCCCCAGGTTGTGTTGAGCTAGCTGTTCAGATCCAGAGTGAACCTTTGTGAACATAATCAATGAACGGGCTACTAGCAAAAAGAAAAGTTTTGTGAATCTCTCTGTGAATGGAGCCAGGGGAGGTTTGAATTTATTCTACTTGTGCTATTGTCCCTGCAAAGGCCAATATGTTGTGGATTTTTTTGTGTGACCTGGAAAAAACTTGTATATTTTTCCCAAGCTTTTCCCAGTTGATCTCACAAGTCAGAATGCTGGGTGCTTTGACCCCTGCAAATGCCCCTGTAAGATGCTCTGAGTGCTTCAGCCATCGCAATCCCACTGTCTGGTCTGTACTGCTTGGGGGTTTGGGGGGGAAGGGAGTTCTTATTGTTTCAGTGGGCTGACTGCATTTCTTGAAAGACATCCAGCCTCCATTGTAGGAGCTCCAGCCCAGCCTGATTCCTCAACCTGAGAAGTTCAGAGGGAGGGAGAGTATTTTCTACTCACAGCTACTCCCCCTTCTATTAGTTTTTGTGTTGCTCACATTGGTGTCGTCGAGGTCTCTGCGGCCTGCTCTGTCAAAGGATTAAAGGACTGGTTCACATCAAAGCTCTGTGTACAGAGGAGTGAGTGCAAAGCAGCTGGCCAAAACACTTAATGCTCAGAGTGTTTGTGGCTGGTAGGTTAAATCCCAACTCATTGTGACGTCTGATCTTCATTCGAGGAATAAAGAAGGCCTACGACGTTTTTTAAATCTTTGTATAGTTTTTTTTGTAGCATAGGTATCCGCTATTTATTGGAGTCCTGTAGCTTAGTTGTTAGAGCGCTCACCTAGCAAGCAAGAGGACCTGGGTTTAATTCCCGGCTAGGGCGAAATGTTAGGCAAGTTTCCTTACTACACAAGCCTCTGTTTACCTAGCGGTAAGTAGGAACCTGCCTGTTAGCAGATTGCTTTTCCGGGGATAATAATCCCTTCAAAATAAATAAATAATAATTTGGTCACTCAATCCACGACTGTTTGTGAGACTCTGCTGTGCGCAATATTTTGCCCACAGTTCACTTTTCAGTATATTCAGTGTTGCGCTTTGAGATATCTCAAAGACTCGATAAGGCACTATATCAAATGCAAGGATTATTATTGTTTTGGTTCATGTTACACAATTGTCTAAAAGTGAGGCCTCATGCATTGCAAGTTTTAGAAGCATCTCAAAAGACACTGTGGAAGAGGTTTTTTTTAACTTTTAGTCACTCTTTAACAGAAAGGTTTATTATTGAGCGAAATAGTTCACTCACAGAGCACCTAATTAAGGCAAGTTGTTTTAAACACTCCATTGCATTTGGGGGATTAAATGTCACCTTTGATCCACCGATCAGAAAGTAACCCTGCTTTAATAGTGAAAGCTGCATAGTTCTGGCCACCAGAAACCCATTTAGAAGCAGTCTTAAAATTCACATTTTGCAATTGTTCCACAACTGTATAAATACATCTGTAAGTCGTTTATTTAATGCTTTATATAAATGCCCTTTGTTTGACCTGTTGTATCCTTGCACTATGGAAAATGCAGTGCAGCGATTTATTTATAAGTGAAGGCTTTCAGGACAAAAAATATCCCTTTCAGGATTAATATTTCAATTCAGCGAGTGTCTCTCTGTGATGCGGGATATTGCATGTTTAGTCATTTTAGTCTGCTTTAGTGTTCCGTAAATTACCCTTTTTCAACACCGAACGTGAGTTGAACCCAGTGGTCTTAAAATAAGTTGTGGAATGAATTTTAGAATGAAGCCTGCAGGATGTTTCACTGTTTTTTGGCTGACCTAGATTGCCCTTGACCCAAGTTGCGGCATCGGTCCTAAGCAAACACGCACCCTCCATGCTTTAACCATCAGCTCGCAGAGTAAAGCAACGCGCTTGTTTAATCTCACTTAGACGTTTGCAGTGCTGAGTTCCCGGGTCCACAGAGAGCACAGGAGAATGGTGAGGCAGAATGAACCAAAACCCCAAATCTCCGCATGAGGCCAACGCACAGCAGTGAGTAGCGACAAGATAGCTGGGGCTATTTCTGGCACCCTGCCCAGAACCCTTTTTATAGAATGTGTCTTGTATCCAGAGGGAGTGAGAGAGACTATGCGGGTTTACCAGTCTTTGTCTTTTGTCCTATAGCTCTCCAGATTGGTGTCAATTCTGAAACTAATCTCATCTTTTTACATGAGCGCTCTGCATCAATTGTTTTGTGTAACGTTATTTATAGGCACTGCCTGGTTCTCACCTCTTGCCCTCTGTTTCCCATTATTCCCCAGTTTAAGCGCTATGTCAGCAAGCTCCGTGGCAAGAGCACAGTCTACAAGAAGAAGCGGCAGGAGCTGGCAGAGCTGAGAGCTGAATATGGTGTCCTGCAAAGGACAGAAGAAATCCTCAAGCAACGGCACGAAACCGTACAGCAGCAGCTGGTAACACAAGAGGCTCGCTTGCTCTCCCTCCCTCCACACTCGTGCTGGCCAGCCGTGGACCTTTCCGAACAAAGCGCACACAATAATCACCGCGAAATGACATAACTTTCCACGAACCCATTTCACGCCTTTTGGCTTCACCGCGCATTTGCTTTACTCAACACCCATTACCCAGAAAAGCACATGATGGTGTCAGCTGGTGTTTATGCTATGGCCATGTAGAATGTTTCTGAAACCACTTTAAGTGTTCTAACTGGAATCCTTATTCATTTCATGGGCTTTTAAGCCTATTCTAATGCTTGGGAAAAATTGGTCTGGGTAGAGGAATGCCTCAACTTGGAGAATTTCCTGCTTCTTTTCGAAAACTGAAGTGAAGCGATGCCGAACAAATTAGCGTTAACTTTTGTTTATTTCTGTCAGGTTTTTTCCCGCCCACAAAATACACAGTAACTACACTTTACAGTATATTCTGTGAAGCGCTTTGAGATGTCTCAACAAGATGATCAGGCACTGTATCAAATGCAAGGATTATTATTTTAAAATATGGAAAAGAGAGAGAAAAAACAATCCAGAAAAGTTCTTAAGCGATGAACACTGCCGAGAACTCACTAATCTCAGCCGCGAAGGAGCCAGCTGAGCCGACATCACCCACGTCACAGCAGTGTGTCCCAGTCCGGAATCCATCAGCAAACTCCATCCCTCCCCCCCTCACCTCACTCACAGCTGCTGTTGTCTGTCCTTTTGTGTGCAGAGCTTCTAGAATGAACAACCCCTCTCTTTGCGTTTGGTTGCAAGAAAGGTCCTGTTTATCTGCTCTGTTGAATGGTATAAATTCCCTGGATTTTATTTCATGCTGTCCCAGAGCAGCGAAGTGCTGCGTTTCAGACGTGTTCTCATCTGTGACCGTCCCTACCAGCCGTTAATTACCAAGCTTAGCAATCAACAAAAGAGGTTGTCACTGACTCGTTGTCGTTTTACCCGCGACTGGGTTTTGTTAACTTAACTGCACATGAGGGGGCGACTGAGAAACATCGACATCTCCCACAGCACTTCGCTGCTCTAGGCCCCATCTGCCAGAGAAAACAAGTGCGAGCTGCAATAGAAGAGCCCCGCTTGATTTTCCCTAAGGCTCTTTGTCTCCATTTGGCTGGGTACCGAGATCCATATAGCATCTTGCTGTCCATCTCAGGGGTGTTGAGAAGAGGTAGATGTGTGTGTGGGGGGCGTGCGGGGGAGAGAGAGAGAGAGAGAGTGAAAGCACACAGCACAGGTCTCTGTAAAGCTGGTAATCGTTCCCCATTTCACTCCATTGTCGAGTCGGGCTGTCAGACGCATCAAATCATATTTCGAGCCTTGTCTTTCCAACTTGCCTAAGAGCTGAGCGCCTTTTCACAAGAATGGAAGAATACAATTAATTTTAGATGCTGCATATGCCAGCTATATCAAAATTGTTTGGCGTTTTCTGCATCCTATAAATAGGAGCCCAAGGTCTCCTAAGCTCAAACTGACGACACTTATTGTTAGAAACACTTATGATCTCAGCGGGCAGCTGGGGATCCTTATATTACCTTGCCTTGTCTTAATATAATAATAATAGCATTTGAAACAGTGCCTTATCACGTCTTCAAGACGTGTCAAAGCGCTTCACAGGATATACTGTAAAGAAAATTGACTGTATTTTGTGGCCAAAATGCGACAGCCAATTGGGCACAGCAGTGTCCCAAAAGCAGTTGTGGATTGAGTGACCAAATTATTATTTTTTTTTGCAGGGATTATTATCCCCAGAAAAGCAATGCCAATTAACAAACAACCTGTTTCCTATTTACTGCTAGATAAACAGACATGTGGAGTAAGGAAACTTGCCTAAGGTTTCATCCTGCCCAGGAATCAAACCCAGGTCCTCTCGCTTGCGAGGCGAGTGCACTAACCAATATGCTACAAGACTCCACTTTATTGCCCAAACCTGTTTTTTGATGTGTCCCCTGCAGCAAGCCATCGAAGCCAAGCACGGCATCACTGGCTACAGTGACACGCAGGAGGAGCTGGAAAGAGTGTCAGCAATGAAGAGCGAGCTCGATGAAGTGAAGGGGAGAACGCTGGACGAGATGTCTGAAATGGTGATCCATTGTTTCAGGAGCTTCACTAACCCAAGCTTGACCGCTGAGTGTGTGTTTAGCAGGGATGACACCACTGAGTCTGAGAAAGTTTTGCAAACTACAGTAAAACTCCCAAAAGTCTGATTTGCATAAATCGTATAATCGCCTAATTTGTACATCTGTCCTGTTTAAGAGTCAATGCAAGTGACATAACCCATACTTTGCATAAGTCATGTTAAATGCATGGTCCCAGCTGATACGACTCGTGAGGTTTAGTGTATTCTGATATTAGGGCCTGATATTTCAGCGCCTTGGGACGTCCTCCTGACGTGAAAGGCGCTTTATAAATGGAATCTTGTTGTTGTTGTTGTAGGGCAGTACACCCTTCCCCCCCGATTTTAACCCAGTGTATCATTGGTGGATAGTTAGCTCTCCCCCCTCTCCACTTTGGACAAATATACCAAGAGTAAAAGCAGGCCTTTGCACAACCTACCCAATATTCTATTCACCTGAGCAACAGTATTTTTAAATGACCACTTAAAGAGACAGTTTACTATCACAGTACCCTTGTAGAATAACAACAGGGTGGCTGAGACATTGAGATTGTCATCGCAAATATCCTATCATATCGGTGAATGTCCGTCTTGTTGTCTCAGTGACTGTATAAAAGCCACGTCCATGGGGATGTAGGTTATTGACGTGACCCCTGTGACTCTCTTCAAAAAGACCTTTGAAAAATAAAAAATGTACTGGGGGAGGGGGGGAGGGGAACACAATCAATTTTCGCCACTGATAGCAACGCACGGCTGCTCAGAGAAAATGGGAAATATCCACTGAGAATCTTATTTTAAATAGCCCTGGCGGAAAACTGAGCAGCAGTGGCTGAAAATTTGTTCTGTGTAATTAGTGTGATTTGCAAATCTCCTTTTAAAACGTTAGACCAGAGACAATTTATTCCTTAAGTAGATTCAAATTCAGCTCCAGTGATGGGGATTCATTTACGAGCCTTTGGGTGTTTGGATAGCACTCGCTGTTCAACACTCACAGTTTCACCACCGAGAGAACAGTTCCGTGAGAGAGAGACCCGGGAGAGAAAGTGACTAGTCTGGTTTGCCATCTTGTACTTTTCCAGAGAGCAGAAAATACTTGGCTGATTTTGATCTGAAATGCATTCCCAAGGAACTTGCTTTAAAGTCCTTATTTAAAAAAAAATTGCTGGGATAAGATCAGGTCCCGTGTAAAATAAGTCTGTTCACATCAGTTTTATGTACATGTATAGGGCGCTTGTGATTTTCTATAAGTAAGCTTTGCAACAGATGGTGAGCTTTGCAACTTCTCTCCTGGCTGCGTTTGTCACCTTAAGCATCGAATTCTGGAACAAACAAGTGGAATTAATGTTTGCTGTCATCCCGGTTCCACAGAAAGCCCATGTGTATTACCTCTGCATTCTACAACTGTCAGTGGAGGTTTCCGTACCCTTCATAAATAAAACCGGGGGGTGGGGGGGAGGGAAATATTGTGTTTTGGGAGGAGCAAAACTTTTTTCCCGCTTATGGGAATGGAATCTGTGTGCTCTACACTGTTATCATTGGCAAGTGTCACAATAACGGCCTGCTTGTGTGTGGAGCACAGGCCTCGGTTGTTCCAGAATTCACCTACAATACGATACGTTCCCGTTCCTAGCTTTGAAATTGCAGTGCATCATCGTCTGACCTAAGCTGATGCCCATGTCAATACGTTTGAACCATCGTCAGGGTAAGCTTTACAAAGAGGGAACGGCTGGCAGGAGGGTTATTCAGAACAAATCTGTAACAAGTCGCGCTTTGAGAATCAGCATTCAAACATGACCAAACATATACTTGTGGGAGTTTGGGAGGGGGGAGTGGAAAGGGGGAGGAGGGGAAAGCACTCTGAGATTGAAGTGATGAGGAACTTGGATGGGCGGTTGGGTAACGACTTTGGTGTATGCTTCGTGTCCGCAGGTAAAGAAGCTCAACATCCTCATCGCTGAGAAGAAGTCTGCCCTGGCTCCCGTCATCAAAGAGCTGCGGCCACTGCGGCAGAGATGCCAGGTGGGTGGTGGGTGCTTGAATAACGGAGGACAGAGACAATCAAAGCCCAAACAGAGCTCCTGCTGCTTTAAACGTTCCAAGGCACTATCACGAGTGAAGGTCACTGTATGAGTGAACGCATGTTGCAAGTTGTCATTGCCTTTCCTTCCCTCCTTGGCCAATACCTTGCAGAGCAATATCATAGGTTGTACGCAGCAAATTCAGTTCCATCATTAGGGCCAGTAAATCCCAGTCCACACGGACTGTTAGGCAACACTAACGTACGGGGGGAGAGAGAAGATCTTAAGGGAATGTTATCAGCAGAAGTAATCGGCCTTATCAAAACATGAGGTTCACATGCTATTGGCATTCAATAGCAAGTCAACTGTTAGGCCCTTCAATAATGTCATATTGCCATCTCACTCCACATGCAGAGGGTGCAAAGCCATCTGTTTGGTTACATGAGCTCTAAGTGTAAATATATTTGCGAATACAAGGTCCTGACCTGTGGTTGACAAGGACACGCATTGCTCGGTGTAAGTGCGGCTCTCTCACTGCGCAGGTCCATTTACATTGACGTTTTGCCCTCTCGGGTTAGGAATTGACTCAAGAGTACGATGAAAAAAAGGCATTCTACGACAGCTGCGCGGCAGGCCTGGAGAGCAACCGGTCAAAGCTCGAACAGGTAAGGGAAAGGTCACGCGTGTCAGTAGGCGTGTGTCCGCACACACAAAACGCAATGGCAGTCAATGCAACGCTTTTTGGGGGACTTTTTCCAACGATAAACTTGGGATCAAAATTCTCATGAGGAACCAACACAAGTAAAGATTGTTGGGTGGATGGTACACTGTTCACGTGGCTCCCTTGTATCCAATATGGAAATATAACATTCTGTTCACTTACTTTCTGGGGGTTGAAATTCCTGCATTTAGATAGGGGGAAAAAAATTTAAGGGACATTGTGCTCAAGTTTTTACCCGGTGAAGTGGTTTTTACCCTTCTTTTCAGGAGGTGAGGGGTTTGCGAGAGGAATGTGCACAGGAGGAGAATCGGTACCATTACATCAACTGCATGAAAAAGGTAAACACGAAACCGTGCCCGCCTGTAAAATACTAGCCATCTCAGGCGCTCTGAGAGTGAAACTTTTTTTTGTTGTCGGCTGATCGGTTTGCCGCCTCTTGTCGCCAGATTACAGAGAGGCAGATCCAGCGAGCGGCCGATGAAATGAAGTTGTACGTCTCTGCCGATCCTCAGGAGAGGAGGAAAGCCATCCGGTAACGTCTTTAAACTGCGTCCTGTAGTGAATCCAGGCTGTAATATTCCGCCTTCACAAGTAGATCTGTTTGCTACGGCCTAATCGTTTGTCAATTCACCCAATACTCTGACTGTTATTTATATTATATAAATACTCCTACCCTTACCCTCCCTAACCCTTTACACCTCCTAATCCCAACTCCCAGCCTGGGTCCAAATCCTTGACTGACCAGTGCCTTGGGTCGTCCTCCCAATGTGAAAGGCGTATGTAAATGCAATTTGTTGTTGGTGGTGGTGGTGGAGTTTGCGTGAGACATCCTCCCGATGTGAATGGTGCTGTATAAATGTATTGAACCCGCAAATCTCTCACCCAGAAGCAAGGAGTGCTACTAACCGGGTCACCCTAGACTTCACTTTAATTACTTATTGGGATTTGCCAAGTCAATGCCTGTGTGCAACTGCCTTGTACAGTTTATCCATGTGAGTTTAGAATCCTCGATAAGTAGAGACAAAGCCATTCTGTTGAGCAGCGGACATTAAGATAACATTTGGTTTGTGGTGAGAGAGAAGCTCTTTGCCTGATGTATTTTGTTTATTGATCCACAGTTAGTCACTTAAGTATGATTTTGGGCCCAAATTAATTTGAGTTAACATCAAAGAAATACTGCATTCCTTTCAGCAACCTAATTGCACAGCACTAACATGAAATAGTCCAGCACTCATTTTGTCCCCTTGATTACCCAACTGAGAAAAGACTTCATTCTGACTTGGCCTGGGAATAGACTGGAGGTAAAGGTGTGAGCTGGGGAGTCCACTTGTCACCCAATTGTGTACCAGCCAGGGTAAAAGTAGCAGCAACAATCAGAGAGCATATCAACAATGGGAGGGGAGGAGAGTAGAAAAAATCATTACCAACAATAAGAATGATCCTTTCCTTGTTTTGTACCAAAAATACACAGATAAATGCCATTACATAAACAGCTGATGTTATTTTTTCCTGTGTTTAAGAATTTGAGATCTTTCTGACCTCTTCTCTACCCACTCCAATACCCGCTGCCTCTGCTCGGCTGGCTCTGGCCTCCTACTTGTCCCATGTCCCCTCTGCTCCACCATCAACAGCCGCAATTTCAGCCACTAGGCCCCAAAACTTTGGAATTTTCTCCCTCAATCCCTCCACCTTGCCCCTCTCCTTCCCTTCTTTTAAATCACAACTGAAGACCTTTCTGTTCGACCGTGTGTACGGTCACCTCCTCCCTCATCCCGGTTCAGAGTTGAGCTTCGCCACTGTTAAGCGCTCCAAGACGCTGCCCTGCGTGAAGGGCGCTATATAAATGTTGTTGAGAGAAAAACATTTCAGCCGCTAAAAGGACTTAATTTTCTTCCCTTATTATTTGAACCAAAGCAACCACATCATCTGGAAATGTGCAATATCAGAATTATAGGCACTTAGATGGTCCAGTACAATATGTCCTTCTTCCAAATTGTTTTAAAGTCCAGAAAAAAAATGCCTTTCTGCTGCGTGGAGCTTTCAGAATGAAGAAAGAACTTGAATTTTAATAGCTTCTTATCACGCTTGAGGGACGACTGAAATGCTTTACAGTAATTACTGTCAAGTGTAGTGACTGGCTGTGCTTGGTTCTTTACAGTTTGCATAAGAAAAAAGTTATTGTCAACTTGATCATTCTGTAACTACCGAACTCCCATCACAAGGTTGTTAAATATCGACCTACGATTGGAGTTCTAGTCTATCAGTCAACCTCGGACAGCACAAAAGGTAATATTAACTCTGCCATTGCTTTTCCCCTTTCAGAGAACAATACAACCGCAACATCCTGGAACAAGAAAATCTTGGAAAGGTGAGTTTACCCGCTCACCCCAGTCGTCGTCGCTATGTAACATGCCATGTGCGAGATGAGATCGCAGTTTGCTTGGTATATTTTTTCTAAAAAAACTTCTGGGTTATCTCATCGGCCCTGCTGGCAGGTGATGAGGGATGCAGTCAGCTGTTCTGTAACACAGCAGCGGGCACGACAATAGCAGAAAACGAACCCTCTAGGTGCTGTCATGGTGTAAACTAATCTCGTGGGGGGAGTGGAGGGAGGAGGGTCCGTGCGTGTGTGTGTGTGCAGAGGGGGTTGGGATGGGAGAGAGTTGGTCAGGGGAGAAAGACCACAACGGCAGCAGTTGTGAGTTCGAGGGCCAGTGTACACCACAAGGGTGGGGGGGGAGGCAGGCATGGCATGTTATTGACCGCAGCAGCACATTCCATCAGTGACCTGTCGAAGAAAAAGCAGCCTTAGAGCAGGCGATGAATAGCTGGTGCCTCAAGTTTACGTTGTATAATAAGAAACCTTCACATAGTGACAGATTTTCAGATCTGTCAAACCCTCTCATCAGTGTTTCAGAATGCTGATTTGCTAGAAGCCAGGATGTTGAACTGGGTTTTGTTCAGGGTGGCATGTGATTAGTCCCAGATGGCGTCGATACTGACGCAGATTTGCACCGAGACTCAGTCCCCGGAGCTAAACGTTCCTCTCGTTTCCTGCTTATTTGACTTTTTCCATTTATGGTTGCGAGCTTGAGATTATTTTGTAGTTGCTTAAAATAATCTGACTTTGTAAACCAGAATCTGAAATTGTGATCAGCGAGGATGAAAGTTGCTTTGATATCGAAACCACCGAGATAATCTTGCATTAATCACTCGCTCGCTCCCGCTATTTGGATATTTTGTTGTTTGTTTTCTTGCACTAATTTTCTCAGCTGTTTTGGTGCCTTTATGATCTTTCAGATGGGGGTGGGGTGAGGAGGAATAGAGTGGGGAGGAGAAAAAGAGACCAGGGTAATTGTAATCTACAATAATTGTGTTTAGAGGCTGCTGCTTTTTACTGAGCAAACACAGAACCATTAAACTAGTGCTCGGCTTCAGGGGTTAGGGATATAAATTACACAATAATGAGGCGCTCTGGGCCATTACCCTGTGTGAGGGGTATTATATAAATGCAAGTTGTTGTTGTTGTACATAACACAGCAGTAACCTGACAGTGGTGCCCATCTGCACACGGGGACCTGGATTCCTCGGGCGCATTTGCTTCAGATTCAGTCTTGGGCCAGGAATAACAGGCCACGGTTTACTGTTACTAGCATAACAGGAGGGCAGAAGGGCCTGTCTGTATGTGACTTGGAGCTCGGATTTCTGTTAGGAAGTGGGGAGTCTCAGCAGCCCCCCCAGGTAAGCCACAGCATTGGCGTAATATTTTGTGGGGAAGTTTTCGTACCCCCCCCCCAATTATTTAATCTTTGACCTTATAAATTTAAGAAACGTGAATGAGGCCCTGTGTTGCCAATTGTGCTGCAGGAATGCTATGGAGGGTGACACCCACCCCATCATCCTGCTATGGCTCTCACTGGTAGCTAGAGACCAGCAAGCCATGCTGGGCTGTGATTGAGGAGAACACCAGCATTGTTCTACCCTGGCGAGGGATAACAGAGGCGATGCCTAGCTCCTCACATCACCATTGGAGAGGCAGCCAGTGCCAGATCCATTAAACTCACATTCACTCACATCGAATGCAGTGAAAGCGGGACATAACATAACATGTAGGAGCAGGAGTAGGCCATTCGGCCCTTCGAGCCTGCCCCGCCATTCAATCACGGCTGATCTTCTAATCTAACTCCAGCTGATAACCTGACTCTGCCTTATCCCCATATCCCTTGATCCCTTTAGCAATAAGAAATCTATCTATCTCAGTCTTGAATATGTTCAAGGACTGAGCGTCAACAGCCCTTTGGGGTAGTGAGTTCCATACATTCACCACCCTTTGAGTGAAGAAGTTCTTCCTCAACTCAGTGCGAAAGGGCTGCCTCTTATTTTAAGGTTGTGACCCCTGGTTTTAGTTTCTCCAACCAGGGGAAACAATCTCCCACTATCTACTCTATCATGCCGTTTGATGATCTTACAGGTTTCTATAAGATCCCCTCTAATTCTTCTATATTCTAGAGAATATAGGCCCAAATTGGTCAGCCTATCCTCGTAACTCAACCCCTTAAATCCCTGGCACTAACCTAGTAAATCTACGCTGCACCCCCTCCAAGGCAAGTACGTCCTTCCTTAAATGAGGAGACCAAAACTGGACACAGTATTCCAGGTGTGGTCTCACCAGGGCCCTAGTTGCAGCAAGACTTCCCTACTCTTATCCTTTCATAATGAATGCTAACATACCGTTCGCCTTCCTAATTGCTGCTCCACCTGCAGACTAACTTTCTGTGATTGGTATACAAGGATACCCAAGTCCCTCTGGACGCTAACGCATTCTAATCTCTCCCCTTCTAAAAAATAACCCGCTCTACTGTTTTTGCTACCTAGGTGGATGACTTTGCACTTTCCTACATTATACTTCATCTGCCACCTAACTGCCCAATCACCTATGTCTCGCTGCATTTTTTTAATGTCGTCCTCTGTGTTGGCACTTCCTTCTAGTTTTGTGTCATCCGCGAATTTAGATATATCAACTTTGATGTCCTCATCTAGATCGTTGATATAGATGATAAATAGCTGAGGCCCAAGGACTGATCCTTGTGGCACTCCACTAGTCACATCCCGCCAATCTGAAAAGGACCCGTTTATCCCTACTCTTTGTTTCCTATCCGTTAACCATTCCCCAATCCACGTTAATATGCTCCCCCCAATTCCATGGGCCCTTTTGGACTAACCTTTTATGCGGCACTTTATCGAATGCCTTCTGGAAGTCCAAATAGACCACATCCACTGATTCACCGTTATCTAGTTTACTGGAAATGTCCTCAAAAAACTCTATGAGATTTGTCAAACATGACTTCCCTTTTGTAAAGCCATGTTGACTTGGCCTAATTATATTGTGCTCCCCTAAATACCGCACTACCACATCCTTAATGAACGATTCTAAAATTTTTCCTATTGCTGATGTGAGACTAACTGGCCTATAGTTCCTCATCTTTTCCTTTCCACCTTTTTTAAATAGTGGTGTGACATAAATTGGCTTTGCGTCCCCACTAATGAAATCCAAAGGAAAATGTAAATTTGGGGACGGAAATAGAACGCTGAAACAAGGTCAGGTTATTTCAGATTATGTTTTGGTCGAGCTCCTGCTGTAATATTTATAATCGACTCAAAACTGGGACGTTGCCTCATTCCTTTTCTCCTCCTTACTGAACAAGAGGGTGAATTGGGAAGGTAATGGCTATAGTCTCCCCAGGGGATTGGGTTCAAAGCATTTAAAGGTAGTTAAGTTGGGCATCCTTCATATACCAAGGTGTGGGGAGAGAGGGGAATTTGGTCACTCAATTCACAACTGTTTGTGGGACACTGCTCTGTGCAGTTGGCGGCTGCGTTTCACCCACAAAATACACAATCCATCCGCTTTACAATATATAGAGATGCCTCAATGACATGATAAGGTGCTATATCAAATGCAAGAATTACTATTATTGTGAATAGGTTTGCCTTTGTAAGGACTGCAGAAAGCCAACTTATGAATATGAAACATTTCTGCACCATCTTTCACTCTGGAACAAAACGGGTTTACACGTTAAGACTAGGTGGAATTTGTGGGCTTTAGTCGCTGGGGAAGGAAGCCTCTCCAAATATTTCTCACCATCAATTTGAATTTGTATTTCTTGGGACTCAAGGGATTGGAATGGGAGCGGGGGGAGGGGGGTGGAGACGGGGTTTGGATGGGGGGGAAGCTGGACAGGGTAGCCCGGATCAAATGATAGCTGGCACCAGACCTCAAAAGCACAGGGCTCTTGGAATCCAGTGCCCGACTGCCACAGCTAAATTTAGTCTTTTTTTCAAAAAGTTATTTAACTTTTCTTCCATTTCTGTTTGCTTGGAAACGCTTTACATGCATTTTTAGCACCTCCTGGATTGCAGCTAGGGAGACCGACCAGATGGCTGGCAAACGCCAGGGATCCCTGTGGATTCATCACCAGGGCTGAGCTGGATGTATGTAGAGGGATGTGAATTGCAGCCTGTGGGGCAACCCTCCCCTGCACCCCCCCCTGCTGATTTTGCCTCGCTCGGCTCATCACCTTGGCAGCACAGCACCCGATGACAAGGTAGAGATTGGCAACTCACCATCTGGATGGAGGCCATTTGCAAACCACAGCTGGCATTCAGCCATCCAACTGGCAACAGCTTACAGTTCAATGTATCAACCATTCTTTACAGAATGAGAAATGGAGTGAGTGTGGTGAGGCACATCATAGAATCCTACAGCACAGAAGGAGGCCATTCGACCCATCGCACCTGTGCCGGTTTTTTGAAAGAGCTATCCAATTAGTCCCACTCCCCCGCTCTTTCCCCAAAGCCTTGGCAATTTTTTCTTTTCAAGTATACATCCAATTCCATTTTGAAAGCTATTATTGAATCTGCTTTCAGCACCCTTTCAGGCAGCGAGTTCTAGATCAGCAGCATCCCCCAAACAATAAGTCAATTATTTTGATTTGTGTTTGGGGTGATTTTAATTGAGGCAGAGGGAGGAGCGGTGGAGAGATATTGTCAGTATAACCAGAAGAATAACTACTTTTCTTTGAAACAGGGTAGGGAGGGCCCCTTCCCGCAGAAACCAATCAGCAAATCAATATTAAACTCGCTCCAGGTCAACAGTAAGGCTGTCAGTAAGACGTGAAGTGCAGATAAGGTTAATCAGAACTTGCTGTCCAAAATAATCCATTGCATGTTCCAGTTGGGTTCTCGGGGAGTATGCCTGGCAGCTGGGAGCCCAGACTAGGGATTGCGGGAATGCGTCCTGTGTCCACCCGCTGGATACCTTTGCCCTCGCAGCGACAGTCAGGAGTTGACGATTGTGGTTGGGAGCTTCCCGGCCTCGGCTTGAAATAGGACCAGGGGGTTCCCTGAGGCCAGTGGCACATGGTGACCCGTTCTGCCTTCGATGTACGCAAAATGCCCATGGACATTCTTCACATAACCCTGAAACGGCAATGGTGGTTGATGGAAATATCCTCCCCCAATATCCTTGTTAAACATTATATTTAAACCACTGGCTGGTGTGGTCTTCTCAACAACACGGAGGAATTAACCTCATCTGTTGCTACCCTAGCCTGTTAAAAGCTTCCTGCATGCCAGCTCTGCAACCCTTGAAAGCTTAAGCTTATCCGAGATAGTTAAACTTTACATTCGAGGAAGATGGGAACTATAAAAAGTGTTTATATGTATGTATGTATATATATATATATATAATGCAGGGAATTGAGTATGTCACAGCAGGCACACCCCATGTGGCCTCCTGTGCCACCCTCGGTGGTGATGTGGAATTGGGACTAATTAGTTGAAATGTTTAAACTGGAACACTTTTCCTCTATCCCTCCGCTTTGCCCCCTCGTTCCCCTTCTTCAGGTCGCGCCTGAAGACCTTCCTCTTCGACCGTGCTTATGGTCACCTCCTCCCAGCTCGGCGTCGTGTTCCGCCACTGTCAAATGCTTTGGGATGCTACCCTGCGTGAGGGGCGCTATATAAATACGAGTTGTTGTTGCTGTTTAAGCGGAACTGTGGCTGATCAAAACCAAGTTAGCCCTGGTGTGAGATTTGTGCAGGCATTTCGGCAATGGGACAGTAGGAATTGCTTTCCCCGAGCACATCCAAAACCTTCAAAGTAAAGTGCTGCTTCGGAACCATCCCATGAGTACATTATGACCCGGAAAACAGCAGCGTGGAGGGGGGGGAGCTTCCAGCCTTGATTGTCATTTGAACTGGGCTCCCCAGTTCCAGATGCGTGCTGCTCTCGCTCTTGGCTGGGTGAGTTGATCAAATGTCCAGAGCGGCCCAGACTAGCCTGTCTCGGTAACGTGTGTACCTGTGAGTGGAGGGGATTGTGGTGGGAAACGTTGGGAAGACCTGCTTAGCATCGCTAAGCATTCCTGCTGTCGCCCATTATGTCAGGGCATTAAGGAAAGCCACATCTGCAGAGAGTGTACAGGCTTGGCAGCCTAATTTTTCCATCCGTACTTCATAGCACTTAACAAAAGTATTCTCCACACGTTGTTAGCATTGATGCACTAGTGTCTGCAGTAGTGTTTCACCAACTGGGTAATGCTCCAGGGGAAAACGCCTCATTGCTGACTTTGGGCCTCCCTGTGGTGTTGAAGTTGAAGGGATGTTTTTTTTTCTCTCCCTCTCTCTTGTGCCATGAAAAGTTTGGGTTTGTGACATTCAGATGATGAGATATCCTTTGATTATCTATGAATTTGGATCAACCCGCGAGGGCCATGTAAATGCATCCCTTCCTCAGTTCTGCAGGACATCTGCTTCAGGTACCCAGCCGGCACAGGTAAAACAGTACAATACAGTTCACACCTATCCACAGCGGTAGGACGTCTCAGAGCATTTGGTTGACCTTGCTGTCTGGGCACTGAGTTGCAGGTGGGAGAGGATAGGTGACCGAAATAGCAGTTGATCAAAGAGGTACTATCTTGAAGCGGTGAAAGGGATGCATTACATTACTTTTTAAGAGCAGATTTTGAAAGCACAGTAATTTGTTGAAAGTGCATGAATCACATCTCCTGTGGTTACACTTTTCCTCTATTGCCTGGCTAGAAAACGTAGCAATTTTTTTTCGTTCCTTGTAATGAAAAGTATAACTTCAGAGGGGAATTCAGGGGGCATGGGCAGAGCTGGCAGAAAATGGATTCGATCAGGATGATTACCAGGCGGAGACGGGCAGCCAACCAGATGTAGATGGGCCGAGCGGCTTGTTTCTGTGCATGAGAGTGCTTTGTGGCAACTGTGGTGAAATTGGTCTTCAAAACTCTTGCCCACGCAGCGCCGACTACACAGAAGAAATGACTGCCATGACCACTGGTTTGAGAATATTATCTTCAGCGTTACTCTGGCTCGACAGTTACAATGTGCATGATCTTGTGTTGCGAGCTAATTTGGCAAGCTTTCTCCTTTTAACGGTCATAAATATGCCTCTCGTGTTAATACATTGTGGGCTGTTGGAGCTTTGTCAAGTAAACTCACAGTGAAAGGAAGACACTTGCCTTTATTTATTGACTGAGATGTTGTCATATAAAAAATCTCACAGGCCCCACTCTCCCACAAAATTATTTGATGGGTTTCAGTTGCTTCACAAGTGGCGCACGTAGGTTGAAAGAGTCAATAGAGAGCTGAATGCGGTAAGATTTAATCATAGGGAAACGGGTTAGAGTCAGTCAGAAATGAGTGGATGCTCTTGTAAAGAAACCTCTTCGGCCAATTAAACCGTAACAAGTGGCACTGGGATGATGAAATCGTGATCGATGCAGAGTGGAAATGGAAAAGGGGCGTAATGAGATATTTTTACTCCTGTTTTTTATCAGCATTAGTCATCGGGGCCGAGAGAATGCACTGTACCTGGTGAACCCAGCCCCACTGTAGGTTATAGGGCGCTGCTGAGGCCAAGTATTACAGGGCCACGGCTGTTTGGAGGCATGATTAACAATCATCATGATTGACACCGGGAAGTGGAATGTGCAAAAGATCCCATTTAGGCACTTGATGGCGGCAGTTAATATATCACAGTATCTCGAGTGCCAGTCGCAGTGGCTGATTGGAACCCATGCCAAACAAACAGCTTTAGAGTGAAGCAGAAACGAGCGGCCAAGGGAGGGTGGCTTTGTGTAACGCACATCTTATGCTGAAAGCACCAGGGCACACAGTTGAGTACTACGTACAGACACTGTTGAACGCACTTCAGCCAGCATTACAAATGAGAAAATAATTAGTTTTTTTAACATAATAGAAAATAATGCTGCTGTTTGATGTGATGCCTCATCACAGCAAAACCTCACTTTATAGATTTCACGTAATGAATTACTTTGATGTGTGGTGAATCGTGTACACACATGTGCCAGCTAATCTGCATCAGGATCTCCTAAACGGCAGTGGGATAATTATAATAATAATAATAATAATCCTTGCATTTGATATGGTGCCTTATGTCGTTGAGACGTCACAAAGTGCTTCACAGAATATACTGTAAAGTGAATTGACTGTGTATTTTGTTGGCAAAACGCAGCAGCCAATTGTGCCCAGCAGTGTCCCACAAACAGTCATGGAATGAGTGACCACATTATTATTATTTTGGGGGGAGAAAGCGAATCTCCATTCGACTGACAACTGGTAAACAAAGTGTGTGAAGCAAGGAAACTTGACTAAGGTTTCACCCTGCCCAGGAATCGAACCCAGGACTTTAAACGGGTTTTACACGCGACACGTTTCCGTTCTTTTCGCCCCATTAGAAGCTGCGGGAGAAACAGAAAACTGTGCGTGAGGGCCATGGACCCAACATGAAGCAGGTGAAGATGTGGCGTGAGTTCGAGCAGCTGATGGAGTGTAAGAAGCAATGTTTTCAGAAGCTGCAAAACCAGACTTCCATTGGCCACGTGATCCAGGAAGGAGGAGAGGACCGTCTGGTCTTGTGACCTGTGCAATCCTGTCACCGGGGCCATCTCGTGTCCTGCCAATGTCTATTAACACCAGCATTGGTCATCGTCGTTGAAGAGTCCATAAGTAAATGCTCACTGCTTTGAGGGTGCAATTCGTTTTTCCTTCCCTTTCTCCCTCTCCCAACTCAGCCACAATAGCTGGGCTCATTTATCATTTATGGACCAAAAGGCCACTGATTATTCTAATTATTAGATCTCCTGTTTTTGCAGGAGGGTGTTTACACACATCAGTGTGGATAGAAGCTCTTCAGAGCTCAAGATAAATCACTTAACTTGGGGGAGTGCGGGCATCTTTTTGGAGATTTTTCTCAAGACTGAATCCGTTATTGAGTGCTGCGTGTCACTGCCAATTATTGTTCACATAAAAACTCCTGAGGAATATATGGGATTCCGTATCCAACTTTACGGAATATTTCTTTATGATGAATGGTGATTGGATCCATCCCCAACTCCATGGTGAACTATAAACTAGACAAGTGAAGGCTCTCAGTTGGATAGCCCTACTGTTAACAGCAGTGCCAATTCTGGCATTCGTGGATAAAGATTACGATAAAGTGGCAACCAATCAATCTTTCTTTCCTCCTCCTCCTGTCTGTCTGCACCCCCCTCTTCCTCCAGCTCCTGTCTCTCCTATCTCTGCTCTCTGTGTGGTTTTAAGAATGTTCTCTTGTCTCGTGTGAGCATCGCCTACAAACATGTGTGATAATTTAGTGCCTGTGTTGTACTGCTGGAAGCGAAATGCTCCCGTTTCCCAGTTGCAGAGCGATTTTATAAGCTGAGTTACACTTCTCAGCTCCCAAATAGCATTGGCTCAAGAGAGTTCTGCCAGCCCGCAATTGTGGGGGGAAAAAACTATATCAGATATGACTTGTTTTTTGGCCTCAAAAATTGCTCTTCCATATAATATTTTTATATATAATTTAAAACACGGTTCTTGGAAAATCCACAGAAAGCTTTGTAAGCTGCCATCCTTGTGGGACAGTTTTGCATCACTGGTGGGAATCAACACACAATCTCTTGGCTCACGCTGAGCATCCGTTTGGAGCAGAGAATTGTAGTATAAACGCAGTAAAACAAAAGTCACCTGCAAAGTAAAGAACCAGCAGAGCAGTGGGGATGTAACTCGTTACAACACCTGAGTTGCTCGTCTAGATGAAGCTGTGACAAGGCTACTGTCTGTATTCTGTCAGATCTCTGCTCAGCAGCCCGCTCCACGGTCCCCCGCCCAGCCTGCACCGCACCACCATCAGCGATCGGGCCTACAGCCTCTCTGACCCAACCCTTTGAAACTCCAGCTCACAGTCCCTTCACCTTGTTCCCTCCCTTGCCTCCTTCAAGCCCGGTCTCAAGACCCTCCTCTTCGACCGTGCCTAGGTCACCCTTCTACTCCCTACCCTCTCTGCCCTCCACTCCTACTGATCCCAACTTCCAGCTCGGGTACAAATCCCTAACTATCCAGCGCCTTGGGACATCCTCCTGACATGAAAGGCTTTGGGTAAATGTAATTAGTTTTCAATCTGCTGAACAAATAGTTCTGAGATTCTAACACTACACAATGGCAGGTGTCTGTCTAAGACAGCTGAGAACAAACAAAACTCCGGGTTATTATCAATACTGTTGTTGTTTTTCCTGAACAAAAAAAGGTTTACAGTCATTCTGTTCATTGACAAAGCGGCATTTGGAATTATTTGTTCTGTACAATCTGTTTAAAGATACTTTTAAATGTTCTGTGGATAAATTACCCGATGTTCACGAAGAATGGGTGTATGCGATTGAACTAAACCAGGTCAAAATGCATGTTTTTTCCCCAAGTGATTGGAATCCATTCAGACCCTTCAGAATTTTCATGTAACTTTACACTTAATAAAAGTTGCCGTTGCCCTCACGCTGTGGTCTCGGCATTCTAACACACAAAGAGGGCATCGTCTCATTTTGTCCAATTGTTAAGTAGCGTTTGATTGGTATTCTATTTCAGAGGTATCCTTTTGCTTTTGCGTTTCACATCTATGACCTGTTCCTGGCAAAGCTTGGCATTCCTGTGCACCTCATTAGATGGATAATTTGATCGGCTGACTAGGTGAAGCCCACCACCTCAACAGGTTGCATAAACATGTTCTCTATTCCCTTGAGTTTAACAGGTTGAGGGCTGATCTGCTTGAGGTTTTTAAAATAATAAAAGAATTTGATAGGGTAGATACAGAGAAACTATTTCCTCTGGTGGGGGAATCCAGAACAAGTGGGCAAAGTCTTAAAATTAGAGCTGGGCCATTTAGGAGTGAAATCAGGAGGCAGTTCTTCACCCAAAGAGTAGTGGAAATCTGGAACTCTCTCCCCCTAAAGGCTGTAGATGCTGGTTCAATTCACATTTTCAAAATGGAGGTGGATAGATATTTGTTAGGTCAGGGTATCAAGAGATATTGTGCAAGGCCGCTAATTGGAGTTGAGGTCAGCCATGATCTTATAGAATGGTGGAACAGGCTTGAGGGGCTGAATGGCCTACTCTTGTTTTTATGTTTCTACAATGCTGATTTAGGGGGAGTGCGTAGCCCATTTCACAACTTGTCACACTGGAGATTGATGGAGCTTGGAAAGAGATTGATTTGAAGATGGTGCATAACCCCAGCCGTGAAAGGGTAGGACAGGTAGTACTTCTGTCTTGCCCCCTCAATCTCTCCGTCTTGCCTCCTCCTTCCCCTCTTTTGGATCACAACTCAAGAACTTCCTCTTCGACCGTGCTTACAGTCACCTCCTCCCGCCCCCCCCAGCTCGGCGTAACGCTCCACCACTGTTAATCGCTCCGAGACACTGCTCCACGTGAAGGGTCCTATATAATTGAAAGTTGTTGTTGTACTTTCAAGGCTCTTGTAGGAATAATGATTGTCCACTGTCCTCTCAGAAGAAAGGAAAAGATCTTCAAGGAGGTGAGAGGTACTTTTTTTTACACACACAATTAAGTCCTAGGGCTGGTAAGGGTGTGTGGCAATGAAATCATTTGAAATGGAACTGGATGAAGACCTGAGCAGTAAAAAAAACACTCAGGGATTCTTGTGGGAGAAAGAGAGGAAAATTAGATTAATGATAAAAAGGAGATGATTTTGAAATTTAGGAAGAGGTAGCCCAAAATTGACTGAAAATTTCTGTCATTCCATGTGTAAGACTCGCTTGTCCTATTTTACGTCTAAATCGAAGAGTCAAACCAAATCACCAATCTGAAACAATGCTCCTACAATAAAACCCCAGACAATCAGAAGTAATGGCTTTCCAATAAACTAGTGACATGCTTACAAAGAGCTTTTAATGTAATATGCTTTAAATCCAATATTCCCAGGAGGTAAAATCTGAACACAATCCAGTGCCTTTCTCAGTCGGTTACTAAATTGCTGCTCTGAACTGAACTACTTGTTGGGTGTCCCCTAGCGTAGTGTTTGGCGGGTTTCGCCCACAAATACACAGTAAATTTCCTTTACAATGTATTCTATGAAGCAAAGCACTTTGAGACCTCTCAATGACGTGATAAGACGCTGTATCAAATGTAAGGATTATTACTATAAATGCTTAATACTCGTATCTATTGCTTAATGAGTTGCTTGTTTGCGCTAAAAATGTACAAGGTTTTTCCCTATGCTGGTCTCTATACATTCGGTAGGTAGTTGCAAAGAGCTAAAGATGACTAAATGGGAGATGTTCTCTCTCTCTCTCTCTGTATATATGTAATATATACACATATATATATATATATATAGCGTACAAAAATGGAAGTCGTGTGGTTCTGGCTAAAAAAAACCTTAAAGAGATGGGGATCCCTAGTGATTTCCCCAGTTGTAATGCTGCTCTGACTGATAGTATGTGGAGGGATACTTTAAAGAATGGGGGGAATTACGCATTGCAAAAGCTGAGTTAGATTCATTTACATTCTCAAACGATTTTCTGTCGAGCATGCTGGTGGGCTGGCCTTGTTTCTCTGCAATCAAAGATGACATAATCTGTGGCCGCGATTCGCTTTAGTTACAGACAAATGTGCGAAACAACCTGTTCAGAATGTACTTTGCTTGCTATTTATCCAAAGCGGGTTGAGATGAAATATAGAACGAGCTGGCTTTGACCTCTCCACATATCCCCCACCGCCCACCAACCACCGTCCTGCACTGTTTTAACAGCTGCCCAGAACAGCTCTAACAGCCAGATGTTAAGTCATTCAAATCTTCATCGGAGCACGGGGATAAACTTTAAATTAACATTTTAATCTGCTTTCCGAGCGTTAAGGGAAAGATTAGTCTTTAAAGAAATCCATGTGAGGGTGTACAGTTGGATAGAACTCAAAAGATCCCCAAACACCATAAAAGCTTGTCCTACATCGAAAGCTTATATTAATTCGCTGCCAGTTACGCATCATCTGCAATATAAACAGGAGCTAATTCTATCACCTCAAAGTATTTTTTTGAAACTATACACCCTTGACATGTAACATTTCAATAAAGTGCTCGAGTTACATTCATATCAATGTATTTTTGGAAACAAGGAAAATGACCTTGGTCTGAGAAGCTTTGCCAGTTTTGGGATATCATTTGGTTGCCGAGCTGTTCAATATTAGTAATTTACTAATTCACCCTCAGAATCTTAGAGCAGAGAAGGTTAAAGGGAGATTTAGTAGAGGCATTCAAAATTTTTTGAGAGAGTAAATAAGGAGAAATTGTTTCCACTGGTGGGCAAGTGGGTTGGTAACCAGAGGACACAGATTCAACATAATTGGCAAAAGAACCAGAGGGGAGATGAGGAGAATTTTTTTATGCAGTGAGTTAAGAATAATAATAATCCTTGCATTTGATATAGCGCTTTTCACGTCTTCTAGACGTCTCAAAGCACTTCACAGAATATGCTGTAAAGTAAATTGACTGTATATTTGTGAGGTGTTTCAATCTGGAATGCACTGCCTGAAAGGATGGTGGAAGCACTTCAATCATAACTTTCAAAAATGAATTGCATATTTACTTTATAAGAAAAAAATTGCAAGGCTATGGGGAAAGAGTGAGGGAGGTGAGACTAGTTGGTTAGTTCTTTCAAAGAGCAGGCACGATGGGCCAAATGGCCTCTTTCTGTTCTGTAAGATTCTATGATTCTAGAATAATTCCCAATACTTGTTGAGGGTTATTATTATTGTTTGCATTACAGAGAGGACACGATCAATTATTGTAACTTAGTTACAATAGCAGGTTAAACTATCTTCCTATGTTTTGGAACATAGGAAGAGGACTAGGGTAATAATAATAATAACAATAATAATAATAATAATAATCCTTGCATTTGATATGGCATCTGATCACATTGTTGAGACGTCTCAGAACGCTTTCCAGAATATACTGTAAAGTGGATTGACTATTTTCTGAGCGAAACGCGACAGCCAATTATGCACAGCGGTGTCCTACAAACAGTTGTGAATTGAGTGACTAATTTTGTTTAGAGGATGCACTATTCTGTGCACTGAGCTCCACAAAGCAGTAGGTCAAAACTGCCAAAGATGAAGTATTCGTCTCTCCTGGAATCCTGTAGCATAGTGGTTAGTGCCCTTGCCTCACAAGTGAGAGGAATTGGTTTGATTCCTCGGCAAAGCGAAACCTTAGGCAAGTTTCCTAACTCCAAAAGCTTCTGTTTACCTAGCAGTAAACAGGAACCCTGTTGTTAGTCAATTGGCGGATTGCTTTCCGGGGGTAATAATTGACCCCCAAAAAATGTGGTCACTCAATCCACGACTGTGTGTGGTACATTGCTGTGCGTAGTTGGCTGTCGCGTTTCTCCCACAAAATACGCAGTCAATCCACTTTATTTACAATATATTCTGTGAAGCGCTTTGAGATGCCTCAAAGACGTGATAAGGCACTACATTAAATGCAAGGATTATTATTATTATCGTTACTCACCAGATAAACTCACTGCACTATCTGCAGTGGTTATTTTTCTTTCTTATCCGAAATTACACATTCATCTGCAAGGACCTAAAGGAAAAACAGAAATGATTTGCCTGTCTTTTCAGGAGCCAATTGTACTATTTATCAAACCCTCTGTTCGATTTCACTGTGCTCTTTCTCATCAACACCATTTCAATTATCACAACAACTGTTTGCTTCCTATTTTTACTGTGATGCATGGCGTGCACCTTTTGTTACACCAGAGATATACATTACATGTAACAAACACATTGGGAATGTGTTTGCTTTGAGCTTGTTTCATATGAGTTACACAGTATCCTTCGCCTACTGAATATACTGTAAAGTGAATTGACTGTATATTTTGTGGGCAAAACGCGGCAGCCAATTGCGCACAGCAGTGTCCTGTG